CCACACTTACTAGTGCCTCCCTGACAAATCCCTCAAAGTCATCATCACTATCACTGGCGTGGGCTGGCTGTGGTGGGTTGCGGGCGAAGAACTCTGTTATGCTTTGCTGACGGCTGGTGTTTATGTTGTCGTGATAAACCTTGATGTAGGGCTCCATAGTCTGCAACAGCTGGGTAGTGAAGATTTCATACCTGTTAGCGTCAGGGTCGTCGGAAAGGAGGAGCTTGAATTTCTCAATACACTCGATGGCACCCCTAACATTACTATGGGATAAGCGGCGTTCTTCTTGGGATGACGCACCACCTGCCTCTTCACTGACATCATCATCTACCATCTCGTCGGTAGTCACATCAGGATCCCTTATCACCTCCAGGATGTCGTCGTTGGTGGTCTCGGAGAAGCCTGCAGCTGTAACACTGCACAGCTTCTCTGGCAAGGTCCACTGCTACTGCAACAGTCTGAACCTCACCAGTCACAGATTTACTCTGCCTAACACCCAGAATGCCTTGCAACACATGTCTCCATGCATGACGAACAGTTGCTATAGACAGCTGATCCCATGCCTCCACCAAGAAGTCCACAGCTTTCTTGACGTTGAATGTTCTCCAGAATTGTTTAAAAGGATCTTCTTGCTCTGCCATCTGTTGATCCTCGTCGTCTTCGCTCTTGCTATCGGTGTTGGTGTCACTCAGGTTACGCAACTCTTCCTTGGTGTTGGTGTTGTCGTTCAGGAGGTTGAATTTTTTAGCAGAGAATGCAGCTTTTACATTACAGATCAATTCTTGGTCCATGGGCTGTATTATAGACGTAGTGTTGGGAGGAAGGAAGACCACTTTTACGTTGGGGTGACGATCTAACAGTAGGGGCGAGTGTCCTGGTGCGTTGTCAAGCAGCAACAAAATCTTGAATGGCACATTCTGTTGCTCAGAATTTCTTCACATCGGGAACAAAACAGTCATCAAACCAGGAGAGGGACAGTGTAGAGAACATCCACGCCTTACGTGCGGTCAGCCAGTGGACATTTAGCTTGGTCATGTCCATGCTCTTGTAGGCGTGCGGCTTGCGTGCTGTGTGGATCACCGATAACTTGAGCTTACAGGTACCGGCGGCATTGGTGGTAAACAGGACGGTGATGCGCTCCTTCTGCAACTTCCGGCCCCGACATTGCTGGCATTCTTCACAACGAAGGTCTTGGAAGGTAGCTTTTTCCAAAAAAGACCAGATTCGTCCATGTTAAACACCTGGTCGTCGGTGTATTGTCCTTCCTCCATAATCTCACGTAAAAACGGAGGAAATTCCCTAGCCGCAACACGGTCAGCACTAGCTTCTTCACCACCAATGTTGATATTGGTGATATTGTTCCACTTCTTAAACCTCTGTAACTACCCAGAGGAAGCATTAAAGGGTTTGGGCTCTGTAATTCCCATCTTTCGTGACACTGCAGCATACAGTTCACGTGCGTACTCCTTAACTGAGCGCGTGTCCACCGCCATGTTCCGTCGCGCCTGACGCACCAAGTAGCTCACAAGTAATTTTTCCCTTTTGAGAAGCACCTGGTTGTGGAAATACTTGATCATAGAAGCACCTGTAGACTTTGTGATGTTCATGTGCTCCTTTATCTTGGCTGCATACTTCTTAATTGTCCTGATAGTTGATTCGTTAACACCATGCTGGCGCGCGAGATCAACCTGTCTTGTTCCTTTCTCTAACTCTTGTATGATCTTATATTTTATTTCGTAGCTTAAGGAACGTCGTGTCTTCTTTGGCTTAGGGCGGCTGGGTCCAGGAAATGCAAGGTTTCTTTGTGGTGGTGGTGGTGGTCCGGTGGAAGCCATTCTTATGGAACAATGGATACCGATATACACGGTGTAGCCGGGAGGGGTGTAACTGACGCGGTAGGTCAAGGGGCTTGAACGCTCCCACGGCGGGGCACGTCATTGTACTACATTAAACCAATCACAGCTAGCAGGGAGGGAGGTAAGGATGCTTTGCCCAATCGCAGTCCGCTATGTCATATGACGTCACCGATAACGCAACAAAGACATACACTGCGCAACCTACTCGCGCCGCTTACACAACATGGCGGGAGGTTTGGATCCAAAAATGGCGCGGCGCGAGAGGACCGCCAGCCGCTCTCCGCGTAAAGGGGTACACGCACCGCGGAAAGTGAGCATTCCGTGATCGTCAGGGTACCGCGTAAACGTGGAAACACGTAAAATGGGACCGCGTAAAGCGAGGGTTGACTGCATTAGCCAATTACAACATTACCCAAGTGGTCTTACCACCCATGCACCCTGCTCTGAAGACTCGGGAGCATGGTGCAATCTTTCATCACTCCCCAGGAACCTTTGTCTCCATGCCTGGAGCAGAAAATGGAAAGATTTCCTCAGAATATTCTCCAGAATTTATGCATTATATCATCCTTGGAATTTGCTCCCGGACCCGGAAAAAAAAATGGGGGGAGAGGTTTTCTGTATTTTTTATTTGCATTTTTTCCCCAGAAAATGCACCTGATTTTCAACCTCGGAACTTGTTTACAGACCCAGAATGGAGAGTTTTCTTGGAAAAATGCCGAGCCAATTTCAATTCCAGGTACTGGAGAGGTCCATCTAACAGAGATATCAGGGGTGGATCTAGGACCTCAAAGAGACCGACTTCCGGCCTGGGACTTTTGAGTGTATGGCATGGGGGGGAGGGTGGGGGGTTTAGTGTTCATTATTTCTCTATTATCTTATCATCTACTTTCTTTTGTTTGTTACAAATACAGATTTCAATGTTAGTGTGTGATATACAAAATAATTGATTTTATGTAATGAATGGGATGCCTCATTAAGTGTAATAATTTTGTATCTACTGAATATATTTCTTTATTTATATCATACCTATAGGACAAGTAAAACACCCATAACTGTATCACACACTAATAATGTTGTTTATTATCAAGAAAACCTGGTTAAAAATATTAAAAATTTTTGCTTGTACTGTATAATATAAGTTGCTTCTTGTTGCCATTACTGGTTAGTTACAAATACCAGTATAGTATGTTATTGATGTCAAAGTTAATTTAATTTATCAAATAATCTTATTTCTTTTGTTCATTATTTTCCAATACGGGAGAATAAAACATAACAATCACATACTAACATACTACATCATGTTACTTTTACAAAAGAAATAAATGCGTTTGCATATATTTACATTATTTCAGTTGATGGTTTGTTACAAACACAGTACTGTACAGGTATGTTGAGAATATAGAATTAAGTCAGGCATTGTTATTGACATGTAAAATTTTTTACTAAGCATGATAATTAAGACACACCTTACATTTACATGTAACTTTGTCTACTAAGTATGAAAAAGACTCGCATCACTATTTACGTACAACATTGTCTAATAAGAATGAGAATAAACACATCACCATTTACACTGCTTATATACTGTATACGTTTTTCATTTTGCCTATAAGGTGAAAGTAAACTGCACACAGTTGCCAGGAATTGTACCTACTTTAGCTGTTATATAGATATCTCCCAGTGCCATTCTTCTGGGATGCAACTGAGCAAATCTCTTCACAACTGCATCCACATCCACCTCTCTTATAGTGGACATGAAGCAGTGCCAGTCGTGTGAGTGTTCTCCACCATGGTGCTGTGGGTGTAAATTTTCAGTCTTCTTGGTGCAGATATGCACCTCTCACATTCTGATGTGGTGACTGGAAGGACGCATAACACTTGCATTGCCTTATAAATGTTACTATACATAATGGGATCACACTCAGATAAGGTTTCAGCAACTGTAGCTGGGAGAGGTTCACCTCTCAGGATCATTTGATTCCATTTCTCGTCCCACAGTCGAAGCTCAGCTTCCAGCTTTGGTAGTTAGGAAGTGCTTCTTCATATATTTTACAGTACAGTATAGCCTGAATGAAGTTTTCCAATCAGGAAGTTTTTCACCATCTCAGCCATGGCTGCCCATCCCTGAACCACATCCTGTTGGTCATCATCAAAGCAGCTTTCAAGCTCCTGGTTCAAGTGGTCCAAAAATGGAATTGTCATATTGATTTTGTAGTAGGCCTCTGGAGTGGTAGCTGGTGCATCCTGTTCTTATGGCGACCACAGATCCTGGGAGAGTGTACTAACACACAGAGACTGATAGCACAGTCAACTGCCTTACTGTAATATTTTATTTTATTTATTTTTTATTTTATTTTATTTTTTAACCCTTAGGCCTCAGGTGATGTTCCAGAACGTTCGCCTATTTCCCCGCCATTTTTTAGTTGATTTCCTAATCCGGGGCTTAAGGGTTAAGGGGATTAGCCCAACCGGGCACAGGTCAATGACCCACATCAGGGCCTGGGGGCGAAGATATATAATAAAATATTAGTAATAATATAAAACAAATTAAAAAAATAATAATAATAAAGAACCATAATTAAATGCAAAAAATAGAAATAAAAATAGTGAAAAATGATAGATATAAGTTGTGATGCCAAAGTCAGACCATAAGATTGGAGGAAACTGCAGCGGGCCCATTGGCCCATAGTGGGCAGTCCCATTTACACCCAACCCCTATTGCTCATATATCCATCCAACCTATGTTTGAAGCTATCAAGCATATTCGAGTTAATGATGATATCTGGTAACTTGTTCCACTGTTCCACTACTCTATTTCCAAACCAATGTTTACCTATTTTGTGCCTAAATCTAAAAGTAAGAGAAACAATTGAGACCCTGCAATTGTGTGTAAATGGGGCAGAAAGTCAGATCAGTAACCTGGTACTTGGTCACAATTTTTGTGATGCCATATGGCAGCAGGGTCTACCATTAGACAATACATTATGCTTCCAATATCTTTCCAGGCAGTAGTACCTCCCTGTTTGATAGCTGCCTGCTAATTACTGCCTACTAGATGTCCTTCACATTTTTCTGCATTTCTTTTACTGCACCAGTTACAATTTGCACATCCTGATAGGCTGTCATGATGTCAATTGCCTTGGCCTAGTGCTTAGTTGTTAACCCTCTAAGCAGACTCATAACCTCTCTCAGAAGAGTAGCAGCAAAGATGAACTGGAAAGTGGCTATTGTATGGTATAAACCATTAGCCTTCGCTTTAGAGTCAGAGTTCAAAATGCCGGTGTGATTGTTGGCAATGGTCTCCAGAGTGTCCAGGACAGGCTCTGCTAGGTCCAGAAAGCCCTCAATAGCATCTACTTGTCTGTGGCCTATCCACCTCGTGACACAGATGTCTAGCAACTTTTCTCTCTTGGATCTTGGGCAGGACTCTTGCACTTTATCTCCAAGGAGGCTCTGGCACGGTGGTGAGAAGTTGAAAAACCTTGCAAATTCCCCCAAGGTGTCCATTGTGTATCTAATACTTTGTTGACTGCAGGTACTTACTACACATAAGTTCAGCTTATGAGCTGCACAGTGGAAGAAGTATTTAGCAAGGGGATAATCTGCCATGATCCTTGCAGCAGCACCTTTGCAAGATCCTGCCATATACCCTGCCCCGTCATATCCTTGGCCAATACACTTATTGAAGTCAAGTCCAAGGTCACATACAACTTTTTTTATTATGTCAGCAATGGCCTCTCCTGTAACTGACTGGCATTCATAATACCCTACAAACTCCTCCCTGATCTGTCTTTCACTGTCAACAAATCTTAGGACCAGAGGCAGTTGCTCATTATTGCTTTTATCAACAGCCTCATCTGCTAGCACAGCAAATATATCACCACCCTCTTTTATCGAGTCCATGAATTATTTCTGGATAACTTGGCCACATACATTTCTAAGTTTATTCTGTATGGTCTTTGAGCGATATGTTGCATTTTAGGACACTTTTCAAAGCACTCTTTAAGGGTTTTATCTCCTGCCTCTGCTCTTAAATCGAGCAGTGCTTGAAGATTTCCTGTTTCCAGATTCAGTGGTGGCATCATTTCTGTGTCCTCGTAGGGCCAGGTCCTTGCTTTCCATAAAGGATGATGGTTTTGGTGATAGACCGGAGTACTGACTTGCTGTTGGTCGTGGAATTTTTTGTAGCATGGCACAAGATTAGCCAACAGAGATTTGGCGTGCTGTTATTTTTATTGATTACAATAAAACTGAAACTTTTTTACTCTCCAAAATTCCGACTTACTTCCAGAAGTTGTGTAAGATGGTCTGGATCCGCCACTGGATATTGCTGTATCAGCATTATTATATGAGCTAAGAATATGAAATTTATTCCTTTGTAATCCTTACATGTTTAGCACTAAATAGCTATTGAAGAACACCAGCATTTCTTCCACCCCTGGAAACATATCTGGAACTCACTTTCTGGAATAGCTTTTATAGCTGCTGTTGTGCTACTCTGAATGTCATCCAAGTGTTGAAAATGCGTCCCCTTGATGTGTCTCTTCAGCAAAGGAAATAGAAAAAAGTCACATGGGGCCAGCCAGGTCAGGTGAATAAGGAGGGTGTTCCAGTAAGGTAATTTGTTTCTCAGCCCAAATCTCCCGCACAATCAATGCTGTGTTCGTTGGGGCATTGTCATGATGCAAGATCCATTTGTTTCCAGCAAAAAGTTCTGGTCATTTTTGTCTAAAATTTTCTCTGAGTCTTTTAAGCACATTGAGATAGTAAAACTGGTTCACACCCTGCCCTGGGGTAACAAATTCTTTGTGAACTACACTCTTAGAATTGAAAAAAAGTGATGAGCATTATCTTCACTTTCGACTTCGACATGCAACACTTTTTGAGGCATGGCGAGTTTGTTGTGTTCCACTGAGAGCTCTGGCGTTTTGTTTCAGGGTCATATTGGTAGACCCATGACTCATCACCAGTAATGACTCGGTGAAGCAGGTCATCTCCAGCTTCTTCTCTTTCCAAAAGGTCTGAGCAAATTTCAACTCTTCTTTGTTTTTGTTCATCACTGAGATTTTTTGGCACCACTTTCGCACAAGCTTTTCTCATTTTCAAATCTTCAGTCAAGACCTTTCAAACTGCTTCCTTGTCAATCTACATCTCATCTGCTATGCTTCTCACCGTCAATCCCCCGTTAGCTCACACAACTTTCCTAATTTTTTCAATGTTTTCCTCAGTCCTGCTTGTTGTTGGTCACCCTTCTCTGTCATCATCATTCATGTCTTCTCTTCCCAGTTTCACGAGAAAAATTATGTTTGTTCTTTGTTCTAAATCAATATCTGTCATTATCGTGACAAAACCAGAAAACACACTAATACAATAGCTGCCACTGCACATGTCTGACTCGCTTGAGAGCGTTGACACAACTGGGGGTAGTAAGAGAAGGGATCCAGGTCACACACACGCCACTTACACTCGTTACATTGCTGCTCGCCATGTGGCGAGTTCGCTAACTTAATTGTCAGACCTCATATATTGGTTTATAGGTACTGGGGTAACCTGTATGAATTTATAATTACCTTTTAGACTTAACAAACTAAAAAAGTAAAAACTTAGGGAAGTTTACTGCATTGATAAAATATCTAGGGTGTGGTCCATTACAATATTGTTAAAATCATTAATTTGTATAATTCCTTTAAAATACGAATCTGACTTGGTTTACCAAGACTATGATGCTGGAGGCCACATACAAACACTGTTAGCCATGATTTTAGGGATCCATGACACCCATGCTACATATACATACCCTTATTCCCCAGGCATTTGGCATATGTCTTTGTAGGATGTATATTGTAACAAAATTACAGACTTTGTGTGAATGTGGATATTACTGAGGTTGTTAGGGATAGTCTACAGTCTATCATTACCATACAGTCAACCCTCACTTTACGCGGTTAATGTAACCCGCAGGGTCCCGCGGAAAGTGAGGAACGCGTAAAGTGAATAACATAACATATGGGATTAATTGAAATAGAGTCCGGGCCGACCCCCAAACTCCACTTTTTGACGACACACAGCTACAGTATGTTGTAGTAAAAATTTTATCTTAACTTTATGATGGTATGAAAAAACAAGTAATATAGAAGAGGTTAGGTTAGGAAAAATAAAGGTTAACATAGGAAAAATAAAGGTTAGGTTAAGGAAACTAAAAGTTATGTGGAACACTTACGATAGTAGAAGAGAAGGGTCGGCGTACGGGGTTGGAGGCTGGTTCCGAGGCAGAGGGCAGGCTACTGGCCCTCAGGTGAATCACCATTACTAGGTGCATCACCATCACTGTCACTTACAGTTGTCAGGGCTTCCCTGACAAATCCCTCAAAATCATCTTCACTGTCACTATCACTGGCTTGGGCTGGCTGTGGTGGGTTGCGGGCGAAGAAATCTGTTATGCTTTGCTGACGGCTGGTGTTGATGTTATCGTGATACACCTTGATGTAGAGCTCCATAGTCTGCAACAGCTGGGTAGTGAAGATTTCATACCTGTTTGCGTCAGGGTCGTCGGAAAGGAGGAGCTTGGCTTTTTCGATACACTCGATGGCACCCCTAACATTACTATGGGATAATTGTTGTTCTTCTTGGGATGACGCACCACCTGCCTCTTCACTGACGTCGTCATCATCATCTACCATCTCGTCAGTAGTCACAGCAGGTTCCATTATCACCTCCAGGATGTCGTCGTTGGTGGTCTCGGAGAAGCCTGGAACTGTAACAGTCTGCGCAGCTTCTCTGGCAAGGTCCACTGCTACTGCAACAGTCTGAACCTCACCAGTCACAGATTGACTCCTCCTCTCACCTGGTATTCCATGCAACACATGTCTCCATGCGTGACGAATTGTAGCAATAGACAGCTGATCCCATGACTCCACCAAGAAGTCCACAGCTTTCTTGGTGTTAAATACTCTCCAGAATTGTTTGAAGAGTATTTTTTGCTGTGCCAACTGTTGATCCTCATCTTCTTCGCTCTTGCTATCGGTGGTGGTGTCACTCAGGTTACGCAACTCTTCCCTGGTGTTGGTGTAGTCGTTCAGGAGTTTGAATTTTTTCGTAGAGAATGCAGCTTTCACATTACAGATTAACTCTTGGTCCATGGGCTGTAATTTAGACGTAGTGTTGGGAGGAAGGAAGACCACTTTTATGTTGGGGTGACGATCTAACAGTAGGGGCGAGTGTCCTGGTGCGTTGTCCAGCAGCAACAAAATCTTGAATGGCACATTCTGTCGCTCACAGAATTTCTTTACACCGGGAACAAAGCAGTCATCAAACCAGGAGAGGGACAGTGTAGAGAACATCCACGCCTTACGTGCGGTCAGCCAGTGGACATTTAGCTTGGTCATGTCCATGGTTTTGTAGGCGTGCGGCTTGCGTGCTGTGTGGATCACCGATAACTTGAGCTTACTGGTACCGGCGGCATTGGTGGTAAACAGGATGGTGATGCGTTCCTTCTGCATCTTCCGGCCCCGAATTTTGCTGGCATTCTTTACAACGAAGGACTTGGAAGGTAGCTTTTTCCGGAAAAGACCAGATTCGTCCATGTTAAACACCTGGTCGTCACTGTACTGTCCTTCCTCCATAATCTCACGTAAAAACGGAGGAAATTCCCTAGCCGCAGCACGGTCAGCACTCGCTTCTTCACCACCAATGTTTATATTGGTGATCTTGTTCCGGATCTTAAACCTCTGTAACCTCCCAGAGGAAGCATTGAAGGGTTTGGGCTCTGTAATTCCCATCTTTCGTACCACTGCAATGTACAGTTCACATGCATAGTCCTTAACAGAGCGCGTGTCGACTGCCATGTTCCGTCTCGCCTGACGCACCAAGTACCTCACAAGTAATTTTTCTGTCTTGAGAAGCACCTGGTTGTGAAAATACTTGATCATAGAAGCACCTGTAGACTTTGTGATCTTCATGTGTTCCTTTATCTTGGCTGCATCCTTCTTTATTGTTCGAATCGTAGATTCATTCACACCATGCTGGCGCGCCAAATCAACCTGCCTTGTTCCTTTCTCCAACTCTTGGATGATGGTATACTTCACCTCGTAGCTTAAGGAACGTCGTGTCTTCTTTGGCTTAGTGCCGCTGGGTCCAGGTAAGGAAAGGTTTCTCTCTGGGGGTGGTGGTCCGGCGGAAGCCATTTTAGAGAACAATGGATGCACGTTTACACGGTCTGGCGTGGAGGGATGAAACTGGCGCGGCTAGGTCAAGGATCGTCTTTCCTCCCTCCCTCCCTCCCTCCCCCGGGTGGACACGTCATAATACTTTAAGCCAATTACAGCTAGCAGCAGAGGGGGGTAGGGATGCATGGCCAATCACAGTCCGATACGTCATATGACGTCAGTGATAACGCAACAAAGACACACACTGCGCAACCTTACCGCACGGCTTGCCCAAGCGGAGGGAGGAGGAGGGAGAGGCGAGAGCACAGGCAGGCAGGCGGGTGGGGCGAATCTAAAAATAGCGTCGCGCCGGACACTCTCCGCATAATGGGGTTCACGCACCGCGTAATGTGAGCACGTTAGGCTCTGGCAGGGCACCGCGTTAACGTGGAAACGCGGAATGTGGGACCGCGTAAAGTGAGGGTTGACTGTATTATTTTTTGGAAAGGTTCTATTAACCCATAAAGTGAAAATAACACTTTTTATGTTTTAAATAAATAATAGGGGAATACTACACATGTGTGATTTATCTATATTTTGGGATAATTATGATCTAGAGCAGTGGTGTCAAACTCAAAACCTTTTGAGGGCCAATTCTTATTTTAGTTACTCTCTTCAGGGCCAACACAAGTGTTATATCACATATTTGCAGGATTGAAGTTTACAGCTTCACACATTGCCTTACCTGGCTTACGAGGAATACCTCATTTGGGTTTGTCTAGTCTTAAGTATGTAAAATTAATTATACTTAATAAACATGATTAACACTAATAATAGGATAGCAAAAGGCATATACAGGTGTAAATGCATTATTTTTGGGCTATGATATATTATAGAATTCCATTTGTGTTTTGAAAGTTAAGAGCTCAATCTTGTTATGACTGTTATGTTATGTATACATGCAGAACAAGAACTATCATTCAACGCACAACTTTGACCTCATTTTCCACTACACTGCAAGCATTTTTCTTCCACAAGTTTTTCTATATTTGGCTGCAAAGGTGACATTCCAAGTCAGAGGATGGCATCCAAGTGCTTATCAGTAATTCGGGTTTGGTACTTCATATCTATTTCTATCATAATTCACGGGCTGATAAATTTTACCGTCATCCCACGGGCCACACCTGACCATCCCGCGGGACATGAGTTTGACACCCCTGATCTAAAGGTCTGTAAGACTAACTTTACAGATTGAATGGAAGCTAATACTGTATAAGCTGGAATGGTTACTGAGGCATCCCTTAATTACAGTGGGGTATGCTATAACGAACGGATTCTACTATGAATATTCCTATAACGAACGGTTTTACCTATAAAATTGAGAATGCTATAACGAACGAAACTCCTACAACGAACATTATTTAATTTTTTTTTTTCTAATTTATTGTTTTTTTATTACAAATATTAATGATATTCTTTATTTCAGGGGTTTAGATGCATCTTTATGCACTTTTTTACAATTTTATATTATATTTTTCAGTGTTAAGTGGTTGTATTTGGTGGCCTGGAACGGATTAATCTTATAACGAACGAATGCTATAACGAACAAGGTTCTAGAACCAATTAGATTCGTTATAGCATACCCCACTGTACTTGCCACAAAATGATTGTAAATAGCAAGGATAAGATAAGAGTAACAAAAGGAAAATTTTTGTCAAAACCTTTATTTTAAAATTACATTACTACCTTAGTACAGCCATATGAATGAGCACTGCAGAACAGCAATAGAAATAATATTTTTAGAAAGAATTCGCTAAACTAAAAATTTACAGCCAAAAGTATAGAAACCTATTTCCAAAAATACTAATCATATTCTGGCCATTGGTGTTACACAAATACACACATTTAAGTGCAGGATTGGGGGACTTATGAAATTATATTTTATGACAAAGGCTGAGATAAATTATTTATGAAATCCCAACCCACTGAACACCTTCTGAGAGCTCGTCAAATGGATACAAATGTACAGGGTGTCTCATAAGTAACATACCATAACAAATCAATGAAGATGGCAGAAAAATTAACACAAGAGGAAAGAATTCTTTTAATATACAAATATGGAGAGGCAGATACTATACACCAATCAGTTGCAAAATAATTTAATCGATAACAACCTAAAATTTGTTGTCTACCAAGATTGTTCAAAAACCAAAAAAGAATTCAAGCACATGAATGCAACAAATTACCTATGACATGCTAATATGAGTAAAGACATTGTGTTGATAAAAAAATCATTTATTTTGATGAAGAGGGTGAAACATTTGAAAGTTTATTATCGTAATGTATTTTCTCTACCTTTGGTGTGTAACTTGTGAGACAATGCAACTGCTGCAGAGTAGCTCTCCACCCTTCCAAACCAACAATGAAGGTATCCAACATTGTGGCGGTTGCTTTTGTATGGCCAGTGTAGCACCTTAGACAAGTTACACTCATATAACCCAATGTAACTCATTAATCCCCAAACCATTCTAGTGGGCTTAAGAACTCCAGTCCCCAGACCTAGCCATTTCAGAGTCTAACCCCCAACATGAAGGAGAGAATTCTGGACACTCACTTTGGGCCTCAACAATGAAATGAGATTTCAAATTTAATTTCTTCATTTGTGGCTTTAAGGTCTTTAAGAATACTATTTTTGTTATCCATAGAACTACCTTCAAATAATGTTTAAATAAGCATTGTAATACATGATAATTATCATAACACAAAGAAATCATATAAACAAATAAAAATTATAATAAATACAATATCACACAGTTACAAATAAAAATTTAGTGTACATAAATTAAATTATCCTTTACCTGTACCTACAATTCCAATGATGGTAATGATAAGTGGAGGATGCAGTAATGACACAATCTCGGAAATTTTTTAAAATTACCTTTCTATACAGTAAGCTGGTTGTGTTTAGCAAAATATTGAAGGTTCTCTAAAAAAAGAAAGACTTGGACATAGTAGTATGCATCATTTTCGATGATGTATTATGTTATCCATCCTTGAGTTTTCATTAATTACATACAGTAATTAAATTAAAAGCTATTTTTTATGCACAACCACAAGCAGGGCTCCACAGTGCTCAAATGTATGTAAAGTTTAGAAGTTCACACACTGCTTGGTCCTAAGATGTTGGATTTCTGAGCTTTAATTGTATTAATTACAAATAACGTGTTGCTCATTTATCATGATCCTTTTTTAAGAAACATAATACTGTATGTTAACCAAGGTATACTTGCACAGTATCTATAATAATTTATAAATGACACTTATCACTTCAATCTAACAGCCAGAAGCAGTGCTGGCTATGTAAGCAGCCAACATGGCTGTGTGGGTTGCTTGGTCTATGAGCTAAAGCTCTTAAGTCCACCTTTATGGTTCAAGAGTTAATGAGGTGGAAGTGAAAGTTTAACTCTGGACTGAGATACATTACTATCCATATAAACAACCACCAAACTGCTGGATATCTTCCAAAGTTCCTGGTGTGACAGTGAAGAGCTAGTTTGTAGTAACTGCATTATTTAGATGAATGATTTGTCCTGCTCATAAATTATTGTAATCCAAGATACAGATGGGCTCTTTCTTCAGTTTTTAAGGGTGCTTGGATCTCATAGGCCATTAATGAAAGACTGTAGGCCATAAAGAAAACCTGGGAAGGACTATATTTGCCCTGCTGTCTAAGTAATACCTATAGACTGCTCACCCTAATTCACTATTTCTTCAAGGTGCAAACTTACCATCCCGGGCATTCTGAACCATTGTAAGAAGACTGATGAAGGACTCAACTGAGTTACTGTCAATGGAGAGGGCCCTTATCTGTAAACATAAAACAAATACTGTACTAAAGATTCAATGTAGTTGTGAACATAAGAGTGAAGCTTAATCATTAAATAGCATATTTTTATGTTGTGATACCTAATAATCACTAATGATTATTTACCTGACTTCCAAAGTACTCCACATCAAGGCAAATTTGAATACGAATCTTGTCGTCATCTGAAAGACCACCACTAACTTCAGCACCACCTTGAGCTCCTCTGTCCCTTGCACGCTTCAACCTCTTCAGACTTTCTTCCATTTTGTGCACAGAACTAAGAACATCATACGTCAACGCTCTATATCTGGAAAAGAGACAAGTATTTAAGCAAATTAAAAATCTGCTTACCTCAGTCCACATTAACATATAGCTTATGAAGGAAAGTTTTTGTCACTAGCCAACAGCTTGCAATGTATAAAGCAAAAGAAGGGGAAACAGCACCTTAACTTCTTGGAGATGTGACCCCCAAAATCTTTTTAAGATGGCCTGGGAGGTGCTGATCCCATGATTTCATAAGATTCGCCAATTAGTGAGTTACACCACTCTCGAAGCAGGATGCTAATCCACTTCAGGGTTGGTTCAGTGGTTCATTGTATAGCATTTTTTTATCCAGGCACTTTGTTTATATCCTGTCCTTGGTCCAGTTTTTGCAGAATCTCCACCTTCTTTTACATTTAGTACTTTGTTTCCCTTTAGCAACTCAGTTCTATTGCTTCAGTAGTACAGACACTCCTTGGGTTACAGATGAGTTCCATTCCTGGAGGCTATCAATAATTCGGAAGTGACCCTTTCATAGGTAATCACTGAAAACACATAGTACATGGACACATGGTCCCATATCTGTATAGTAATTGTATATACATATATACCATATCTGTATAGTAATTGTATATACATATATACCATATCTGTATAGTAATTGTATATACATATATACAATTACTATACAGATATGGGACCATTTATTTGGCATGCTTGAGACCTGGAGGTTGTTGGATAAGGGCTTTTTCCAGAATTTGAAGCACCAGGCCTAAAATGTACAGCAAACCCTCTGTAACTGCCTGTGAAGACTCCATTCAGATCACTAGATTCACTTCCAATAGAGCGTTATAATGAAACAGCGCTCTACAGGAGGGCTAGCCGGGATATTAATGTAAACCTTAATAACAAAAGCATGTGAATAGCATTAATGAAATCATAAAGAGAGCAAAAAATTATAGAAGTTAGTATTCAAATTGCTGCAATCGCCACTGGTGCTCGCCTTAGCAATGCAATGTAGCAACGGTGCTCCGCCACAGACCCTATGACCTCCACGTACTCGCTACCCTGTACACAGTTTCACAGTGGAAACCCATAGATACTTCAAATTTTATACCTTATGATAATTACTGTATTTATTTTATTTAGTTTTGTCTTTTCTGTATGTAGGATTGTGTGCATATGTAAATGAATAAGAAAACAATTTTGTACAGTACAATATACTGTATCTCCCTTAAATTATGAGTTAAAAATACTTTATAGCTTATGATAATTACCATAATTTCTTTTATTATTGTTTTTTTTTGCTCTGTTTTTATGATTGAGTGTGTATGCAACTAAATAAAAAAAATGGAGAATATTACATATATAGAGTACTGTATCTACCCATTATTATGAGTTAAAAAATAACCATAACATAACATACAGCTCACAGGTAGGTGGGGTACGGTTGGAAATATTCCCGCTTAGCCTGGGAATTACTTGGCCCTTATTTTAAATAGGACTTATGGAAGAGTATCCGTAAAGTCAGAAATCCGTAACCCAAACCAGCTGTAACCTGGGGGGTGTTTGTATATGCATGTACTGCCAATTTTTATATTTGAAGGCAGTTTGAAAGCAAAATAAAATCACACACTTAAGAGGAACGAAGACTCTTTGAAGCATTGGTTATAGCTCAAGTGTTTGTGATGACAGTGTTCATGCCATGTAAACAAAGGATGACAGTAACTTATCATAGGGGGTAGACCATGTTTTGCTTTTTCTTAGACAATGGATCTCCAATTATATAATGAGAGTCAATGGGAAAATGTGTATAAATTTACAAAGGGTTTTCAGGACTGTACTGGTGTACCCCTGTCATAATCTGGGGTCTGCCTTTACAAGGAATGTAAAAAAAAAGAGTATTGTATAAGAAGATACATTTAATGATACACTTACTGTTCAGATACTTCAGTGCACACTTGAGTTAGCCAAAGTACCATTTGTTGAGAGTCAATTTTTCTTATGTTATCATTTGAGAAATTTGATAATGTTGTTGCTGCAGCTGCTATATATGGTTGATGTGATGTGGGAGGAGCTCGGTTGGTACGTCGGTAGAGTCGAGGTGTATCTGCCACTTGACGCAATGATCCACTTGCTGCTCCAATCAAATCCTGGATTATCACGTCACTAAGACCACTCATCTGATCGGATAGCTTATTACTCTGCTCATTTAGTTCAACTGCAAGAAAAAATTTATAACTGTTACACCAAAATAAATACTGCACTGGTATCTGTATTGTACTACAGTACAATATTCATACAATACTTCCACTGTATATCCTGTACCCAAAAAACAAGATGGAAAGGAAGTGCACAAAAGTGAGATGAAGGGGGGTAAGGATACAGCAAACTGGAACAATATGAACCTAAAGAAACACTACACTATAAACAAGGCAAATGTGGTAAACAGACGTAAAATGACGATGTTGATGGCATTTTGATTGTAGGCGATCACACAAGTTTCCTTCCTAAATCACTTGTTTGTTTCTATCCTAAAATTAGAAATTCCTTTTGCTTTTGTACTCTACACATCATTACATGTATTTGGACTTGTTTTTGCTTTTTATATCTTGAAATGAAGTCACAGTGACCTTAGAACAACTTTTGTATGTTAATCAACACTAAATCTCTTGCTATTTAAATTATTTTGTAAATGTGATTTCCTACTACTCTCAGATTTCCTTACTGTCCTGTTTCACCTTATCTTTGGCTGGTCCCTACATTCATTTCCACTTACCTTAGTTCAAAATATATATTTTCCAAATATTCAAATAATGTCATGTACTGTTACATATTTCTAGCTTCTCTAGTAGTTTATCTAGCCTGTTTATCCAGAAGATTTTCCCTAGTCTGTATTAGTAACTAAAGATAGAAAAAGCCAGGGAAACAGGAGACATGAAAAGTTTTCCCCCAGATCATAACGGTAAGATCAATACTACTGAATAAGTCAAGAATAATCAATACATGACGGGAGAGATGGAAATTCTATTTAGAAACAAAACTTTAGTTATAATGAAAATGTCATATCAATCTTTAAAAGTAATAAACAGAGGCAACACTCATAATTTCCAATAGACAGTAGAAATGATTTAATACATCAGAAAACTATACCTTGAATCAACAGCAAGCACTTGACTAGTACACAATACATTATAAGAAAAATCAATGTGGACTTTATCCTAGTACAGGTAAACCTCAATTTACGATCTCTCTATGGTATTTACAATATTTCACTTTAATGATGGTGATATTTTAAGACCACCTCCCTATTTATGATCAAAGAAATTTGCATTAACGATGACCAGCCTGGCCAAACTCGCTGACGTGCAGAATACTGTACAGATATCCCTTGTTTAACGATTAGGATGTGTTCCTGAAAAAACAACTAAGCGAAATGATCATTAAATGACAGATAACGATAATAATATCCTAAACAAGGGATAGCAAAGAATAACATCTGTGGAGATGGCATTTAACTGTGTAGCCGAGTCGCCGACTCTCCACCCAATAGTGTTCAGAGCGGGTGAGGCTGAGCTGTGAGCTATGTCATTGTTCAACTCGTAATTTTGGGTATAGTACTTATTGTACATGTATAATTTTCTTCTTTTTTTCTTTACTGTTACATGCACATACAATCGTTCATATAGAAAACAAAAAAATTATCATCAGGTCAAAAACACAAAGAGAATAAACATTTCTTACATGTGTGTGTGTGTGTGATATGAACCTATGTGTGGACTTTGCATGTCACCAAGTTAGACTGTCCCTGTAGCTACATCCCTTTATCTCTCCCACTACCAGGTCAAGCTGTGTTATTTTTATTTTTCAACTCATAACTTTGTGTAGATATACTGTACATAATCATATTTATATTTTTTTTTACAGTTACATGCACACAATCGTTCGTTCATACAGAATGTAAAAAAAAATAAATAGAAATGATTATTACAGGGTCAAAAACATAAAGAGAATACACTTTATTATGTGAGCAGGAGTGAGAGTGTGGATTATGGGAAGGGAAGGGAAGGGGGGTATGATATTGGGGATCTCAGCCTCCACCTACCAGGTCCAAGCTGTGCGTTGCATTATTGTTATTTTTCAACTCATAATTTCAGGTAGCTACATGTAATTTTCTTTATTATTTTTTTTTATTCTGTTACATGCACACACAATCGTTCATACAGAATCTCTGCCCCCCCCCCCTCTCCACAAAATAAGTAAAAAACATAAAGGGAATAAACATTTCTTACATAAGGTGACAAAATATTTACAATACTCTCAGTATGAGTTAGTCACTTGAAACAAACAATTATTATGATCAAAGTCGACTCTTACAATAGATAGGATCTTTGATAATGTACGTACTGTACTGTAATAATGTCTGTTCACTTAAACTCCACTAGGGTATGGAAATTTCCATCCTTGGACACAGCAGCAATGCATGTATGTCTCCACTTAACTCAATAGCTATGTGGCAGGAATTAACTCTGCTGCACACAACTACACAACCTTCATCATAGTAATTAACGGACACACTTAGTACTCATGACAGATGATACTTAGTTTACAGGGTAGGAAGTCTTTCGGAAGTAGAGAGGATTATCCTGAAGAGATTTCAGGCGTCATTGTCTACTGGACTCTGTTGGGGTATGTTTCATTTACACAATGTATGAAACTCTGGCCAGCTTCATGGGAACCAACATCCTGATTGGTGGGTGCGCGGTGTTGACAGGCTTGTATAACAATCATCATTGGCTCAAGCAATTGTTTCCACAGCCTCACGACAAGAGGGGGAGAAGCTGCCAGACATAAGTCTTAACCCCCCCCCCCCTCCGTGTGAGATGCCATATATTTCATAAATACGTGACAGCACACTAAAAGTTAAACTTTTACTACAGTGCTGTATTCTTCTCATTTCATTTAAAATACCATATTTGATAATTTCCTCACACTCTTCTCTTTATACTCTCCGAACTTCTTAGAATATATTTCTCAACTGTCTTCACTCTATTATACTAACCATTCTGCAACTTCTGTAACACTCCACACTCCATATCAAGCATCCTATACGTATTATGGGACATTTTATTGAGTCTAATCTCAGATCCATCATCATCATCATCTAGAATTTATTGTCATTTTCCACACTTGTGTAGGTTAACCGCAATTACCTGATGGCAGCTGCTAAGTAAAACTAGAACAGGATATCTCCCCCCCCCCTCCCCTCATTCAAGACCGTTAACCCAGGACAACAGCCCCAAAAATGCAGCAGAGACCAGGGGATATGCATAACTCAGGTGACCTAGTTGCCATCAGTTATGTTTAAGCAAAGTTTTATGGCTGGATACCCTTCCTCATGCTAATCTACAGGGAGAGAACAGCTGGCAAGATAGGGTTATGCCAACCCACAGGAAGAAAACAGCTGGCAAGGAAGGGATGCAACTCCCTGAGGTAATCAAAGATTATTGCTTAAAAAGTACAGCATAGTAAAATTATTTCATTCCCAACTCCTTAAGTTACTACAGGTATCTTGATTGTGCTCTGATGACTGGCACCTTCTTGGGGATACAGATCACCAAGCAAATACCGATAGAGGAAATGTGGATCTTAGTTTGCCTGTATAAAGTGTAAAATAGCTTATGCTACACCCAGCACTATAGTTGGTGTCAGTGTTGTTGTTCACATTCATAACTGTTAATATTTTAAGTTCCAGGTCTTATTTCAGGAGTGAAACACAATTCAATATGGTATCTTTATCAAACTTTTTTCACATGACTGTCTAGTGATATAAACCCTATACAATACTCAGCTCTATGAAAATTATGGTAGATGGGGACATGCATAACTAAATGATGTTTACTGTCAAAGATGATCACATTTCTGCATGAAAACCATTTTTTTTTCTTTTGAATGATCAAAGTTCCAATAAAAAAATATGAAATGTGATAGAAAATACAAAGAAGGGGAGAAGGAATGTTGAGGAGGGATGGATGGAAATTAGAGATAAAGAAAAGTAAGAAAGATGCGGGGGGTAAAAGGTCTAGTAAAGGCAGATGAAGAGTGACAAGGAATGATGGGAGAGAATTACAATAGGAGAAGGATGGGAAAGACAGCATGGCAGAGGTGGAAAATAACTCACTCATGTTCAATTATAACTACACATGAACACTGAAAAGAAAAAAAATCAAGTAAAAGCATCACAGGTGCTAAAATGAGTATACCGTACTTAGAAAAAGAAACTTACCCTTTATAAGAGACAATTTGTCAGGTGGAAGGTGAGGTACAAGTGGTTCAATTGACTCAGCGTACAGAAAAGGGAGCTTTTGTGCCATTTTTTGGACATCATGAACTAGACCAACTGCAGTATCTCTAGTATAGCTTGACTGTGTTTGTGATTTGTCTCCTGACTTGCTTGAAAATTTTTCACCACCAGGATTCAATGGCTCACGTTGTTTTGAAATGGAGAGATTTTCCTTGGTGGGCTGTGTTGTTTGTTTCTGAAAGTAGACATAAAAGATCCATAAATCAAATTTTAATGGCATGTGAATACAACACTTATGAGAAGCAACAACTAATTCTGGTGGGATGATCAGCTACCTCCCAGTGCAAAATATTTGTGAGTAGTTGAGAAAAGTCAACCTCTTGAGCAGGAAAGATACTATGGACATAAACTTATGCAGGAAGTCAGCAAATGTTATTCGCGGATTTGGCGATTTACGGCCGTTTTGAGAACCCATCCTCTGCGAATTTGAAGGGCATGCTGTAGTTAAAATATATGACACATTAGATATATTATGTACATGTATGACTGAGGGGTATATTCTCATAATTAGAGTGAAGGAATACTACTCATTTTTACCTTCAGTTTCTCTGTTGTGATGGTTATCCAAGTGCGGTAGCGGGACAAGATAAGCAGTGTAAGCTTCCAAAATCGATGAAGCAGAGGTGGAAGAAATACTTCTGGTGTGAAACATTTCAAAAGGCTCTCCCATATAGTTTGGGAAGACAAAAAAACAAACTCCCCACTGGTGTTTGTTCCCACTTGAGCATAACCATCATTATCCTGGCTTAAGCTGCATTCTGCTACCTGTCCAATTTCTTGATATCTGTAAAGAATTTGTCATTTAATAAGGGAAGGCAAAAACTGCATGAAAAATTTATAAATTAATATGAAAGTGTTTTAAAATTAATAGGAACACTACATGTACACTACTTGTACAGGTATCCCTCGTTTAGCGTTAATTCACTTAACGATAATTCGGTTTATTGATACGGTATAAAATTTTAACACCCTTTCTCGTTTAATTTCAAGTCAAAACTAGGTTTAGCGATAGCTTGACTCACTATGATGGGGGAAAAACCGAGGGTGAGGTGGCCTGTGAGATGGCATGTTGCCATTGTTACAAGTAATGAAACTATAAAAGTTGTGAAAAAATCATTGCAATACATGTACACTCGCAACAAAAAGTATCGGTGCATACTGTAGTGTGAACAATTTGAGACCAGTGACGATGGGTATTGGGAAAGGCGAGTTGTTCCAGCCGTATGTTGGCAGCCCTGTAATCCTGCTGAGCAGCTACTATGGCCTGGTCAAGTGAAACAAACCGTTATAAATAAGGTCGGGAAGTGATAAATAGACAGTATGAAATATGATACTTGTGAATATTGCCACATTAATTTATGCTACCAAATAAACCACTCAACCTGGTCGAACTGAGGGGTGGTGCAGCATGGAGGGCCGCTCCGAGACCTGACCAGTTTCGAGGTATCGCCAAATCCATTGTGGAGGGGTGTTCTGTGGACACCAACCCGCCAGCTAATATCTGTGACGCTGAACCCTTCGTTATGAAGGGCAATAATAGCTCCTCGTGTTCCCTCTGAGGTTTCCTCTACTGCTTCATATTGCCTCTGTTTTATACCCACGTTCACCGAGATCGAACCCTCGCTCATCATTCAGTCGACACAAAGCAACAATCCGAAAAGAGGAAACAAACACACTGATTGTCAGCCATATGGCAACACCTCATGGAGGAGGGAGGGGGGTTATGAGGATACACTTACCAACCTTCCCGACATATCACAGTGTATATGTATCGTTTCGGAAGTCGTCGATCTCACTCTGCACCGATACTTTTTGGTGCGAGTGTACTCTAATGTGGCTTAGAAATAAAGAAAATATAATACAGTACAATATAAAACTATAAAAAAGATAAATTAAGAGCATGGTTGTGTATGTGTGTGAACGGATGTACAGTATTGAGACAGTGAGCTATAACTGCGGTCAGCTACACTCTCCCTCCCCCTATGTGAGGTCACAGCATACACAGCCAGCAGTCACACATGTCTTTTGAGTCAGTTGGGTGACTGCCTGGCTGAACTGTGTCGCCCGTATACATATCATAATTCTGCATCTACCTCTGGTTCAGTTCTTCCTGTAAGCGTAAGCACATAAATTCATTATCTAAGTACAGGCACTGTACAGTTATCACTTACCTTATCTGGAAGTAAACTGGAAGGTTCCAGTGCTCCATGAAGCTCTTGTACTCAATCATTTCACGAAAAACCATAATTTTGGCTTTTGAGCCAAGCAGTTTTTCAAATGACTCCAAGAATTCTGTTGTTTCTAGATATCTCTGTTAAAAAGATAGTGAATATACAGTACTTAATTATAGATGAACAAAATATCAAGGTTGTGAGGTGGAAAAATGAGAGAATGGCTGATAGTGTAGAGATTATATAATGACAGATGGATGGGTACCACAGGAACATGTATACAGGGTAATTCTACTTTAATTATATTGTACAGTACTGTACTGGGGAAAGATGATATGACGGATAAGACTGTTGAGTATAGTTTACAATGAAAAATGTAAGGCGGAGCAATTATTTAAGAATTGCTGAAAAACTGAGAGCATTCAGAGTAATGCAGTGTGTGCGGAAAAAAGTAAGAGTGGTGTATGGATCATGAATTTGTGTGAAAAAGCAAGAGTCTGAGTTTCCAAGGAAGAAATTTGGTTGTAACTTTTATGGATCTAGAAAGAGCTTATTACAAGAAAACATGTGGGAAGATTGAAGAAATGTTATTTGAATAAAAAAGAGAATTCAAATTAATTTAATCAAAGATACAGTAGGGTCGGGATATATCATGAGATAGGGTTCAACGATGTTTGCTATATACTAAATCACAATACACCCACCTCTGGTTTATGTGGGGGTTACATTCTTGAAAACCACTGCTTAATTAAAAAAACATGTAAATTAAACATAATTTTCCCATAAGAATACATGTAAATGGTACAGATTAAGGGAACCATCATATACCCCACAGCGTATTTAACATTGCTCTCCACCAATCACGCGGCCAACCTCCGACACACGCTCTCCTCTCTGAAGGCGGGTGATCACATTTAATTTCCCTTTCATGTTCATTGCGATTGTTTTTCGTGCCTTTTTAGCTTTAGGCGCTCCAGAGGAGGCAGATGGACTTTTTCCAGACATGCTCAATGGGGAAAACAGCGTTTAACACTAAAAAGGTACGTGATAAACACACAATGAAAATGAGAGCACAGAGAAAAAGTAGTGCTGGTGTGAACTGAGAAAGCGATGTGCAGGAAGCTTGCTGGACGTCGTCATTAGTAGTAATAATCTTTATTATTACATTATAATAATTTTTATTAATAATAATAATAATATCAAAATCGTTGATGTAGCTATGACTGAGACTTTATAGTAATAACTTACAAGAACCTCACCAGGCATCACATGCGACTCCACTGCCAGGCGACCACGCTATTTTCAAAAATAGGTGAGCATAAATTAGCTTTTGGTATTAATTGAACAATAGCATTATTCTAAAAACGCTTAAATTTAACGAGCAAAACGAGTTACCTGTATAATTTGGAAATGTCAAAAATAGGGTTAGGTTCTGGAGCAAAAAAAGTGACAAAACTTGACTTAAGCAGTTCATTTTCTTAATAACTAAAGCACCAATGAACACCAGACTGCAGCTGACTTGACTATCTCAGAACAGATGCCATCCCACACCTATACAGTAAACGAACACCAAAAATAAGTAACAGTATTAAATCTTTCCATTAAGTTTCCATTTTCACTTCACTTGCAAAACTACTCACCTTAAGTGTAATCTGCAGCAGAGCTGTTGTTGCCTACCACCAAGACTGAGCGGCGTGAACGGGTGAGTGATTGGCGCCTCTGGTGAGCAAATAACGCATTTGTTTGCCATGGCGGTACATTTGAAATATTTCCTGCCCAATTTCCCTCGCAAAATAAAAAAATTATCGCTATATATATATATATAAGAAAAGTTCGATAATTTTGGTAGTCGCGATATAAAAAAATCATTATATAAAGTCGCGATATATCCCGACTCTACTGTATAAGGACCATTCTAAACATTGGAAGAGAATGGGTGAAGATGGCGATTGGCAAAATGAAGAAAGGAATGGCTGCTAGTACAGTAAAACCTCATTACGGCGGATATCGCTTAAGCTGGACAAAATTATTTGCCAAAAAATATTTAAAAGATTAAAAAAAAAAAAAAATGGGACAAAATGTATCCTTAGATGACATGTCCGTCTTTAACCAAAACTTCAAGGGACCGAGGCGGAGATATCGTGTGACTCACCCACGCTGGTCAACAAAGAGATGTGCTCAGTCATAAATTAGCATCGCCTCGTACCGTCTCTACATACTACGACGACTTAGGTCACTTGGGACACCCACGCCAGAGCTGAGGACCATCTACAACGCCTTTATTCTCCCCAAACTAACGTATGCGTCACCAGCCTGGTCGTCTTCCCTCAACTCCACCCAACAACGTCAACTAGAGAAGGGACAGAAAAGGGCCTGCAGAATCATGCTCGGCGCTGACTACTCCGGCTACACCAACGCTCTCTCCACCCTGGAAATGCCATCCCTCAGTGACCTCCACCACCAAGCACTGGAAAGGTTTGGCAGCCAACTATTGCACCACCCTCGTCATCGCCACCTCCTGCCACCGGCAGACCCCCACCCACCTCGCGCAGTCCGCCACGACAACAAAATTCAGCCCATAAGAGCCCGCACCGATAGATATAAGAATAGCACCATCCCATCTATTGTTAAAATAATAAACAACTCCTGATTTATGTACTGTACAGCCCTGTAAATGTATTGAACGCATATCATTATGTCTAAATCACATGTAAGTTTGTATATTTTCAGCCACCGGCTGCAACTCTATTAATAAACCATTTATTATTATTATTACAGTATTATTATTATTATTACTCTTCCGCTCTCTCGTTATGTTGATTGTGTTTTATTGCCATTTAAAGGTCCTGAACTTTATTTTCAAACTTATTTGACATTGCCAGTAATGTGATTATGTTGTAGGCTGACATAGCAGGCACATTTTTGTATTATTATTAAAAAATTAGACAATAACCATGGCCCCTAAGAAAGTGTTTGGTGTCGGTAAGGGTGGTGAGAAGGTTAAGCCTAAAACCTTATCAGTGAAGAAAAGTAAGTGGACAGTACTTTGTGTACATTATTTTTGTATTAATTTTGATTATAAATCATGTACCATATTTTACGGCATATAAGACGTACTTTTTTGTCTGAAAAATGGCATAAAAAATCAGCCTGCATCCTGTATGTGAAGTTGCAGTCTCCCATAAACCAATAAACCAATGAATTCCCCAGTTGCTGTTTCCACTCAGCTAAATTCTTATTCCTCCCCCCTCCCCACACACAGGCCCCGTTGTGGGTCATTCAACCTGTGCCCGGGTGGGCTAATTCCCTTAAAAAAAAAACTAACCCAACTCCTGAATAAAAAAGCCGTTTTTTTCTAAAAACCAGTTTTTGTGATATAGCTCGAATGGACACATTACAGGATTATTATTTATGATTTATGAAAAAATAATTATTGTAAATATAAAAGATTGATTTACAACTGTATGGCAGACACCCAACTCTTCAGAGGTAGCTAAGCAGTAACAATTTCTGAACTCTTACAAACATTACAATCTATTAATACCATACCTGCAACATTCATTTTTCAATCTACAGTGATCCCTGGGTTAACGAATGATTTGGTTAACGAAATTTCGGTTAATGAATTACCTTCCAAAAGAATCTTCAATTCGGTTAACGAACAAAAATTCGGTTAACGGAATTTTTATGAAATCATGTCAAAATGTTTTCACTTGCTCACCAGCTGGAATATTAGTCTTCCAATACAGTAATCGGTTCTAGGGCTTAAATTCGTTCCCATTTGAGTAAATATCAAGAAGGTTGTACTATTCAATAATTTTCCAAGTTTTATATTAACATTTTTAGTCATTTTAACAATTATTTAACATAATTGCAGTGCAGGAAACTAGTTTTTGGTGCATCAATCAGCCACTTGACTCACCCACCAAGGCCTCAGTTTGTATCTCTGTTCAGTGGAGATAACATCTTGCTTGTGGCTCTCTTGAACATAAACTATTTTTACATTTTTACAGTACAATTATAGGTCATTCTGAAATTTATTTTACATATTGACAATATATAGTGCAGTGCAGTGTTGATTTAAAGAAAATAATCTTGAATTACACCTTGTGAGTTTAAAATTTTATGGGTGAAATGACGGCATGAAGCATGGGGTGATTTCTCTTTCACCCCCACTTCCTTCTCTTATCCTTTCTCCTCCACCCCCACTTCTAATTCCCATCATCATCATCATCATCATCATCATCAACAACAACCAGGAGCCTTCTACATACACACCTCAAAGTAAGTGTACTTTACTTCATTTATTTTTACTTTGTATGTAATTTTCGGTGAGCTGGAACCAATTACCCAAAATCCCATTGAAACAATGGTTTCAGTTAACGAACGACCTTCTGGAACAAATTGTGTTCGTTAGCCGAGGGACCACTGTACAAATACCTGATACAAATGAAGATTTACAGATAACTTTCTTTTCACATCTGCATCAATTAACATCGCTGGCGGCAATGTTGCCAGGATAGACTCATCACTGTAACCACCAGTCTACTGTGCCAAGCTGTGAGGTGTTATGGTTTTTTTCAACTCATATTTTCGGGAAGATATACGTAACTTTCTTCATTTCCTAAATACTATACATATTGTGAAAAAAGTAAAAGAAATATTTGTCCTAAGGGCGAACACATAAAGGGAATATTCATTTCTTTGCACACGTGTTAGCTGGCTCAGTGGGAGGACAGCGCAGCGTTGCTAGATAATCAGCAGAGGTAGCGTCGCCTTTGCTATGGTGAACAGGGAGTACAGATGTACTAGTACAGTATATGCAAATGACGACTGTGTTAAACTTTCATTTTGCATTTATTTACTGGTTTGGCAATACAGTGTTTTTTGTTGTACAGTAATTATTTATTGGTATTAATTTTATTTATTCCTCACATTTACTGGTACTGTACTGTATAACAGTCGGCCCTTCACATACGCGGGTTCAGCGTACACGGATTCGCAAATACTCGGATTGCCCCGCCGGAGGAATATTCTGTACATTGAAGTAATTGAAGTACATTCAAATCGCGCGCGGCACCGCACACCGCTCACCACCCCACACACACACGCGTCATGCCACCCCGCGCTCCCTCACTCAGTCAGTCTCGCTGTAACCACGCTTGCGTTGACATCAGCATTGTAGGTCGATCCTGATTTTTTTACCCAAAAATCGTTAATTTATGATATTCCTTGTTTATAGGTCGACCCAAGTTTTTGAGGGTATTGGAACAACAAAACCTTCAGTAAAAACACTCTATGTCCTATAAACTGAGGCTCGCCGTGCCTGAAACACAGAGTGCCGAAGGCAAATTGTTTACCATTTATTATTACGACACTTTACACTGAAACGCGGGTAGTTTCAACAAAAATATTGTATATTTCTATTCAAGTATTTATTCAAGTCAATTAGGAGGGAATATTATTGTAATACAACAGTTTTTTAACTGAAAACCAGTACTGTACACTAATGTACAACAATTTTTATCTCTTGAGCAAAATATATGACATTTATATTCAAATTATTGGCTGTCTTGCAAGGATTCCAGCAATGCAAATTATAATCTCCTAACTTTAGTCTGAGATATTATATAAAATAAACACCTTAAAGAATAAAGTTATCACCAATCTTTTGTCTGGGAACACAAGGAGGGAGGTAGCCAGGGAGCATGGGGGAGGGGGGAGGTGACAGAGTGTGGTGTTTGTTTATTTATTTGAGATAAGATGTGACAGTTGGCGCTGAAGGCCTACGTGTTTATTTATCATTACTTAAGAGTGACTAAGCTCTTCTCATAATTTGCCACCCAAACGACCTGGATGAATATAACTTACATTGCTGGGATTCTTGTAAGATAGTGATTTATTTGAATACCTGTATAAACAATGTATATTTGCAATAGACATAACAATTTAAGTACCGTAATCATTTAGTACATGTACAGTACAGGTTTGTTCCACGGTAAAATCTTTTGAACAATGAAAGAAAGAGCAAGTCATTGTTTTCGTCATGATTTTATCCCACTTTCCACTGTAATACGTACGTCATTTCAGCAAAAATATTACATTTCCACATTTATTTCTGAGAATATATTCATTCAGTTACAGTTAAGGTAAAATATACTTGTGATGTAATATTTTAATGAAAATACGGTATCGTAGTTTTCTTTTGTTTCAAATTTAATTAACAAAGATTGATGTTTCAAATGTAATGAACAAAAATTTATGTACAGTATCTATAAATAAACTTTAAAAAATGAATACTTTGTTTTACATCGTCCTGTGCATACCATACCATGCATTTGGCTACTTTGGGCTTGCTATGATGACGCAAGAGATCTGCCCTGGCAACTGTACCGACACTCACAGCTGGTGGTGCGTTGGTGCGTCGTTTCCATTGTTTACTGGTAGTTACTGGTAAATATTTTTCAACCTAACGAAACTATTACCCGTTTAGAGGTCGACCCCCAATTTTTTGCCAAATAATTTGGTCTTAAAAACTCGAACTACACACAGGTATATACGGTAAATAAGGACATGGGGGGCCAGGGGTTTTTTAGGGGGGAGGGGGGCAGCAAAAGTACACAGATTTTTAACATTCACGGGTATCTCTGTTACCTAACCCCCGCGTATGTTAAGGGCCGACTGTACTATATTGTTTTAAGAAATCTCCGGCTACATGAAGAAAATTCACACAAAAGGTTTTTCCTAAATACACCCTGCTAAAAGATGGGGGCATCTTATATGCCATAAAATAAGGCACTTCTTTCATAGAAATTGGATACATTGGTGTTGTACTCGTTTTTTTTTAAATAGAGGTCTTTTTGGAAAAAGTGGCTCTAAGGTGGACAACCTCTTATCCTGGACACCCTTTCCCCCCAATTAGTCCGCCTTAGCGAGGTTTTACTGTTCTGGAATAGTTGTAGAAATATTGAAAGCATCAGATGATGTCAATGGTGACCAAATTAATAAATGCAATGGACTACAGTGGTCCCTCGGTAAACGAGCGCCTCGGTTAACGAGTTACCTTCCATAAGATTCTGAACTTCGGTTAACGAGCAATCCCTCGATTAACGAGTTTCTTACGAGCTGACCTCCACATGTTTTAGCTTGCATTTGGCGGTCCACCAGCTGTAGTATTAGTCCGCCAATATAGTAATCGGTTCTAGGGCTTAAATTCCTTAACCTTTTAGTAAATATCAAGAAGTTTATACTATTCCATAATTTTAAAAGTTTAGTATTAAATTTTTTAGTCATTTTAACAATTATTGAACATAATTGAAGGTAAGGTCACTAGTTTGTGGCACGCCATCCAGCCTGCCAACACAGCATACAGGCGTCAGTCTTTTTGTCTTTTCAGTGGAGGTAACATCTTGCTTGAGACTCTTCAACTAAATGCTTTTTTTCCTGTGTTTACAAGCAAATTATTGGTCATTTTGAAGTTTATTTTACATATTGACAACATATAATGCAGTGCAGTGTTGATTTAAAGAAAATAATCTTGAATTACACCAAGAGAACTAAAATTTTATGGGTGAAATGGCACCATGGGGTGACTTCTCTTCCACCCCAATGCCTTCTCTTCTCCCTTCTCCTCCACCCCCATTCTAATTCCCATCATCATCCAGGAGCCTTCTACACACACACCTCAAAGTAAGTGTACCTTTCTATCTTTTTTGTTGAATTTAGGCAATTTTCGGTGAGCTGGAACCAATTACCCAAAAACCCATTGAAACAATGGTTTCAGTTAACGAGCAACCTTCTAGAACGGATTATGCTCGTTAACCGAGGGACCACTGTATAGTGTTCCAGCTAACTAATTGAAAAGTGATGATTGTGAATACGTACTTAAAATAGAAACTCTTATGCACTACTAAACCAAGTGTGTTGAAAAGCAAGGTGACTAAGTGGAAAATGATACCTTTTCCAATCTTGTAACAAGTGTGACAAAAAATAAACACTGCATATACAGTACATTTTGAGTTTCCCATATGTGTTTCTACACACACACACACAAAAGCTAAAACTGGTTGTGCACAGCCTGTACAGTACATTGGTCATGAGTGAAGTCCCGTAAGAACCAGAACACAGTACAGTACTGTACAGTACAGTAGTCAATACTAACTTTGCAGAGGATATTATATGACTGTACTGTTCTCAAACATTAGTATAAGTAAATAGGTTGAATTTACTGTCTTACTTGATGAAATGTGGCTGGGTTCCCTGGATTGAAAATATGCTGAGTGCCCGTCTCCAGAGCTGTAACAATTTCAGGCCATGCAGAGCGTTCCAAAAAGCTGTAACCTCTTACTACATCCGATCTAGAAAAAAATATTATGGATATAAGAAAAATAATATTACAAGCCCCATGTTTTATTAGATAGCAAAAATTTTCAATGTTTTATGAAACACAAATCTGGATGATGCTATGCTTGATAGTCTGAATACAAATCTAAATAAAAAATACAAGAAAACCAACCCATGACCTGTGGTGACTGAGAGAAGAGGTTGACACACATTATTGACAGCTGCTAAGGTGTTAGAGTACATGCCAGGGAGCCCCCGGGGGTCTGAGCGTAGAGCTGGTTCACTGATCACCTGTCAAATTTACCATTAACATCCATAAGAATCATTGTCTTTCTATATTTTTATGTAAAAAATGTAAGCACAATAATTAAATAAAATTCATTGGGAAATTTCATATCCAATACAAAAATCTGTTATCATCCAAAAGGAAGGTTCATTCACAATCTCCTATACACATCCCCAAACACTCCTCTTTACCTTCCACTTACAATATCCCTCATTCTAAATACAGTACAGTACTGTACTTGGTAGCTGTCTATATCCACTGCAGTCTCCTTTTATCTAGCAGTGTATTTTATGTAAAGCATTGTCATGTGTGGTTTACTCCAACACTGATTCTCAGTCTCCCTCTTTCCTTATTATTTTGGTTGTAAATTATTTGTTTTCTCGAAATTCTGTTTTCATCTGTTCCTTCAATTGATCCTTTTGTATGTTACATACACACATCTAATCCTCACTCCACACTTTGCACATAGTTCGCTTCACAACTTCATACAGTGTCTAAATAGGTTGTGCAGTATGATATCCAAGATACAATGGGTCACATTATTTAACACCTGGGCTTTGGGTTATGGTCGGCACCCCCCCCCTCCTACCTCCACGCGGGTATATTCGGGAACATTTAAAAAACAAATAAAAAGCATTCCTAGTCTTAAAATCTGGCCATGCATGATATAAATAGGAAATAAATACATGGCCATACCACAGGTTGACAACACAGGGAATAGGAAGAGTCAAGAATGTTTGTGAAATGGCGTATGAGGTACAGGATACTTGTTTTACTTTGTTATTATATTTACACAATTAACAATAATTATTACTGCTCCAGTAATTAATCACAATATAAGACATGTGTTTAGGGGAGGAAACACATGGTGAAGTGAGTCCAGTCCAAGGGTGAGATGCCTTCATCACAAAAGCTGAGAAGCTACTGAAAAAGAGACTGGGAGGCTCTCCTGTGTGAGTGAAAGATAAATACAGTGGGGTATGCTATAACGAATCTAATTGGTTCTAGAACCTTGTTCGTTATAGCATTCGTTCGTTATAGGATTAATCCGTTCCAGGCCCCCAAATACAACCACTTAACACTGAAAAATATAATATAAAATTGTAAAAATTGTAAAAAAGTGCATAAAGATGCATCTAAACCCCTGAAATAAAGAATATCATTAATATTTGTAATAAAAAAACAATAAATTAGAAAAAAAAAAACATTAAATAATGTTCGTTGTAGGAGTTTCGTTCGTTATAGCATTCTCAATTTTATAGGTAAAACCGTTCGTTATAGGAATATTCGTAGTAGAATCCGTTCGTTATAGCATACCCCACTGTACCTACTTGGCAACTAAATCTAGCCAGGCCCGCCCTTTCTACTCAAATAAGCCTGTGAAAGATAAAAATATCATATGACATCACCCGAAGCTCTACAGACGCACGTCATACGATGTAACCCAAAGTCTAAGGGTTATTATTCAATCATTACCCCTTACGCCCTGGGTGACATACTGGAACGCCCGACTGGCGTGCCCCAGGTGACATTCCAGAGCTCGCACCTTTTCCTGCTACTGTTTAAATGCCCAGCGCGGGTTATCAGGTTCCAGTGTAACTATTTGCCCGTCACACCACACGCTCGGCCACAGGGAAGTTTCCTCATTGTAATTACCTATTTTTGTTTTTTTCATTTTAATTATTTGTCCATTCTATCATGTTGTATCAAAGTAATATTGCTAAAAGTACTGAAGTTGTACAGTACTGTACAGTATTGCAATGTATTATTACTGGAAAATAAAGCTATGATTATGTTATAAATGTATTTAATTTATTTGTGGAATTATTATTATTTTATGCATTATTTGCTCTACCAAACACAAAGAGAGCCAGACAGCCTGGCCACAGACTGCGTGTGTTGCCAAGCACGTTTTATGAAAAATAATGCAAATAAAATATTCTAAATTAATTATTTATAGCAAATAAGTATTATGATCAGTAAATATATACATTACTGGCCATCCCAGACACAAAGACAAGCAGAAAATGGCCACTAAGTGAGTAGTGACCACGAGTGTCAGCTGTCAAAACAACACTATCCCTTTATCTCCCTCACCACTGCTGCCACAGGGAAGTTCTAGAGGGTCAATATATATTTTTTCTTATATATTTTTTATTGTTTTACCATTTAAAAAGGTTAAAAATTATTTCTGGAAAAGTTTTGATTTTTCTCGATTTTGTTGGGGGGACACGGTTAGTGGCACCCTAGCCCAGGTCTAGGGGGTTAATATGCATTCTAGCACATTTTTATTGAGCAAAATATTAATATATAGTATTATATAAATCAATATTTTTATTAAATACAAACACATCCGGAAAGACATTTGAAATTTAAATACAGTGGTCCCTCGGTTAACGAGCACAATCCGTTCTAGAAGGTTGCTCGTTAACCGAAAAACTCGTTAACCGAAACCATTGTTTCAATGGGTTTTTGGGTAATTCGTTCCAGCTCACCGAAAATTGCCTAAATTCAACAAAAAAGGTAGAAAGGTACACTTACTTTGAGGTGTGTGTGTAGAAGGCTCCTGGATGATGATGGGAATTAGAATGGGGGTGGAGGAGAAGGGAGTAGAGAAGGCATTGGGGTGGAAGAGAAGTCACCCCATGGTGCCATTTCACTCATAAAATTTTAGTTCTCTTGGTGTAATTCAAGATTATTTTCTTTAAATCAACACTGCACTGCATTATATATTGTCAATATGTAAAATAAACTTCAAAATGACCAATAATTTGCTTGTAAACACAGAAAAAAAGCATTTAGTTGAAGAGTCTCAAGCAAGATGTTACCTCCACTGAGAAGACAAAAAGACTGACGCCTGTATGCTGTGTTGGCAGGCTGGATGGCGTGCCACAAACTAGTGACCCTACCTTCAATTATGTTCAATAATTGTTAAAATGACTAAAAAATTTAATATTAAACTTTTAAAATTATTGAATAGTATAAACTTCTTGATATTTACTAAAAGGGTAAGGAATTTAAGCCCTAGAACCGATTACTGTATTGGCGGACTAATACTACAGCTGGTGGACCTCCAAATGCAAGCTAAAACATGTGGAGGTTGGCTGGTAAGAAACTCGTTAATCGAGGGATTGCTCGTTAACCGAAACCTCATTAACCGAGGCGCTCGTTAACCGAGGGACCACTGTAGTTCATTGGTTGTTGCTGCATAATGAAAGCCAGGTGTAGGTTAGACCTCACTGTACACCACAGCTATTGGCAGTCTCTCAGTAACTATGGTACCATGCTGTTCAGGTGCTTCTGCCCATCCTTCAATCTCTGACTAACCCCATCCTCCAACATCCCGTTGCTTATCATATACAGTGGTCCCTCGGTTAACGAAATTTCGGTTACGAATTACCTTCCATAAGAATCTTCATTTCGGTTAACGAAATTCTTACGAAGATGTTTCGACATGCTTTGGCTTGCTCACCAGCTGGAAGATTAGTCTGCCAATACAGAATTCGGTTCTAGGGCTTACATTCGTTAAAATTGGAGTAAATATCAAGAAGGTTGTACTATTCAATAATTTTCCAAGTTTTATATTAAAATTTGTAGTCATTTTAACACTTATTTAACATAATTGCAGTACAGGGAACTAGTTTTTGGTGCGCCTATCAGCCACTTCACTCACCCACCAAGGCCTCAGTTTGGATCTTGCTTGTGGCTCTCTTGAACATAAACTATTTTTACATTTTTACAGTACAATTATTGGTCATTCTGAAATTTATTTTACATATTGACAATTATAGTGCAGTACAGTGTTGATTTAAAGAAAATAATCTGAATTACACCTAGTGAACTTAAAATTTTATGGGTGAAATGATGGCATGAAGCATGGGGTGATTTCTCTTCCACCCCCACTTCCTTCTCTTCTCCCTTCTCCTCCACCCCAACTTCTAATTCCCATCATCAACCAGGAGCATTCTACATACACACCTCAAAGTAAGTGTACTTTACTGCATTTTTTTTTTTTACTTTGTATGTAATTTTTGGTGAGCTGGAACCAATTACCCAAAATCCCATTGAAACAATGGTTTCGGTTATCGAACGACCTTCTGGAGCGAATTGTGTTCGTTAACCGAGGGACCGCTGTACTGTACAGTACAGGTATACCCCAAAAAGCGATGTCCCAATAACCACCAATTCAGATAACCGACGATTACATATAAGGGAAACACCCCCAAGTTTCATTGATACCCCAGATATCCAATGATCAGGAGAGGAGCGGCAGAGCTGTTTTAAATTTGGCGGGCAGTGGCCTGGTGCAAATTCTTGCCTTGAGAGGGCTCTGTGTGCTGCCTCTGACTCTTTCCAGCCTCTCTGCTCTTGTTTACACTTACCACTTGTCTCTGACTTCGTGTTTTTTTTTAATAGTTATTTCCAACTTCGTGTGTTATACAATCATGCCTAAATGCCCCAGTGATAGTTCCTCTTGTGCTGCTCCTCTTAGGGGCACCTTAATGTGATGTGATAAGGCATAATAAGAGTGGTGATGGACCAGCAAAGACTGGCAGAGACTTGATTTTTTTAATTTCTGATTTAGTGTTACGCAATCATGCCCAAATGCCCCAGTGATAGTTTTTCTTGTGCTGCCCCTGCTTGATGTGAAGTGATAAGGCGTAATAAGACATAATAAGAGTGGCGATGGACCAGCAAAGATTGGTAGAGACTTGAACATGCCACCCTAGACCGTCTCTACCATCCTCAATGCAGGTAAATACGTCTCAATTTATGCTTTACATTACTTTTTTTTTATTATACGGGGATTAGCCCACCCGGGCACAGGTCACTAACCCATATCACAGCCTGGGGGGTGAAAATATAATAATAATAATAATAATAATAATAATAATAATAATAATAATAATAATAATAATAATAATAATAATAATAATAATAATACAGTAATAATAATAATAATAATAATAATAATAATAATAATAACAATAATAATAACAATAATTAATAAAAATTAATAAAAAAAAAAAATAATAATAATAATAATGATAACAACCAAAAATACTGTAAATACAAAAATTAAAAAATAAATAAATCAAGAGTGGGAAAAGATATACAGTATGTATGTTGTGTTGTCAAGAGTAAGAGAAAGAATTGAGACCCTGCAATTGTGTGTAAATGAAGCAGAAAGTCAGATCAGCAACCTGGGACTTGGTCACAATTTTTGTGATGCCATATGGCAGCAGGGTCTACCATTAGACAACACATTATGCTTCCAATTTCTTCCCAGGCAGTATTACCTCCCTGTTTGATAGCTGCCTACTACTGGTACTTATTTAATGCTTATTGTGTTTACTTTATACATCTGCTTTATTTTCTTGCTTGACATTGTGCACGACAGAGATATATCAAGGGTAGATGGGAGTTTTTGGGGGTGTATAAGCATCTCAAGGGGCACTACTCAGTCGATTGTCCTTACTTGGAGCTAGCGGACACTCTCCCCACAAGGGGTCACAGCTCAAGATTAAAGAAGCCGCAGGTCCAGAAAACTGTGAGGGCAAACTTTTTCAGAGTGAGGGTTGTAAACTCTTGGAACAATCTACCAGAAAGTGTTGTGACGGCACCGAGTGTGGGCTCTTTCAAGACAAGACTTGACCAACACTGGAGCGGGTTCAGGTACATTCAGGAGCCGGTGCATGCCCAGTACTTGCCAACAGTGCGTGACAGAGACGTGACCGATCGCCCAAGCGGCTAACAAGCTGATCTTTTGGTGAAGAGGATAAAAGAAAAGGAAAAGTAATCAAAGACGTGACCGATCGCCCAAGCAGCTAACGAGCCAATCAGTGGTGAAGAGGATAAAAGAAAAGAAAAGATAAGCTCCTGAATTTTTTATATTCTTATGGGATTAATTGCTTCGATAACCGCTGATTCACTAGCCAACGACTATTCCCGGTCCCTATATGCGTCGGTTACCGGGGTATGCCTGTACTGTATACATACTATACATACTAGAATTATTATATAATTTAAGCCTTACATCTTCCAGTTCTTTTCTAATGAGTTCCCTGACAAGCTGGTGTGCATGGTTTACACTGCCAAGACTTGCATAAGTGTGTAATGTCTGCTTCAGCACTGGTAAATCTTTATTAAAGACTCCCTCACGAAGGCCTCGTTCTAAGCCGTGTTCCACAAACTGGCACACCTCAGCAACTCTCTGTAAGACAAAAATTTATCTAAGGTTATTTGGCTGATCAAACTAAAAGACTGATTACAATATACTTGTAATGTATACTTGTAGTATATACTGTAGTTGACAATATTCTAAAGCTCTTGCACAGTTCTGAAGAGAGGAGTCAGATATACAGTTGTCATAAGCATTACATCTAATGTTATGAATATATACTGTAAGGCCAACTCCAATTTACAGATTTTCCAAGATACTAATTATTTTATCCACTGCATCGAACTACCGACAAAAACTCCATTGTTACATATATGTTTATTTTATTTTCATCATAACATCAGATGATGGTGAGAGGCTGACAAAGGTATCTGGAAATATCCTGTATTGAACAAGGACAGTAAATAGTCTTGTCTAGACCCTTGATGTGTGTGTGTAGGGTTTTTTCTAAAAGCTTGTTGTGTAAATTTAGGAAAAATATATTCTTAAAAGGATATTAACTGAAGAAACAAGATTATTTTTCACTTTTCAGATAGGAAAAAGTAGTTCAAAACTGAATATTGTACTTTAGTTACATTAAAAGGGACCAGATTTTAAAAATTTTTGTCTCGGATTCTTCTGATTTAACTTCACTTCTATCACTGAATACAGTACAGCACAGTACTGTACTGGAGTGGTAATAATTATGACAGCTACTTTATTGGCCCAACACAAGAGGAAAATGTCACTGACAGTGATGCTACCAATAAAAATAGGCACAGTACAGGTAAATTTTAAAAGTGGAGCCCCATTGTCTGCTACAAAATTTAGCTTACATGATTAATTATTCTGGAAACAAAAAAAGTTAAAAGTACTGTATATCATATTTCTTACTGGTTTGCAAACATCAAGAAGAGCTGCTCCCTCACTGTGAGACACCAAGAAGTTAAGATGGTTAACTTCAGCAGCTAAACGATCTACGAGATCACCCTCCCCAGGGCCAGAGTCCTCGCAGGAGTCAATATCTCCACATACACTATCTCTTGCATCCCTTCCACCACACTGCAACAGGGTCTCTAATGTCTCCAACCTGTTTATTTTAAATGATATTAATATCAAAATACATATGAGGAGTCTACAGATTAGTTGGATGTATTTACCAATAGTATAAGCATTATTGTTAGGACTCTATCTTGTGTCCTATTTGTGTCCTTCTAGTCTTTATGTGGTACATCATAAGCCTGGACTGGGGATTATCTGGAGACTATATTGGTCTCTGGTACAAGATCATTAAACCTTTGAAGTTGTTTTATATTACAGGACTCTTCCTACCCTTGTTGGCATCAGTCAGAAGAGTTTCAGTATTACTGTATATGTCTTGAGTAGTGTACAGTATCTGGTTCTGTTTCTCTTGGTCCATTTTTAGAATGGATGATATAAAGGTCAAGTCTAAAATTGTTTGCTGACAATGAGACTCTAACTTTCACCCAGAGTGTATGCAAGTCTCAGCCGGAAAACTGGTATATGGTTTACATTACGTGGTACTGTTTATTCTTACTTTGGAATTCATGAACACTTTCATTGACATGCATTCATCATCATGTTTTATGGCCACTTTCCACACCTGCATGGGTAACATTATTCATCAAATTTATATCCATCTCAATTGTTTTTACCTCTCCTATTACCCCACCGCTGAAAATATTCAGTAACCCCGGTGACACCATACATCCTTGACGGAGTCCTACTTTTAACACCTGTTTCATTTGTGTTCTTTAATGGAAAAATTTGATCTGCACATCTTCCTTCTGTGCCTGATACTGTAAATGTAGTATAAAAAGTTTCAAGAGAACTAGTAACAAAAATCCGTATGTCATTTGTCACAATTATTAATAATACAATATTTTGACACAAGCCACAAGATACTAAGTGTGATGAGGAAAGGCAAGGGTTAAAGTGTTACCAATGAGGAACCGCAATTCTTTACATAGCTGCAACAAAAATCCTGTTTCTTTTTTCTAATCCAAAACATGAAAAAAAATTTACCTTTCTGAAGCTGTATATAAGAGACTGTGGCTTATGGAGGTTTAATTAAAACTTGTACCAAAATTTACCATCACTACCCCAATACAATAAAGATTAAAAAAATATATGCATTTACTAACAAAAGAATATTAATACTCTAGTTGAAAAGAATGCACAGAAGCAAAAGGGAAAAAAGAACAACTGAATACAACATAAGGAATACAATATATACCTGTTTGATATTTGTGTAAGTCTGTGTAGTAAGGCTTTTTGTTTGATTAAGGTCTGTCTTCTCTCCAAGTCTTTTGATGTGGTTGAAATGGCATCATCTAATAACTTCTCCACGCTCTGGAAATAAAAGAGTATGTTTAATAGAACAAATTACCACACACCATTCTTCACACAACTTTAAGTGGAGTAAGAACCAGGATTTGATGGTACAGGTATAGTGCAGTATTTCAACTGATGCCCTAAAGTCAAGCAGCTCTTATAACACAGAGCTACTTAATAGGGTGTTCTGGTGCTCAGTTAGCCCTGCACAGTATCAGGCAGAGATAGTTTATTACACCCTCAGGATATACCAATTATCCTTCCCTCCTCACTGAACAGTCCCTTCAAATGAGGGAACAGTTGTCTTTTAGAGACCCAAGAGATCTTATAAGAAATGAGTATACAAATCAGCATGTGATATAATATGCACCATCTTTGGTTTAGGTTATTTCACCAGTTTCTAATTCATGTTCTCCCTGACAGTATACGAGGATTGTTGCATCATACCACCTATCCCCTGATCTACAGGTAGTGAGTCGATTTATCTTCATTTTTTCTTTATTTATCATTTCACCACACATCAGCTTATTAGCCGTTTGAGTGGTCGGTCTATCCAGTGTTAGTACATTAGGAAACCGGACTCTGGAAAACCTGTGATGTTTGGTAGGGTCACACTGGATAACACCCTTCTTATGTGTATCCCTGCCAAGCAGGATTCAAACTCTTGACATACAGTAATAGTGAGAGATACATATGTTACCACTGTACCACCAACACCAACTTGGGTACAAGTTCAAAGTGTAAAATCAGGTTTAAGTAAACTAGGAATGTAACAAAATTGTTAATTTCCACCACTATGGCTTGCCATGCTGAACCTGCATGAAGTCTACCCATCCAGACCCAACCGGCCCTAATGAAGTTTTTAGAACATCACACATTGAGAAAATTAATGAATAAATACTGTACCAAGAAAATAACATTGTGATAAGACACATTCTGTTTGGGCTCTGAAACATGGTTCGACATTATGTACTGTAAAAGTTTTTAGTAATATCTCACTTTAATGAGTAGTTAAGTAATAATGAACACCAAATAAATTGGGTGTTTAAAAATATTAATATTTTGAAGAAAAAATCTTTAATTTTTAAAGAACCTGTAATCTCAAAGTGCTGTCTACAACATGATGGTCAAACATTCCACCAAACTGTTAATTTCTCATAAGTGTTAAGAATATCAATACAGTACAGTAATGTGCTCTAAAATTACTCTTACCAGAACCTCTTCTCTAAGTTGTCCCAATGGAGTCTTCAGTGCTTCAATTAGCCTGTCTAAACCTGTAAGGTTTGTTGACAGGTTGACAAAGTCAGCATAATCACGGTTTATAAGTTCAATCATTGCATTTCGCAGGATCTTAAGATAGACTCCTAGATCATCACGTAATGTTTCCAGGCCACCACTGCCTGCTGCTTGGTGAATACGCACAAAGTTGTCAACAGAGAAATCATTCTGAAAGAAAATTTAAACTTTTTATAGGGTACCCTGTATACAGTATATTCTTCACAATAAGTAAAACGAAAAACTGACACTCAAATTCAGAATCACCATCTTATTTCCATGTTCCAGTGAATTAATGTTCATTATTAATATCCAGTAATATTGTTAGATTTTTACCACCGTGGTATTATATTGTACAGTACTGTACTGTATATGGTAAATTACTGTACAATACTGTACATAAAAATAAACTTAACAATTAAACATCTTGCTCCCAATCTTGCAAAAAATCAAGACCCTCTTGTACTGTACTGTTGAATGGTGGTGTCGATTAAGCAGTAGCTTTAGAAAATGACGAGGGTTTTATATTTTTTGTATTTATGTTATAAACAGAGGGTGTCCACCATGATGCCATTAAAGGTACTCTACAGGACAATAACACTACAGGTTCAACAGGATAAAGAAGCTTTCATCACCACCACATGCAGAGAACTTTAGTGAATGGAGAAAAGATTAAGTTTACTCCAAGAAAAACAATGCCAGTGTTGTATCGATATCATCACAAATTTTTTTCGACCAATCACATTTGAATTTTTTCAAAGGAAGCATTCTGGGTACGGATTTGGGGTATGCCCATTTCGTCACCACTGCTTTCCCAGTTTTGTCACCGCATTCATTCCCATCAAAATATACACGAAAATAACTGTTGCTTGGGATAGAAAATAATATAAAACACAAGACAATTTATTAAAGACGAAAATATCAAATAAAAACATTGTTAATACGCCAGCAATCATCTCACTTAAGCTTGGAAGAAGACAATGACAATTTTTTAGGAAATTAGAAGTGGTAATATTTTTTTCTTCATATTCATCCCACAGCTTCCAGAGATGGACTTGTTTGTCATGATTTGCTTTTCCTGTGCATGATTTTAGCCTGTGCTCAGCAACTAGTTGTAATCGCAAATCAACCTGAAGAAGAAATCACCTTCATTTGTTCTGTATTTTGTTTATTTGCCAATGTTTTAATTGTTTTCTTTATTAAATTATTAATATTCATGTATAATAATAACAATAATTCTTGAGTCGTCTGTACACATGTGTAATTTCTACTCATGTAAAATAATAACTTACAATTTGTCACTGATACCAGCGACTGTTAATGGTGACGAAACAGATTTGTTATTGGTGACGAAATGGGTCGTTGGTGATGAACAGGGTTGGTGATGAGCCAGTGATGAAATGGAGTGTATCCACTGATTTTAATTTCATTGACCAGTCTGACATTAGCTGTGGTGGAAGTTGGTTGTCATTTTAAGTTTATTGCCGAGTTTAACGCGAAAGACGATCATTCTATCCACTTCTAACTAAGGTATTGTACTTTCGGACATGGCGCGGCCCAAAGTTTTAAACTACCGAAACATTTAGGTTCACTTAGGTTAGTTTAAGCTAGGCCTACAGGGGTCTGGGGGCTCTGGGTTAGGTTAGGTTAGGGTTTGTTTGGTTAGGTTAGGTTAGGTTAGGTTAGGTTAGGTTAGGTTAGGGTTTGTTTGGTTAAATGACTCTTTTCGTTTACTCCCCTACCCCAAAATCCCGATTTCCCAGGCTCTTCCCCATTATTGTAGGAGGGGGGGGGGGTAAACACGAGCGATTTCCGCCCAAAATGAAGGTCAGATTCGTTTAAAACACACCAAAATACACTGGAAAAACATACTGGTCAACCCCTAGGGACTCATGTCCGAAATTAAAAATTTACAGATTATTTTGTAAGCTCTTACTCAGGCTGTGCAGTAAACTGTGAATGTATGATCCAAAAACTTACCTTCATAAAATCATCTTTGTCAAAACATAAGGAAGATGTCCCATACAGCTGAACGGGCAAGTTCTTCTCGGCTGCCATGTTTTCCTCAAATTATTAATATCAGTTCATCGGTCAACTGCCCGCCCCATCAGCTGACAGCCAGCCTAGAGGCCCAAACATTGCCACGGTAACAGAGGGATACCTAACTATTCATATTTACCTTCATATTTTAAAATGGTTCATACCACGGTACAAAGTATTGATAGTAACTTTTAGTAATTTTATTTATTTTTTTCTCTTTGAATTATCCCAATTTAATACTTGTAAAATATTGACTTTTAAGCCGTTTCCCTCTATTTCCCTTGGATTCATTAGGCTCCCTATAGTTATCATGTTGAATTTGTCTCCCATTGTAATGTTAAATTCTCAAATGAAAAAACTCTTATCTATAATTAATAATACGTTTTAGTCACATATATTTACAAATGTAATATATGTATGGTATATTTTTTACCAAATTAATTTCCTTATAATAACACATTTTACACTATACAGAGACTTGAGGTGTCCTGGAAACACTGTGGGTTATAGTGTCCTTGAGCCCACTCCTGTGTTGATAGTTGAGACCCATGCTGGCCTGGTGAGTGTGGGGCAAGAGTTAGGAATTAAATATAGGTGTAACTAGAAAATGGCAATGGTCTAGTTTCACAGCCTTTAGTTATAATGTGCTTGAGGATTTTCAAATATAATTAGCACCAATTAATTCTGTAATTTAGAGTTTGACCTTACTTCAACCATGGTAAGTTAGTACAGTATACTTTGCTCTGACTATGCATGTTAAATCTTCGTATATTGAAGACTGCCAGTGAAAATTATCCATTACTCACAATGACTTCAGAGGGTGTCTTGGGGGAGACCTACATTTTTTGTATACATTTGGTAATTGTCAGGACCAGTTGTGCACTGTAACTACTGCACCTACTGTATTAGTCTTCACCATAGAACATAAATACCAGTAAAGCTTCGTTTTTGGTAATTATATAGGCCTAACCTGCTAGCGAAATTGATTGTAAGCTATAAAAACGCCGGATTGTCATTGTTATATTACAGTGGACATTGTTGTAGTTTGTGGAAATATATTAAAAAAATTGATATTTTAAAACTAAACTTTACTTAAAATTTGTGGGTATGAAGAACAGACCTAACCAACAAAACCAACCAAACCTTCCTAACCTTACCTAACTTCCCCGGTATATTAAACAGAAAGAACTTACTATGATATATGGTGAAATTTGACTCATTTTCTGGACATGGGATGATATGGCTGCATTGGCACTATGCAGCCCTGGCGGCTTAGTCCTATATATTAACCATAGGTTTTTGCCCAACTAGATTTGTTATTACTAAAATAGTTTTGATAATGGTAGAGGAGACGGTTAGCATCAAAAGAACTTTATGGAATGGCAGCAAATTTGCAAATGTTGTTTGTATGATACAAAGAAAATTGAAATGACAATGCACAATAGTCAAGGGGTCTTGTCTCCATAAACAATCATTGTCACACTAAGTAAAGGTCAGATTCAAATCAAAACAAAAACAAAACTATTTTAGTATTAAAAAATCCAGTTGGGTATAAAAACAAAATAATTAGATGCATTCTTACTTTATGAAAAAAAAAATGCACAAGTCGTGCATTTTGATATGTTGGTGTTTTCCTCCAGCTTCAGGTAATGAATGCCGACAGAAAATCAACAGCATACAGTTGTCAGACTGAAAATGTTAAAATTGACGAGTTACCTATCACTACTTAATTTATTTTGATGGGTCTGTTCTCACTATATTTTCATTGCTGAGTTTGAATGATAATCATTTCTTGTGCACATGCTTCATATGGTAGATACTTGGGCCCCTAGGCTTGCATTAGTGCAACTCCTTTGAATTGTGTGGTGATAAATTGATGGTTGATTTTGTCCTCCGCTGAATGTATGTTTAGGAGCCACTCGGTCTGGGGGGGACTTGTCTCACTTCTACAAAAATACATAAAATTACATCATATCATAGTAAGTTGTTTCTGTTTAATATCCTGGGGGGGAGGGCATGGGGGTAGAGCCCCACAGCTAGCTACATTAGGTAGGTTTCTTTTGTTACTTCAGTGCGGTCTTCTAACAATGTCCACTGCAAAATACAGCAAAATTGCAGCATTTTAAAAATAATTTTCTCTGAAAAATCAGCGTTAGGTATGTTATCAATAATTGCCCAAGTAATCTTCAACTTTCTTCTCATTGGAAATCATCATCATCAACATTTTACAGCCATTTTCCACACTTTCATAGGCTATCTGATGGCAGCTCTCCATGCTGTATGGTCTCTTTCAGTCTCTTGTCAGGTTCTCAACTCTTAATATCATTTCTTACAGCCTCTCCCCATGTCATTCTTGGACTACAACGGACTCTCCTCCTCTCTTGACCCAGTTAGTCTTATCCATTCTCTCCACATCCCCAAACCATCTCAGCCTGCTTCTATGAATTTTGCCAATACTCTCAATACCCAGTTGCCCTCTTAGCTCTTTCGGCATCACATTACACATCCATCTCACTACAGCTACTCCCATTTCAACTCATCAAGTCTACTTATATCATCCACAAGAGATTAACCTGAAAATTTTGTTGTTACGATCTAAAAAACTTAAATTTGTCTATGAAAGAAACTGGCTATTGCTGCAGTATAATTTATCATTATAATTACACCAACAAGATCTACAAAACCTAACTTACCTGGTAATCTCCAAAACCTATCCTAATATAAAGTAATAGTTATACCTGTACATATATCAGACCTTTAGTGTAAATGCATACATTCAGTACAGTATTGTACTGTATTGAAATCAGTAGTTTGTGTTTAAAGGGTTTTCTCTATTATTTAGTTTATGTTTCAGTGATGGGGAAAGTGAAGAGAGACAGGGCAAGGAACACCTCCCATCTTGGGCCCCAGGATGGAAAAGTGAAGAAAATGAATCTAGTAAAGCCAGATGATCATGTCAAGACAATGAAGAAGATCTCCAATAATTTTATCTCAAATACCAAGCATAATGTACAAGGTGTTGAAAATAAAAAATTGCAAGTTGAATCATTAGCAAATAAGAGAAAGAGGAAAAAAAGCAAAAATAAGTTCAAGCAAATACAAGATGATGAAGTTTCCAGCACATCAGCAATAATCAAAGAGGTACAGTACAGTATGTTCATCTAGAATTACTATTTAGTACTGTTTTACTTGCATTTCAGATATCTGGGAGTGATTGTGTTAGCACATACAGTGGTTTGTTGCGAAGTGCACCTGAGAGTACAGTGGTCCCTCGGTTAACGAACACAATTCGTTCCAGAGGGTCGTTTGTTAACCGAATCCATTGTTTCAATGGGATCTTGGGTAATTGATTCCAGCTCATTGAAAATTACATACAAAGTAAAAAAAAAATGCCGTAAAGTACACTTACTTTGAGGTGTGTATGTAGAAGGTTCCTGGTTGATGATGCTGATGGGAATTTGAAGTGGGGGGTGGAAGAGAAGAAGGGAGAAGAGAAGGAAGTGGGGGTGGAGGAGAAGCATTTTACTGCTTCTTGGAAGGTGAGTCACCTTCCATAATAATGTCAGGAAACTCTGGACTGACAGATTCTCCACCATGAACATCCTCTCTCCTTTTTGAAGTGGAAGGCTGAGGGGAAGCATCTTTCTCCCGCTGCCTTTTAGAGAAGAAACTGTCAATTTTTGGTTGTGGAGCATTTCTCCTCCTGATCATTAGCTGGTTCTTGAAGAAGGAGACCACTTTTTCCTCAACAGTACACAAAATCGGTTCTGTTTTTTCCACACCAGGGTGCCTTGAAGTCAGTTTCCTGAACATCTCCCAGTGGTGAACAACATCTTTTAATTCTGAAGAAGACATATGGTCATCACTTTCCCTTTCCTCCTCACCACTGTCTGTTTCTAACATCTCATCCAGTTGTTTCAAGTCTTCAGGAGTAAGTTCCTGCTCATGAGACATCACAAGCACTTCAATCCTCCTCCACTTCAAGTCCCATTGACTGACCAATGGACACAATCTCCTTGTCCAACTCCGTTTCTTCCTCAAATCCCTCAAAATCGTGGACTGCTGTTGGCCACAGTGCTTTCCATGCAGAATTCAGGGATCGAATGGAGACTTCTTGCCATGATGGCACGATCAATTTTACAGCCTCCAGGATGTTGTATTGCGTCTTCCAGAACTGTGCCAGTGTTAGATCAGGATCAGTGGAAGTTGCCTGATGACACCTTCTGAACATTTTCTTCATGTACAGCTTCTTGAAGTTGCTGATTACATTTTGGTCCATTGGCTGCATAATTGATGTAGTGTTGGAGGCAAAAACAACACTTTGACAAAGTCAAATCAAGCCTCCAAATTGCTGGCAAGTTCAGGGTCATGACCACGGGCATTATCCAGAAGGAGAAGAGCCTTTAAAGGACGTTTATTGGTGGTTAGGTAACTTCACAGAAGGGCAAAACACCTCAACTGCCCATTCATTAAAGAGCTGTCTTGTTACCCATGCCTTATGGTTGGACTTCCAATAAACTCCAAGTTGTCCTCTTACCACCTTTTGTTGCTTGAACACCCTGGGGTTCTCAGAGTAGTAGACAAGCATAGGCTTCAGTCGGAAATCCCCTGAAACATTGGCACCAAGCAATAGAGTGAGACGGTCCTTCATGGGTTTATGCCCCGGTAAAGAAGTTTCATCTCTGGTGATGAATGTCCTTTTGGGCATTTTCTTCCAGAACGGCCCGGTTTCATCCACATTGAACACTTGCTGTGGAAGTTCCTTGAACTCCACTACAAATTTTGCTGCTCCTTTTATCTGCACTGGCAGCTTCACCAATCCTAGCAACACTATAAATGTCACTTCTTTTCTTAAATTTATCGAACCAGCCCTTGCTGGCCTTAAACTCTTCAAAGTCGGTTTCAGAAGAACTAGGTTGATCTTCCTTCAAATGTTCTTATATTTCCCTAGCTCTTTCACAAATAAATTCATTAGAAATTGAATCTCCTTTCATTTGTTTTTCTTTAATCCAAATAAGAAGTAACCTCTCTGTTTCTGCAATTAATGATCTACCTTTAAACACTCTAGTAGAGTTATGTCTCACTTTCACTTTAAATTTCTCTTTCTGCGCAAGAATTGTAGACACAGTTGATGCCGACATGCCATATTGTTTACTTAGTACATTTGTTCTAATGCCTTCTTCATGTTTCTTAATAATTTCCTCTTTCACTTGAATTGAACTCACCTTTTTAGATTTCTTTGGACCCATGCTGGATTCAATACAGTAATTTCACCACTAAAATTTTAAGTTCACTAGCTGTAATTAAAGATTATTTTGTTTAAATCAACACTGCACTGCGCTATATATTATCAATAGGTTAAATAAATTTCAGAATTACCAATAAGCAAGATGTTTCCTCCACTGTACAGAGAATTAAACAGACGCTTTGGTGGGTGAATGAAGTGGCTGATGGGCGAACCAAAAACTAGTTCCCTGTACTGCATATATTATCAATTATGTTAAATAAATGTTAAAATGACTAATAATTTTAATATAAAACTTAATCAAATTTTTGTTCGTTAACCGAATTGAAGATTCGTATGGAAGGTAATTCGTTAACCGAAATATCGTTAACCGAGGGACCACTGTACAGGTAATTGGGAGACTGAGAAATTTTGGGAGAGACAATTGTATCAGATGAGGCAAAGTTTGGGATATACAGTACAGGGCAGTGTTGATCTGAGATTATTACAGTGGGGTCACAATATTTCGTGGGTTATGTACCAGATGTCATCGTAAATTATCAAATAAAAAATATTTTAATTTGTTTAAATGGAAATAATTAGTTGGGTTCCCGAGTCCAAGAACTACAGACTGACCTCGCAAATTCGTGTCTCAGAAGTTGCTTTTCCATAAATCTGTGCATTTTCTTGAGCGTCCCCAATTTCTGGTTGGACCCTGCTAATCCGGGACTCAATAGGCTGGCAGCTTAGATGGTTTGAGACGCATATAGTGAATACTTAATCTTATGGGGAAAATTAGGATATTTTCCACAACTACTAAAAGTCTTCAGTAATGCTATTCAAGTTGTGGAAAAAATATTATAGTTATCACAACCTGTACTAAAATGTACAAAGTTAATTACTAAAAAACATTATGTGTAGTGCAAACTATGGGATGTTTATACTCAAATTAATCGCCATCTTACAAGAATTCCAGCAATGCAAGTTATATTCAACTAATAATTTGGGGTAGATATGTGTAATTTATATATTTTTTTTAATCATTTACATGCACACAATCCTACATACAGAATGTGTAAAACAAAAAGGATTATCCTAAGTTCAAAAATGTAAAAGGAATGTGAGGGGTCAAGAAATGCATGTGTTTGTGTGATGGCAAAGATTTTTGGCCTTTAGTCCTGAATAAAATTCCTCCTCCTAGACACCTTTTTTATTCTAAAGGATGGAGACAAAATTGGGCTGATATAATTTTTATTTTTTTTTCAGTTAATGTAAGAGTTACAGCCTGTAAATTCTTCTGAAAATGCTTGAGTTATAAAAGTCTTGCACCTGTTTTCATTCTTTTTATTTTAGCATAAGGAAATAATTGGCTTTGCTATTTAATACTGTACAGCCCAAATATTTTGTTACAGAACTTACAGATGCCAAAATCTTCAGTTTCCACAAAATTTTTACATCCTTGTAAAGTTAAGTCAGACGGTGTGGATTTTTCTCTTCTTTGGCTCAACTATAAACCTCGTTCTACTCCTCTGATAAAAGCTGGAAGTGATTGGTACATGCAGGTAAGCCATAAAAGGTTTGAATTACAAGTTGATGCAATTGAAGTGAGTGATACATTGATGTAATTTTAATGTCTTCATATATCATTGCCTTTGCCATATTTTTTTAACTCTTTAGATTTTTATAGCCTTATATACAACCTTGTCTTCGTGTTTGTACTCAGATAAATTCTTGTACTATGCTCTACTCATATGCCAGGTCTTGACATATAAGTGCCGGTAGTAACTGTTTGATTTTATAATTCTTACATACCTTGATTATTTCACTAGAATTAATTAACTTTTCCTTTCCAGCTTATGACTGAAGAGCCTGAGATCATTCCTACTGATCCTCTTATTAAGCAAAAGCTAAAGGAATTAGCAGCTGAAATTCTTCAGCACGATGTTATTAATTACAACAGGAGTAGGTAGCAGAATTTTTTTGTTTTATGATGAATATACAGTTGAATAATTGTTTCATAATTGGCAGCTTTATTTTCATCTACTTGTACTTGAAATTTAAGGAATGTACTAAATCTCTTAGGCTAAATGGTACAAAATAATTACCATACTGTACTGTAAAACTGTATTACCAGACGAGGTTATCATCTTGTTGCCTTCTGTGCTTGTTAAGTGTACAGTATAATGTTCATAATTTATCAAGGCAGGTTCTGGCAAATATGATATACAGTACTGTATATAAATAAGTTACAGTACTGTACTGTATTCAAAACTTGTAGAAAACATTATAACTGCTGAACAGGATTATTCATTAAACAGTACAGTAGTACCCACAATTGAACCCACAGGGTACCGCGGAAAGTGAAAACCGCGTAAAGTGAACAACAGAACATATGGGATTAATTCCAATAGAGACTGGCCCACCCCCAAACTCCACTTTTTCCGACACAATTCCTATGTTGTAGTAAAAATAACATCTAAATTTTATGATGGTATGCTCACACAATTAATATTTAAGAGAAATACAGTCGCCAGGTTAATGTCCATCAAACTCAAATGGCTCCTACCTCTCTGAGAAATTGGGTGAAACACTAGATTTTAACGTTTAGTAATAAATAATACCTCAGACTAAAGTTAGGATAATATAATTGACATTTCTGGATTCCTTGCAGGTCAGGGAATATTTTGAATGTAAACTTCATATATTTTGCACAAAAGATAAAATATTTCCTTTGTGTAAACCAAATTATTACATTAGATCTAAAATTTGTATGTCTAATGCAAAATCCATGCTGTTTATATTCAAAATGATCATCATATTGTAAGAATTCCAGCAATGTAAATTATATTCTGGCCGGGTAATTTGTATGAATTTTATGAGCTAAAACAAATATCTTCAGTAAATAAACAAAGAAATATTCTTCAAGGACACTATCTGTCAATCAAAATACCCCACCTCCCCCTCCCTCCCTTCCTACCCCCCACCCCCACCTTCCCTCCCTACCAGAGAAGGATTGGGAGAAAATAGTATATTTATATTTTTAGTAATAAATAATAACCCAGACTAAAGTTAGGATAATATAATTGCCATTTCTAGATTCCTTGCAGGTCAGGGAATATTTTGAATGTAAACTTCATATATTTTGCACAAACAATAAAATAATTGCTTTGTGTAAACCAAATTATTACATTAGATCTAAAATTTGTATGTCTAATGTAAAATCCATGATGTTTATATTCAAAATGATCATCATATTGTAAGAATTCCAGCAATGTAAATTATATTCTGGCAGGGTAATTTGTATGAATTTTATGAGCTAAATAAAAAAATAAACAAAAATTATACTTCACTGTGCCGTATATGAGTAGATGCACCGCGGAAAGTGAAAGTCCGGTTCTGGCAAGGTACTGCGTAAATGAGAAAAGTAAATGAGAAAATCGCAGAAAGTGAAACCGGGGTAATACTGTATTTAGAAAAAAAAAGGATAATTCCTGAATTTTTCATGTAACCCTGAACATACTTATTTTTCAGTTGAAGAAAGGGGGTCAAAAATGCAAGAGGTTAAGTTTAGAAAAACTGTGATGTCCCATGGCACATCACGAGATAAATTAGCTGCACATGTCCTAAGGTGTATGGACTCCCCAGTTCACAGTTTGAGTAACCTCAACTCTCTTATAGCTATGGTGACACCAAAAGCTAAGAGTGGGTATGAAGAGGCCATGAGTAAGTACTGTACTGTACCTAGTTTTGATAAGTAGATCCTGGTCATGATTTTGATTGTCCTTATGATAGTTACTTTATTGACTTTCTAGGGAGTTCACCCTTTTCCAAGTAAATATCTCAATTGAAATGTATAAGCATTAATTAGAAAAAATTTCCAGTGGATTTGTCCTTTAGTGATCCATATGTATGAAATTCCATATGAAATGTAAATTTTATTTCCAGGTTCACTGCTGGAGCTGTTTCAGTCAACCTTTATGCCAGGTAGAAGACAAGCTAAGAAATTTGAAGCCCACAGCTTCTCTTGTTTGGCCCCTGTCATTGTCACTAATCGTGAGATAGCAGAAAAACAGCTGGCATTCTGGTACTTTGAAGATCAGCTTGCCTATGTTTATCAGAAGCTTGTCAGACAACTCACTCAGGTTAGTTTGTAATTTTGCAAGAGAAAGTACTCAGAGAGTCTGTGTTGCTCTTTATTGTGATCATCCTTCATCATGTAGAAAAGATTTTTCATGAATGAATAAAAAATATACATAGTCACTCAAAAGCTAATGATAATTTATTTGATCAGGTTGCTCATGACACAGTGGACAAGAACAAGTTGAAAGGAATACAAAGTCTTGTTGATTTGTTGAAAAGTAATCCCAATCAAGAGCCTAACCTTATTGTGGAGGCTATTATTAACAAGTTAGGTGATCCCTCAAGAAAAGTTGCTGCACAAACCATGTACTGGTTGAGAACACTACTTCAGAGACAACCAGCACTCAAAATCCAAGTTGTAACTTCAGTTGAGGTGATGCTGTATAGGTGAGAATCTTTATAGCTATTGCTTGGTAATTATTTATTAAGTTAATACCTGTAGTGCATTTTCTCGTGGAATGTGCACTAGTAAATTATCACCATTTCATATGCAGTTGTCTGTTGTATATTAGAAATATTTTAATGTACAGTAATTTTTAATGACAGGTAGGCAGGTAGTCTTTGATTACCTCAGGGAGTTGTGACCCTACCATGTTAGCTGCTCCTTCCCTGTGGGTGGGTGGGTGTTAGGAAGGGCCTTGAGTGATAAAAAGTTGCTTCAACATGCCCAATGCAACTGAGTTACCAGAGCTGTGCTTATCTGCTGATCTCTTCTGCATTTTCTGGCCTGCTGCACCCTGGGTTTGCATTGGTAAGCATTGGCTTCCCGTTCTGGTTTACAGTATACAATAGCTGCCATCACATAATCATTGCTAACCCATGCAAGTATGGAAAACAGCTGTAAAATATTGATGAAACTTTAATGCTATTTTTTTGTGGCTCATTTGTAATTGAACTTGTCCTATCATAGATGGTGAATCTAGTTTATCTGAATGTTTAGCTTCTGATGTTCTAACAGACCAAGTGCAGGTTGGTGACAATATTCATCCCTTCAAAATTAATTGAATTAAAACTGATTCAAAGTAAACTACTGTATATTTTTCTTGGGAGTCTTCAGGACTAGGAGGGGTTCACATTATGAAGCTTCATAAGCCTACATTCATGACCCATCCAAGGTAACCCACCCAAGAAATCATAAGTTAGAATCCTTAGGCTGCAGACAATTGGCATTTTGAACAGTCAATTTTGCCATTAACTTTAGATTTATCTTACTATTTATGATATCTAGTCATTTGTTTGCATCTCTTGCATTTCATGTTTAAAGTTAGAGGTAATTGCTCTAACTTAAGCTGGCTTGTTGGAATCTTTCTATTTGACCCAATGCAGAAAAAATCTTTTTCACTTATACCTGTAGGAGAAATGTAAAATTTCAAAAATTGATTACTTCCAGTCCCATATCTTTAGAGGGCACTTTGTGTCTGCAGGATTAAAACTTTTAGATGTCAGTGTCCCGAATTACCTTGTCTTTTGCCGAACATTTTCAGGATTTAGAAAGGGGCAGACATTGATTGACTGGTTGAAGCAACCTTTTGGTTAAAGAAGAGTGTACAGAGTAGTTCTACCTTCTTATTCCTTCCAACTATTTCCTCCTCATATTCCAATTCCTCTTCTCTCATAGAAGTCCTTGGTCAGACTGAGGTTTGTCAGTACTGTAGTTTTCTTTGTAGTTATATATTTTGATTTTCATAATTCTCATATTTATTTAGTTCTAGTGATCAATTTCTTGGAGGTCTTGTTCAATCTGTTGTCTTTTTTTTTTACAGTGTACAGATTAATGTAAATAATTAGATTCAATAATAATATCCTTATAGACAGTGTCTGCAATTTCTATCTTGGCATTTTCATATAAGGAAGTTTATGCCCAGTATTTTGTAAATGGAGGAGGAATTCTCAAACCCCATTTTATGGCCAAGTCTGCATTAAACAACAACTTGTTTATTATTTCACAAAGTCTCTTTGTTAAAAACCCAGGGAACTTCCTTGACATTGTTGGCCGAGTCTTATCGATTGCTTGGTTAAACCTTGCCATTGCACTAACGCCTTAAAATGGGGTCCTGGAAGCAAAAGTTGCTAACTACGGTAAGGCTGTAGGCTAATGAGTCATGATTTCACATCAACTGTTTGTACAGGTATTCTGCTTGTCACTTTAGATATTGGCCATAAGCTGTGGTCACAGGACCGACCTGACGTTCCAGTTTACTTCATAGTTGCCTCATATCTAGCCAATGACTGATTGCCTCTTGTAGAGTGGGCTTAACATTTCCCTCAGAAAGCTCACTAATGATGCACTGCCTCTTAGTGTTTGGGCTCATGTTGTGCTGGTCAGCTAATATACTTTAATGATATACTGTGAGATACTGTACTGTACTATGTTTTGATTTTGAACCAAAATCTAAGGCCCTGAAATTCAAACCAGAACTAACTGATCCGGAATGGACTTGGAATGAATGGTATTTTAGGAAAAAAGTTACTTGTTAACTATTTTTTAAGAGAATTGACAAAAAACCTGTTTATGGTCCCTGGCTTTACAGAACACTGCCTAGAAAATGCTGACTCGAAGACTTTAAAGTTGTGTAGATGGACATTAATGCCCTGAGTTTTAATCACTTTCTTCCGGTGACGAGGGTTGTCGTGTTCACATGCATAATTTTAAATGCGAAGGACCCCACACTGCAGCTCATGACGGAGAGGGGTGGCAGAAAAACGAACTAATAATATATAATATTGGAATTTGAAGAGGTGGCTAGTAGCTGATCTTTGTTACCCTCTTTGTATTTGTTTTATTGGATATACAGTATATAGTAAATCAAATTAATGAACAAAGAAAAACGTAATGGTAATTTTATAATTGGTTTCTAACAATATTTTTATGGCCAATATTAAGAAATTTTCAAAAGACGTGTTTTATTTTACTGCCAAGTGCAACCTCGTTCAGCTGCTGAGTCATCTCATCCTACAAATGCTGGTACTAATAAGATAAGTACATTTAAGATAATTTATTAAACATTTTAGCAGTTTTGTGAGTTTTTGTTTGGAAAATATAAACTGGCAGTTTTCTGGGCTAGAAATCTTAAAATATATAGAGCTAAATTTCATTGGCAGGACATCCACCACTAAACTTTATGCAACATATATTAATAAAGTAAACACATTGAAGGTAAATAATTGAACTTTTTAGCAGTTTTGTAAGTGCATTTTTGTCTGAAATATAAAAAAAAAATTCCTTGTCAAGTTAGGGTAGTATACTAAAATCTCCCATGTTGATGATAATCTGTGTGCAGTCTTTAATTTGGGCACCAGCGTTTGTAAACAAACACACCTCCGCCATACCAACCACATAAGTAAGATGACCTATAATGCATCAGCCAAGGTGGACAGACTTGCCAACTTTACCCTTGACAATCCCGCAAGGAGGGGAAGAGGTTCAAGTAATTAAAACTACCGCTTGAAGGAACGACTCCTACCTGTGGGTTCTTTGTGGAAGATGGTGATTAAAACTCCAGGTATTAACCCTTTCCTTCCCCCACTATCTGAGTTAGAGAAGGAACTGAATTGACTAGATGAAGTTGAAAATGGAAAGGAAATCAAATCTTGGTAGGCCAAAATGGATCTACTAGTGTATTTACTAATCCCCTGTGGATCAGTTTCAGTCTCTTAATTGGTAACTGCATTTGAGAGGGAGAGAAAGGACTAGTTTCAATTTCTAAATTACTTGCAGAATTTACTGAACCTAAATTGGTTCAGTGGAAACAGTAATGTGGTCCAGATCCAACCACATTCTCATAAATCCGTTTTTAAGTTAAGTGATTGGTTTCTGAGTTAAATAAATAAACATGAAGACATTTAATTTTGGGTTTTTAAACCCTAGACTTTTGTGACACCTACCTGGTACCCATGAATGCCCATACACTTGATACCACTAGAAAGGTTAACTGTTGTTAACAATGTGAAGTTGGTCTGTCCTTTGGAGGCTGTAGGCTAATCTATTTGAGGAGCTTGTATTCAGTGTCTCTTGGGGGTCATAACTGTTTTCCTGCTGATCCAAAAATGAGGTTTTTGTAGGATGTATTAATTTTTCTTACTTTGAAACTGGGTTTCCTCAAATGTATTGATTTTAGGATTTTCTTTTTTCAGGCCAAATGTGAATGAAAAAGCTCAATACTACTGCCTTTGCTTTTTAAAAGACTTGATTTTCTCCGATGATGATAACAGGCTTGCTGCAGAACTTCTTAAACTGTATTTTGGTTTTTTTAAAGCTTGTACAAAAAAGGTAAGTAAAATAACCTAGAATTAGGAAGCTTTTTCAGAAATTTGGTGCATTATGTCTCATGAAAAACTCCCTTAGTAACACATATGTTAGTTAACTCTCTCAGTTGTACAGATCTACATTTTACATTTGGGAACAGTTCTACAAACGTGTGAGATAAATCTGGGTTTCTCCCGCCCTGTTTCAAATGTCTTTGAGCAGCCATAAGCCATGTAATGATGCAATATATCATCAGTATTAATTCACCCTCAGAAATTTCACAACTGTTCAGTTACCTGACAGACACTATGCTAGAAAAAAGTTTATTAGGATGTGTATCTGACAGCCTCAAGAATGATTCTGTACCTGTGTGTCTGGTAGATACAAACGTAAATGTACAGTGGTCCCTCGGTTAACGAGCACAATTGGTTCCAGCAGGTTGCTCGTTAACCGAAACCATTGTTTCAATGGGTTTTTGGGTAATTGGTTCCAGCTCACCGAAAATTGCCTAAATTCAACAAAAAAGGTAGAAAAGTACACTTACTATGAGGTGTGTATGTAGAAGGCTCCTGGATGATAATGATGATGATGTGAATTAGAATGGGGGTGGAGGAGAAGGGAGAAGAGATGGCATTGGGGTGGAAGAGAAGTCACCCCATGGCACCATTTCACCCATAAAATTTTAGTTCTCTTGGTGTAATTCAAGATTATTTTCTTTAAATCAACACTGCACTGCATTATATATTGTCAATATGTAAAATAAATTTCAAAATGACCAATAATTTGCTTGGAAATACAGAATAAAAGCGTTTAGTTGAAGAGAGTCTCAAACAAGATGTTACCTCCAGTGAAAACAGAGAGAGACTAATGCCTGTCTGCTGTATTAGCAGGCTGGATGGCACACCAGAAACTAGTTTCTTTACCTTCAATTATGTTCAATAATTGTTAAAATGACTAAGGAATTTAAGCCCTAAAACCGATTACTGTATTGGCGGACTAATACTACAGCTGGTGGACCGCCAAATGCAAGCGAAAACATGTTGAAGTCAACTCGTAAAAAACTCGTTAATCGAGGGATTGCTCGTTAACCGAAGTTAAGAATCTTATGGAAGGTAAATCGTTAACCGAGGCGCTCGTTAACCGAGGGATCACTGTAGTGATATAGAGGAATGAAATGATGATGATGTAAACACTTGGTCTACACTTCCTCTTCCTTTCTTGAACCCAAACAATTCTTCCACTAATACACTCTCAGTTTGTATCAGAATTCTCACATACAAAGACAACCACACTTAAAATCAGTATTTATTCCTCTATATTTTTATACAGTACATTCATTCAGGGCAGCATTCCCTTTACATAGGTGATCTATTCATACTCTGCCATTCCTTTAGTACCCTTCCCTCTATTATGCCTAACCTATTCACTCTTTATCAGTTCAATTCTCCATCTCCCATTTTTAACACTTTCATAGTGATTCCATCCATTCCAGCTAAGTTCTCTCTCCTGTGGACATAAATTTTAGTAATATTCCAGCTTTGGGAATGATCTTCCGAGATAATTTAAATTCTAGCTATCGGAGAGTTTCGGGTTTGAAGGATTCCGGCTAACGGAGATATTACTTTTAGATTCCCAGTCAAAGGTTTGGGTCCATGAGAACCTAGTTTTTAATCTGTAGGCTATACACAGTTAGTTGCTCAAGACTATCACTGAGTTAAAAAATGTAGTAGATTTGAGTATATGATTTGTTTTTTCTTTAGGGAGAAGTGGACACTCGACTTATGAGTGCCCTGTTGCGAGGGATCAACAGAGCTTTCCCCTACTCCCGGCTGGAAGGCAGTGCTTTAGAGGAAAAGCTTGACACATTATACAAGCTATGTCATCTTGTCAACTTTATCATAGCTACTCAAGCTCTTCAACTGATATACCAAGTATTGAGCAACAAGCAGCAAATTTCTGATAGGTAAGATTATAACTAATGTGCCTTATGTTTGGCAGTCATAATTAATACTGTACTGAGTAATTTTTTACTGAAACAGGACTAAGGACATGACCTCTTGAATCAGTCAGACTTTGGTTGCTTTTGTGTATAAATACTTGTTAATAGTGGAATTGTTGAGAAAAAAAAAATACTTGGTGTTGTTTAAATGTACCATTGAACAATTGGACCAGAAGAAAATATGTACATCATGATTTCTCATCCAGCTTCAGGGCTCCTAAGCTATAGCCAAGAGTCATAAACCCAAAGATACACTTACACTGCAAAATTAGTACCAAACTTTCTATCGCATATTGACAAGGATCTTTTCCAGTTGTCTACAGCCTTACAGTGAGAATTACAGTTTTAAATATTTAGACCTCCATTATCATGTTTATGTTGGATATCGATTTTGGTAGTTGCCTTTTAGTTCTGATGATAAATTTGCTCAAATTTTTAGAAGCTTTTCATTATAGAAACTGTTGCCAAAGCAATCCATGAATCTTAAGAGCATTTGCCCAACTCTTAAGGAATTAATCTAGTGACTGTAAGTAAAACTAGCACCTTCTACTATCGACTTCCATGACTGTAGAACATGGTGACTGTTCTGGGGGCTAGTCTACTGGAAGACAACTGCTTCCAAGAGCTGATGACCCAGGATGCCAGCCTGTCATTGTTGCTTTATACCTTAATTGGCCAAGTTGCCCAATTGGTAAACACTTGTGCACTGTCCAGTCCCCTCAGCTTGCAATATTCTCTGAAGAATATATCTCTGCCATCTGAAGACAGAAAATATTAACTGCTTTCATATTGATTTTTAGATCATGTTTATCCTTCTTGAATGTGACTTGAACAGTTGACCACGTGTGGTTTATTTGTATTTTAGTAATTTTTATATATTTCCTTTCGATTTTCAGTCCCCAGATTGATAATGAGTATGTGACGTAAAGAAGAAAGTCCTTCCCAGGTTCTTGTTATTTGTGCAGCCCATTTATTTTCTTGCAAACATACGTGTCTCATAATGATGAGTGGAATCCATTTCCACTTATTTTCTTTATTTGGTTAGGTGTTTGGGATCATTGGGGGTTGTCGGGGCTGCCCTTGTCTATTCAGTAAAAACCCTCGAGTACTGGACTAATTAAGCCACAGCGATAACGTTAATCAGACGGAATCTTTTATTCGGACGTCCATATCAGCAGGGAGGCACAACTGTACAAAACAGTAGCCAGTATATTACACTTACACATGTTGGCTTATTTAAGCTCATATTAAATTAGTTCAAGTAAAATAATGATACTTATGATATACTTTCAGAAAATTCAGTTATTTTTATTTAAAGTGATTTAGATGTAAGTAAGGGTCTTGATAGAAGAAACTTTCAGAGCCACAAGAAGATTTTTTAAGGTTCCCTACTCATGACATACAGTGTATGTGGCATGGATGGCCTTGTGCAGTATGAGATAAAGTGCATGATGTGGATGTGTACAGTATACCTCTGGCAATGAAGTGGATATGTTCATGAAATCCCCTTCATTGTCATAGGAAGATTTAACAATGATGTAAAAGGGAATAGGTTCTAATCCTTCTTTATTCTATATTTTACATACACCAAAAATGAGCAAAAAATGCTATAGTAAACAATGAAAATAGTACTGTACATAGCACTTCATAAAATACAATAGCACATATTTTATGTACAATACAATAATAGCTCCTAGAACCATCCTATGGGTGACACTGAGAGTGGATAAGTTCAGCCAGCCAGCCAGCTGACTTGAGAGACACCTGGCTGTTTCAGTGTACAATATGTTGTGATCATCACTTTGGGGAGAGCGTGATACATATGTTTTATATTATATTACCTTTATTTCTATTTCACATTTAGAGTACTGCCTGGCGAGTCGACAACATATCTAATTTAGTGAAGATTATACGGTTATGTGAGGGACCCACTTTCAGTGGAGATGAAGTGGATCACACTTACTACACTATGCCTTCAGTATTTTCAGAGTTCCAAATTTTTGCAGTATCTCAGGAACATAGCAGTAATTGTTGACTATGGCTAGGCACTTCAAGTTATCATTCATGGTAAGGCGCTTTCTGCTCTTTGGAGCCTTATCCGAACATAATTGCCTGGACATTTTTCTTACAATGTATGTTATTGATATGTCACAAGAGGCATGTCTGCACTGAGTAATAGCAACGCGCATAGACTGAGTACAGCTTGGCTGTTTTGTTGTGATTCAGGCGGGAATGTGCAGTCTACACCGCATCACTCCACAATAATAATAAATGACATGGAAGATATTTGTTTGAATATTTAAATATTTTTTCTTGGATTCATGTTGTTATTCAGACGTGACAGTACTCAGGTGGTCTGGTATTCTGTGTTTTTTACTGTACTGTACTTTAGTAATCTCTGTGCCTCAGTTTGGTTACTGCAATAATTCATATATGCAAGAAAGGCATTACTGTATTGTGTTTATCTTTTCTAGTGGATTAATTTTGACTCAGTGTTCATTTTGCAAACTGATGAACTGCCTTTGTCAACATACGTTGGTTTTGATGGTATAGTAATTTATATTTTGCAGTCCTGTATGACAGTCACACCAGCCTAACAGAATTTGAAATCACCCTTTTAGCCTATTTTGACCTGTATTTCCCAATAAATACAGGTTGAATCATTTATCCAAAATTCCTAAAACCAAAAAACTCCAAAAACAATTCTAGAAGGCACAAGTGGTGTTCATCATCCAGCTGACCTGAGCTGAGCTGAACGCGCCCGACCATTACCTTTCTTATTTCTACCAAGTCATAACTGGATAATGCAAGCCCAATCCTTTCTTTTTCAGATTTTATCAAGTGATGTATAGACAGATCCAAGACCCTGCCTTTGGAATTTCATCAGCAAACAGTGCCTTTTTGAACTTATTATTCAAGGCTCTAATATCCGATGGGTCACTGCAAAGGATTCAAGCTTTTATCAAGCGTCTGCTACAGGTAAAGTATAGGGCGGCTGCCACCCCCCCTTAATCCAGCCTTGTGAGGGTCTCCAATACTCTGCATTTACTCATCAAATTTTGATGCTCTACTTGTTAACAAAGTTATGTCTAAGTTATTTACATGTTTATGTGTATTCTGGTCAAAGGTGTCAGGTGCACTTAAGCCTCGTCAAGGCAGACCCTGCTTAGGCGGACTCCGCTTAAGCCGGACAAAATTATTTGTCAAAACAATAATTTAAAAATTAAAATAGTTAAAAAAATAAAAATAAAAAAGTAGGACACAATTTGTCGTAAGATGACATATTCGACATAAGCTAAGTTTTCAAGGGAGAAAGGCGGACAGACCCCATGATCCACCCACGTTAGTAAACAAAGGGACACATGTCACGTGCTCAGTCATAAATTAGCATTGCCCGTGATAGCATCACTTCTGCTCTCTCGCTCCGTCATGTCCAGCTGGATCTGCCTTCCATTTTTGGGGGTAAGTGTGCAGTTCTTTATGTACATTGCTTTTTTTTATTAATTTTTATTAAAAACATATAATACATTCATATAAATTGGATACACTGGTGTACTTTTTTTTTTTTTTTCTTTCTCCAAGGCGGACAATCTCTTATCCTGGACACCCCTTCCCCCCATTAGTCCGCCTTAGCAAGGTTTTACTGTGTTTGTATCCACATTTTCATCTATCCACTTAACAGTAATTGGTATTAAATTTAATGACTTACTGACATAACTACTTACAGTATAATGACTTTACTCCATACACAAGGGCTCTGTATCTTGTTTGTCCATTTGTTTCTCAAGTGTTTTATGTAATTGATGGTCAGAGTGGGACCTTAACCATAATTTTTCTTTCCATGATATATTTGAAGCTGAGCATTTTTACAACTACTGTATATGACAACTTTAAGGATACAATCTCACAAAAAAGTGAAGGTTTACTGTATTTCCCAGAAGTTATTAAGTATTTTGTTGGCTCTCGGGTATAAATTATTGATCAATGTGAGCTTTTGAAATTTCCTTCGAGGATAAATAGAAGAATGCAGCGGTAGTGGTACTGTACATTGTAATGATTTTTGTGTGCCTCAGAATACTCTATTTTGTAAGTAGAAAAACATTTATTGAACATTAATTTCTAATTAATTCAGCCAATAACCAAGAATTTACTTTTCAGACAACACAGTACCTGAATTCACACATGACATGTGGTATTTTGTACCTTATTTCGGAAGTAATAAAAGAAAAACCAGGACTCAAGAAGATGACCCAAACATTACTACAAACCAATTTAAATGATGATGATGGCTTAGAGGTCTTCTCAGATGCAGAAGACATAGATGAAATTGAAAATCAAGAGGAAAGTGTTGAAAATATTAATAAGGTAAATATAAAGTGAGACTATGACTAAAAGTTTATGTCCATAGGAGAGAGAACTTAACTGGAATGGATAAATCACTGTGAAAGTGTTAAAGAAGGGAGATGGGAAAGTGAACGAATAAAGAGTGAATAGGTTAGGCATAATAGAGGGAAGGGTACTAAAGGAATGGCAGAGTATAAATAGATCACCTGTGTAAAGGGAATGCTGCCCTGAATGAATGTATAAAAAAAAATAGGAATAAATACTGATGTTAAGTGTGGTTGTCTTCGTATGTGAGAATTCTGATACAAACTGAGAGTGTATTAGTGGAAGAATTGTTTGGGTTCAAGAAAGGAAGAGGAAGTGTAGACCAAGTGTTTGCATTCAGGAACAGCCAAGTATATTAATCAATTCAGTTTGTTGGGATGTCTGTCTGTTGGTTTGTTTGTCTCTCTGTTTGTGTTCTAGCATACCTGTTTATTTTATTTTGTATTATATACAGGGGGGTTCCCGGTTTATGAACGGGTTGCGTTCCTAAGGACGTTCTTAAGTCGGATCTGCACATAAGTCGGAACACATGCTATGTGCATACCGTATTTACGGAACAACGTTTATAATCCCACTGTATGATAGCCTGAGTCCTTATATACATATAAAATTACTTAATTTATGACAAAAGAAGAAATAGAATGACAAAATACAGTAAATGAAAGTAAAAAACAAGCCATCAGGTAAATAAAAAGCTCCTCCCTGAATTACGACGGGGTTAGGGACCGACATCCAGGTCGTAAGTCGGAAATGCTTAAATAATACCGGTACATAGAAAATCTAAAATGGGTGTCTCTTTTTCTTCTCAGCACCTCAAAACTCTCACTTTTAAGCTTGCCAGCCATTTTAAAGTGAATTACAAACGAAAAGTTTGTCTGTGTACTGACTTTGGGACTCGAAAATACGTAATTTGACCAAATTTTGGTACGACTGAGGCAGGTCGTAAGTCGGGGAGGAGCTGTACTGTAAATTTCAAGTTTAACCCCGTTCGCATCAGCGGGCATTTGTAAGTTGGACGTTCGTAAATTGTAGACCCCCTGTAAGAAAATTTTCACAGCTGGTCTTTGTTTGTCATGAGGGTGATTCTCCTCACTTACTCTCACCAACATTTTGTGAGTGGTTTGTGACAGTTTACTTACTGCCTAACCACTTAGTACCCGAGAATGATGTATGAATAGTGTGAAGAGCATCTAACATCATGTAAGGTAACCATTATAAGTAATAATAGAACCCCCATAATGCTTCATCAGTCAGCTATGGCCTGCGAGATGGCTGCACACGTTGCCATTGTTACATGTAAAGAAACTTTAAAAGTTGTAGGAAAATAATTTCAATACTGTGAGGACATTTGAAGACATTGTCAAGATATTGGACTTATCAAGTTGTGCGTCAGTTCCACAGAAACAAGTCATCCATGTGCTCCATCAAACATTTTGAAAATGAGATATGCAAAATCTTTTTCTTTTATAAAATGTATATTTATAATATTTATGTACATTTATTGACCATTTAAGCTGTTTCTGTATTGTATAGGATACACGGTTTGTAGGAGTTCACGCAGTTGTTAATATTAGGTAGTATAGAAAATGGCTTTTTACATAAACTCCTCCCCGACTTACAACCACCCGCACTTACGACCTGCCTCAGTCATACCAAAATTTTATCAAATTACGTATTTTTGAGTCCCAACGTCAGTACACAGAGAAAATTTTCATTTGTAATTCACTTTAAAATGGCTGGCAAGCTTAAAAGTGAGAGTTTTGTGGTGCTGAGAAGAAAAAGAGACACCCATTTTAGATTTTCTATGTATTATTTAAGCATTTTTGACTTACGACCATTTCGACTTACAACCTGGATTTGGGTCCCTAACCCTGTCGTAAGTCGGGGAGGAGCTGTATGCAGTATACAGGGGGGACCTGAATATAGGCGAAATACACTCTTATTCAAGGCTCCCGACACATTACCCTCCCGTACTTTGAGAACCTGCTGTATATTTGAAAGATCTTGGTACAGTGGTGGTTTACAGTTTATTGATATTGTTGTTATGGGAATTGGGTCAAATTTCCAACACAGCTGGAGAATTAAGGGAATGCATTACTGTACTGTATAGTTGTAATCTTCATTCTTTCCTGGTTACAAAATAGTAGTTAAGAAGGTTATTCCTTCCTGTAGTCACTTTCACTTCTCTCAGTTGTATATACTTTTATTCCAACACATGAAAAATTTTAATTTAAATTTTTTATGAAGCACTAATATTTTATTTATTTCCCTTTGCCTTTTTCAGGAATTGACAGATGTTACTAAAAATTATCAAGAAAAGTTTCCCTCTGCATCAATTGAAGAAAATAAAGTCAAAATTGATTGTTCTGAAATGTCTTCTAGTAAACCTAATATATTTTCATCATGGATGCATCGTGGACCATCAACAACTGCTCTTACAGTTTATGATCCCTACCACCGTAACCCTTTATATTGTGGGGCTGAATATAGTCCTGTGTGGGAACTTGGATACCTTAAGGTTTGTAATTACTCTAAGATGAGTTTGAGTGAAGTGAAAATTGCACATATGTGTGAGTTATTAAATTTATTGAGAGCTCAACCCAGGCTGTGCAAATTATGTGGAATATTTACCTGTCCTGGGCAAGTGACTTGAAATTTCCTTGCCCAGATGTTTTTTTACTTGCCCTGGCAAGTTTTTGGAGGAAATCTGCTTACCAAGATCTTTTTATGGGAAAAGTTAATATACATCTTAAAACATTCAAATTTATTGTGTGTATCAACTCAGATCACTTGTGTTTGTCTAAATGCCTTTTACCATCACCCTTCATAATTCCACTCACCTCACACCTGCAGGATATGTGGAGAGTTGGAGATGGTATCTGTTATATCCTACCCTAATTACCCCATTTCTGGTGTCAGTGGCAGTAAAAGTTGTCTGTGAAATCATAGCTCTTGTCACCTCACATTTACAGCCTCTCAGCTTGGATCTTCCTCTGAAATTTTGACAACTTAACACCAATTGACGAAAGGTGGTTGACTGCTTAATGTAGATAGATTACAAGCGCCTGAAATATTATTAATCTTGGTACACTGATGACAGTTGGTCCGAAGATGGATCTCCCTGGTTAAACTTGTACAGGGAGGTGGGGTCATGCAACACCTGACAAATTCTCGTTTAGTTACAGTATTTACCTCTCAAAATATTAGCTTATCCGCCGGGTAAGTGCCAGACATGGACATAAAAAATCGCTTGTCCGTGCAGGGCCGAAGTGCTGGAAACTGTTAATCTGCACAGCCTGGTTCAACTCCATCATTGTGGCATGGCCAAACTGGTGATGAAACACAATACACATATTTGGATCCATCTTCATCATCATCATCATCATCATCTATGTTTTAAGGATCCATGCATGTGTGGGTTAGCTGCAATTACCTGACAGCAGCTCTTTCTGCTGCACAGACTCTTGCAGCCTTTTTCTTAAAAATTTCAATTCTATGTTATTTCTTATAACCTCTCCCCATGTCATTCTTGGCCTACCCCTGGCTTTCCTCCCCTCCACATGCAGAGTCAAACATCTTTTAACTCGGTCATTCTCTTCAAAGATCACAAACACCAATTTTTTGTATTAAAGGAATTAATGATCCCAAGACCCCAAATTAAACACAAGTACAGTACATGGTTCAATGTGATACAGTTATAAACTCAATTTTGCACTCAACATCTAAGGAGCTGATGCACATACAATACAAAAGGGGTGACAGGCCTTGTGAAGGACTTGTGTGTCTGGGAGAAGAAGTATGTCAGTGAGATGGTGTGGTGCAAGGTTACTCAGGTAGGAGAGTGCCAAAACATGCCCGGTATAAAACTGAGTTCCAGTACTGTATCTGTTATGTATCATTGAGAGCAATGTAATTATGGATGAAAGCATCTGGCATGTGAGTTTCTACCTCATGATTGGTAAAATTAAGGCCATTTCATAGGCAAAAAGAGAGAGAGGGAGAGAGAGAGATTTATCACAGCTTAGCATAGTAAGTGACAGTGATGGGGTCCAAGCCCAAGTATCAATATAACATTCAGATAATGTATATATTTTTTTATTTTGGGGGCGGGGGGGGGGAGAAAATAACAATTATAATAACTCTTTGACTAAAAGCTGAGAACACTGATTACACAAAATACTCTGGTCATTGATTCCACAAATCTGTAAAAAGAAGGATGGTAAAAGAATTCTAAAAGGATCAAAGAATTCTAAAAGGATCAAAACCTTTTGAGATTATCCTAGTGTACCCAGCTGATTGGTAACTAAGCTATGGAAGAGGAAGTTATCCACAAACCTCCTACCTTTTACTGTAATTACCGAGATAATCAGTGCCACTTTATCCTGTCTTTGGGAGATTTTTTATTTTTTTAATAGTTTTGTATTTTTCCTTAGTAACTTTTGTTGGAAAGTATGAATTATCACAAACTGGTGATTTTCATACAATTTGGCTGGTAAATGAAATTGATGCGACTTGTCCTGTTTTGTGAAGTGCCAGTCACTGAACTAGAATAGGTCTACGTCTCTTATCTACAGGTACCGTACATAACTTTTGGAAAAATAATTTTAACTGTAAATTTTTATTTACTGGTACTGTACAGTAATACCTCGTTTAGTGCTACCCCATAGAGCATTGCTTCATTATAGAGCTCTTGCTTGCATCTTGGAACTCTAGTTTTACTTGAAAAAAAAATGAAAATCCGTAAATGAAGTCAAAAGCTATGAGTCCAAACACTCAAAACACGCCAAGAGCATCTCTCTCACTCACTCTTTCTTTCTCGAGTACCCATGACTACAGTTGATTATTAAATGTGTTTTATAATACCCCTGTATTATATTAAGTGTAGGTTTTATTTCCTGTATGACTTAAAATTGTGTGTGGTTAACTGAAGCACAGGTGCATGGGAGCAGGTGTGGTGATGGGTTGAATGTCAACTGTTGAGAAGCCAGATACTTTCTTCCATAATTACATTGCTGTCACTGATACATAACAGATACTGGAACTCAGTTTTATACCCGTCATGTTTTGGCACTCTCCTACCTGAGTAACTTTGCACCACACCACTCCCTTCCACTCCACCTCTCTTATCACCCCCACCTTTCTGCCTTCTCTCTCCATTTTTTAAATGTTATGTAACATAATGTTGAAGTGATACAACACTGCTCATTTATATTTACACTCTATTTTGTGGGTAGACATCAGCTGTTCAATAGCGTCTGGCAGTGTTGCAGCCAGTGTTACCAAAGAAACTGACAGACGCATCACCTCCTCACCACTTAACACAATCTCCTTCACCACCTCCATCATTACCACCCCCATCATCATCACTACCATTATCATCACCTAAATTTCAGTGATGCAGAGATGGATTAGCTTCAGCCAGAGCAGATTTGTGCACTATCCACTGCCTCCTGCGTCCCTTCCACCCACTGTGTTTCACCGACACGCTGCTCCTCTCTCTCATTCTACTATGATTACAATATTGTACAGTACACTACATTACTTATTCATTAATTCATAAAGATATGTACAGTAAATGTAATAATCTGTGTTTATTGATACCTGTACCTTTCACATGCAGTATTGTATACATCTCATAGGTAAATAATAATGTCATCAGGAATGCATCTCCATATATATAAGGGTATAATGACCCCACAGAGCTCTGTTTCGGGTAGCGTTCCATTTTTCGGGAACGTATCCTGAGCACTAATCGGGGTATTACTGTACATGTATCCCTCGCTTAGCGAATTGGTTAGGTTCATTAGGTAAATTTTTGTATATTTAATAACAGAACAAATTGGAAAAATAGGATTCTGTTCACCAATGACAAGAACACCCCAATATTTTACCCCAAAACATGAAATTGGTTCATGAACAAAAAAACCTACCTAACAAATGAAACATAGTACAGGGTACCTAAATACTGTATTTTACTACCTAACACGTTAAGATAATTAATAGAATACAGTATAACTTTGGTTTATTACCTTAAGGGCTCACCACAAGGGGTGAAGAATGGCAGAACGAAAGACACGGGCTGGGGGTAGATGCGGAAGTGAGGGGGAGAAGGTTGTTATGATCACAGAGCAAGAATACTTCGGTTCACATTTCTCCAAAGTGGCCGCCCCAGCTGACTCCCTGGGGTGCGTGATTTAAATTTTGGCTGGAACCAAAATTCATGTGAGCTAGGGTAAATTTCGTTAAATAAGAAAGAAGTTTTAAATTAGAAAATTTGTGAAAGCGAATTTTAGTAGCTCGAATGTTCGTAAAGCGAGGGATACCTGTACTTTATTCTCTGAAAATTTACATTTGTTTATTTTATGTTTTTGTGATGATTATCGTGTATTACAATGCTTATTAGGAATTTATTAGAAGTAGGTCATTCAAAGAGTAGGTTTTTAGAGACTGAAAATGGTATTTATGAATTTTGCTATTGGCAGAGGTTTCTGGATTACTGTATTGGATCTTTAAGTGTGTACATATTAAGATATTTGCAGGCACACTACCACCCATCTGTATCACTGTTTGCAAGCAAACTCATAAATGGCGAAGCTATTGAGTATTCTGGAGATCCACTTCAAGACTTCACACTCATGAGATTCCTTGATAGATTTGTCTACAGGAATCCCAAGAAAATGACTGGCCAAAAAGATGGTAAGTGATTATGACTTAAAATATTAAATGCTAGCTTAGTATTTTTTAATATGTTTTCAATAGCAAAATGAAATTATTGTTGCTTTTGGTTTGGTGTTTTTAGAGGCAGTATAGTGGATGGCTTCAGTCACACATGGCAGTAGTGATATGCATATGCTGTTGCATGAAGTCAGGATTTTTCTTCATTACTGCTACTCTACACATTACTCTTGCCCTTTCTATTCCCTTTCCTTTTTCCCCATTCTTTTCTTAATACATTCTCCACATTTTTGCTCGTGATGGAGGCATGGGAATTTTCTGTTATTGGCTAAATTGACAGTCATGAAGATACAGAACATGTTATTGTTAGAAAATAATATCATGAGCATTGAAGAAATGTGACCTTTTGAAGTTTTCAGTATTTATGAATATTAACAGTCAAGCAAAACTTTTTTTTTTTTTTTTAATAGTAGGTAGATGATTTAAAATAAAAAGAAATTTAAAACCATAAACTCCCAATATCCATGGCCTCGCATATCAAGATTACCACCTTGTAACATCAGTTTTCAGAGTTGGGTGCATTGCTTACTGTGTGCTGTGTTAGGACTTGCCACTGGCTAATCATTTAATCATGGTTTGAACAGTTGTCTTTTCATAAGTTTACTCATCTAATGACATCTACAAAGCATCAAAGTGACAGTGAAAGGTTTGCATTGTAACGAGTAGACATATAACACTTACTCTTATGTAGAAAGTGGAAATACTGTAATACAAAAATTAGATAAGGGTGCATTGATGTGTCACCTGATGAGTGAGTCTTATGAAGATGGTTAAGCTGTATCATATCAAGAAACAGTATTACTTACTTACTCATGGATTATGAATTACTGTAATTTTATTCTGCTCTACAATTTATGGTTTTAATTAATCATCACACAATTAGACATTTCAATACCAAGGACACTGATTTTAATTCTTCTCTTTTAGCATTTTCTTTCTTTGTATTTATTATTATATATCTCTACATGTAAAATAATCTTCTCTTGTATGCCACACTTAATGTTTTGGTTCTGGCTTTTTTAGGTGCAGGTGGAAATGTACTAGGTCGACGAACACAATACATTCCTCTTGGTGCTCGAGGAATTGCAGTTAACAGTGAACAATTCAGTTTACTAGATCCACAGAAAGTACCAGAAGATGAACACTTCTTCCACAGGTATTAACCAGGTTAAAAAATTTGTTTTTGGTTTTTGGCCATGTATCATATGAGCTTGTGGGCCTTAGAATCATCTTTATTTTGGTAACTTTAACATCTTACCAAAGGTATAAGCACAGCATTATAATCATAATACAGGTACCAGACTATTTATCTGCCTTCCAGGAAACTGAATTTATCAAAAAACTGTCTGTTTTTGAAGCTGGCAGGTTTGCTTGGCCACTTTAGTTTTGCTTTACTAGTGCCATGATGGTTTCAGTTTTAAACAGCCAATGTTTGTGTTTTCTTTCCTCTCTCTTCTTTTTGTGGCTATTTACCCCAATTTATCATCATTATCATCTTTTAACACATCTAAAACACGAGCAGCAAATCCACTTGCTAATGGAAAGTTCAAGATTTTTTTCTCCAACAATACCCTTAATGCATCGCCATAGTCTTTGTTTATTTGTCGTGAGGGTGATTCTCCTCACTTACTCTCACCAACATTTTGTGAGTGGTTTGTGACAGTTTACTTACTGCCTAACCACTTAGTACCCGAGAATGATGTATGAATAGTGTGAAGAGCATCTAACATCATGTAAGGTAACCATTATAAGTAATAATAGAACCCCCATAATGCTTCATCAGTCAGCTATGGCCTGCGAGATGGCTGCACACGTTGCCATTGTTACATGTAAAAAAACTATAAAAGTTGTAGGAAATCATTTCAATACTCTTAATTGATATAAAAATAAAGAAAATTAATATAAAACTATAATAAAAAAATAAGAGCGTGGGTGTTTATTCTGTGTGGTACGTGAACGTATGTATGGAGGCAGGGAACGGTTTGCCAACAGCGTGTCGGCGGATTTGCTACTTAGGCTTATTTCAGTTTAAACATGTGCACTCCTGTTGTAAGCTTATTTCATCCTCTTTACCGCTGATTGTCAAGTTTAGTTCAATTTTATCGTTGTTCCTACCTTGCCTTACCAGCCTAGGGTGACGTCATGGCATGCACACAATGCAGTAGCCACACACATCTCTGAGTCAGCTAGGTGGCTGGCTCGTTGCCCAGAGGTTTGAAGTGGAAAGAACTATTTTTGTACGTAAAATATAAGTGATTGTATTTTATGATGTGCTATGTATCATTTCCATTTATATTATTATAGTACAGTACTTTCTTTTCATTTTTGGCGTATGCTAAATAAAGAATAACAAAGGATTAGAACCTATTCCCATTTACTCCATGTTATATCTACCTGACAATGAAGTGGACTTAGTGAACATACAGGTACACCACCGATTTTCTGGGAACTGATGGTCCGGCATCTCCTTTTGTCAGGACAAAATTACGAGAGGGCACTTAACTTCTCTTCCTCCCTCCCAGCCTGGGTGAAGCTAGTTTTAGGCTTGAAGTTTTTATCTTATAAAATGTATCTGATTAGACTTAGCAGAATATAAATTGAATTGCTGGAATTCTTGTAAGATAATAATTAATTTGAGTATAAACATCACATATTTGCACAAGAGATAAAATTTTTAGTCTAGTCTAGTACATTTGAGTACAGTACAAAGTCTGTACAGTAATGTTGTTCAAAATTATGGCTTTTTCACATTTAATTTACATTTAATATTTGTTTAATTTTAGTTTCTAGCAGTCCATGGTGCTTTAGAGACACAGGAGGTGTATAATTAGTGGGTCGAAGGTGTATTGTTGAATTATTATAACCTGACCTCGGTTGGTCCGGCAAAACGGATAATCCGGCAAGGCTTTAGAACCAAGGGTGCCGGAAAATCAGTGGTGGACCTGTCCTCACTTCTTTGCCAGATGCGTATTTATAATACAGTGGTCCCTCTGTTAACGAATGGTTCGGTTAACGAAATTTCGGTTAACGAATTACCTTCCATAAGAATCTTCAATTCGGTTAACGAACAAAAATTTGATTAACGAAATCATTATGAACATCACGTTTTGTTGTGAGCATCAGCTGATGGGCTAGTCTGCCAATTCTGTTATCTGTTCTATGTTTACATTCGTTTCCAGTGAAGTAAATATCAATAAAGTTGTGCTCTTTAATATTTTTGCATTTTTTATGTTAAAATTATTCGTCATTTTAACATTTATTTAACATATTGATGATATATGCAGTATAGGGAACTAGTTTTTTGTGCGCCCATCAGCCGCTTGACTCGCCCACCAGGCGTCAGTTGGGCTCTGTTGACAGTGGAGTGAACATCTATTTTGTTGGTTTCTTGAATATTTTTGCATTTTTCATTGAAATTATTGGTCATTCTGAAATTTAGTTAACATATTGATAATATATAGCGCAGTGCAGTGTTGATTTAAATAAAATAATCTTGAATTACACCAAGTGAACTTAAAATTTTATTGGTGAAATGATAGCATCAAGCATGGGTCCCCTGAAAGGTGATTTCTCCTCTATCCCCACTTCCTTCTCTTCTCCCTTCTCCTCCACCCCCACTTCTAATTCCCATCATCATCATCAACCAGGAACCTTCAACATACACACCTCAAAGTAAGTGTAATTTACTGGAACGAATTGTGTTTGTTAACTGAGGGACCACTGTACTTTAGCCACCTTAAAATAATGTTGGTTGATGCAATTGAAATTTGTGCGTTCTAGTTATCGTTGGTAGCTGTTTGAGGCGTTGGGACACTGCACAAATCTTCCCATGACGTTGGATGTTGTTGTTCTCCCTGATTTTTCTGAATTTTCCTTGAGTTGTCACCATTTCCATGTTTACCAACCATTATGGTAGGAAATAAGCCTCTTACAAGTGATAAGATAGCAGTTATTTTTCTACTGAGCAAAGAGGATAAGCCTCTTAAGGATACATGTATTTAAAAAATTACCGGTGTACCATTGAGATCTGTGCATCATTAGGTGAAGAAATGTAAAGATGGTGAACCCCGCTCAACATCGTCCCATGCTAAACATCCTGGGAAGGCCAGAAAAACCTCTCCCTGAACTCTGAATGTACTTAAACATCAAGTGGAGACAGATCCACGCTTGAATGCTCAGGAAATAAAAGAAAAAATCCCAAGTGTTCTTATTAATGTGTCATTAAGGATAGTTCAGCACCACATAAATAAAGACCTGAAGTATTGGAGCTGCTGACCGCCTCTTAAACCACAGCCGACTGTGCGCACCAGTTAATAAAAAATTTGCTTTTTGTAAGAAATATGGTGCGTGGGATAAAGCTAAATTCCGTAGAGTTTTGTGGAGTAACAAGACCATGTTTTTGGTGACTGGCAACAGGTTTGGTCGTGTTTAATGGTAATGAGCCACTGGACCTTAGGTACACTGAAGTACCCTGCTATGCTTATGGTATGGGGGTGGTTTAGTTACCATGGTGTAGGGGACTTAGTAGTATTGCCAAAGAATATTATAATGAACAGGTATAATTAACTAGAGCTTTTGAATGATCATTTCCCTGACTTGTTTGAAAAGTGCAAGACAGAAGTGTGTCCGTCACATTGAGGGAGGGAGTAAGGTTCAGCGGTGACGCAGTTTCAGCCCACTGCCTCGATATATTCGTTCACTTCCTACACATACACACCCATGCTCTTCATTTTTCTGAGCTTATTGTTTTATATTATATTTCCTTTATTTCTAAGCCACATTAGAGTATTATAATGATTTTTTTTCTCTAATGAGCAAGGACAAGCGATAAACACAGTACAGGGGGTAATTGGGGAATGCTCATGAAAATGCGGGGATTTGCAGAAAAACAGACTTCTGAGACACAAATTTGTGAGGTCACACTGTACTTCTGTCAAGTTTTCTTTACTATTCTTATTTTAATTGAATACAAGAAGCAAATGACCTGTTCCCTGGCAAGACTTAAATTAATGGGAGGGGGGGGGTCTTGGTTCTGGCCACTCTACATCATATTGAGAAAAAGTTTGAAAGAGTGAAATATTTCTTCTTTTTTTTTGTGTACTTTTTTTTATGTACTCACAGGTACTTCACACAATACAAGACTAGAGTGAAGAAAGAGCCGGTGGATGAGGAGGATTCTGGTAGTGTTGAAGATGAAGAATTTGACCAGTATCTTGGCAGGATGCAAGGGGTGGGTGCTGATGATGAATTGGATATGGATGATGACATAGACTTTGCTGCTGGAACCACCTCCACTTCTCATAGTTAGTGTTTACAAGTGTTTTTTAAATATAATGATTTCTCGATTTTCAAATAGCTACGTACGCGGTGTGATTTTCATTTTTCAATTATTATTATTTTATTTTTTTACAATAATCCCTCGCTAATCATAAGGGTTATGTTCTAGAATTCTACCATGGTTGGCAAGGGCCGAGACTTGTGTGAAATACAGGGTTAGGAGAAGTGAACCCTGAGAGACATACCTAATGTCCTGTAATGTACAGCGCAAAAGTTATTCTGTATTTAATTTTATTTAATTTCTTATTATTATTATACTGTATAAAAGTACTGTACAGTACACTGTGTGTGTATTAGGAAAACATTAATTTTCTTTTTTTAATTACTATACACCCACCTTTCGTTTTACGCGGGCGTTATGTTCTTGGAAACCACTGCTTAATTCAGAAACTCATAAATTAAACATAATTTTCCCATAAGAATACATGTAAATGGTACAGGTTAAGGGAACCATCATATACCCCACAGGGTACGAACATTGCTCTCACTTAAACCAAGCACGCGGCCAACCTCCGATACAAGCTCTCCTCTGTGAAGGCGGGTGATCACATTTAATTTCACGTCCATTGCCTTTTTAGCTTTAGGTGCCCCAGAGGAGGCAGATGGACGTTTTCCAGACATGCTCAATGGGGAAAACAGCGTTTAACACTAAATAGGTATATGATAAACACACACTGAAAATGAGAGCACAGAGAAAAAGTAGTGCTGGTGTGAACTGAGAAAGCAATACGCGGGAAGCTTGCTGGACGTCTTCACAGTTGTTGTACAGAATACTTCATTATCTTCATCATTAGAAGTAATAATCTTTATTATTACATTATTATAATAATTATTATTATTAATAATAATATTAAAATTGTTGATGTTGATATGACTGCGACTTCATAGTAATAAGTTACAAGCACTTCACCAGGCATCACATGTGACTCCACTGCCAGGCAACCAGGTGAATATGCACGGCAAATATAAACTGTCTTGACAGCCTTATTTAAAAAATAGGTCCGCGTAAATTAGCTTTTGGTATTAATTGAACAATCGCATTATTCCAATAACGCTTAAATCCAACGCACCTAAAACTCGAGTATCAAGAAAATGTCCCCCTGACACCACACACTTGGCCCCAACGCTCTCCATAACAATGCAAATACTGTACAGTAGAACGTTGATTTAATGCGAGATACGTTCCAAGAGACGTCGCTTTAAATCAAATTTGCACTAAATCGAATTGTTGTTTCAATGGAATAATTTAGTTTGGTACTTGAGAGAAACACAAAATACTAAAAAGACTTTTATTAATAAATAAATATGGATGACAGTTTTATACCCTTCAAAGTTTGCTTATGTAGATGTGTATATGAACAATATATTTTGAAAGTATTTTGTTTTATGACATGGGATCATGCACATAATGGTACTGAAAATTTTTATAATAGCTGGACCTGTCAGAGTCGGTTCATTTCTGCACATATCTCAGTTATCCTATAGCATGGGCACTTGTGGATATAGCGCATGTTTTTGTTTATCTCATATTTTTTTGATTTATTTTGTTTTATTCTACTGATAAAACTTCAGAAGGTATGGCTGCTGCTTCTTCTTGTTCTGGCACAGTGTTAAATGATGACTATTGCCAGGACAGTAAAAAGTCATATAGTGTAGAAGTGAAGGATAAAAATAGGCAAATTGATTTAAAGAGGCCAGAGAAAGGAAGAGGACCTTGGTGTGGTAGATGATAACAGATTGTTGTTTGAGGAATATATACATGATGAAGTGACAAGACAAACCACTTGATAGACCTGACCTAGCAGGTATTCCCATTGCATTGGGTTAGAAATCTTCTGAAGTGACTGTGGAAACCCACAAGTCATTTCAGGTCAAGAATGTGTCACAACCATGAAAAAAGATCTGCATAAGCTGATCAAATGTTTGCAGGACTGCCAAATACATTTTATTTTAACATTGCAAAATGTAAGACTGCAAATGGGCTATGCCAACCCTAACCAAAACGTTTTGTGAATAACGCATTCTTGGATGCTATTGAAAAGGAAAAAGATTTAGGAGTTGTGATGGCAATCACTGAAGGCAACAGAAATTTAGGAATTATAGGAATTACCTTTTAAATACTGTTCAAAGAAAAATAAATGCTTTTCCAACATTGTGAGGATCTCATATGTTCCCATCTGGATCACTGTACTGTATACAGGCATAGAAACCATACCTCCAGAAAGACTTAAACATCCCAAGAAAAGATGCAACACAGAATGATAAGGATGATTACTGAATTATACTATCTGGATTATCCATGAAGACTGAGGGCCCTAGGATTGACAACTCTTCAAACAAGGCACAGTAGGGTGGATCTCATAGTCTCAGAAAATCTTGACTGGAATGGAAAACAAAATCCAAGATACTCTGCTGGACAAATATAAAGAAATACTTCTTCATACAGAGGGTGGCAGACCTATAAAGTAGTGTACCAGCTCAAGCTGTCAAAACAAAAACACAAAATAGCCCTGGACAAGACTGTCTTGAACATGGAAGAACCTATACAGGCCACAAGCCTCCTTCCTTCGTCATGGCCACCTCTAGTTTGGATGGCCATTAGGTAAATTAGGTCGGTGAATAGGTAAGAAGGTAATTTAAACCTGGATACCATGGTTGTTAGAATGTTGTGCTATGTATAAAATTAGGATGATTGTTCACAGATGGAAAACTTACAATTGCCATTGGATTACTGTACTATATACAAAAAATTGACTGACATTAATAGTATCATCATTAAAGTATTTTTACCATTGGTAAATACCAGAGTTGTCACTCAGCACTTCCAAAGTTGAAATTAAAACACCAAATAAACAAAATTATGATGTTAAAATTATAGGCATGATATTTAACTTTCTTTTATCATTAAATCTTTCTTCAAATGTAGATTGATAGGATTCTTTTAATTTATTCTCCTTCTATTTGTATTTCAGTTGATGAAGAGGGTTTGGAAAGTGATGAAGATGACAACATGAGTGATGAAGAGCTTGATGATGGGAATGAAGAAGAACCAAGTTTTGGTGGTGGCAGTGATATTGATGATGATGGGCATTGGCAAGAGTTCAGTGATAAAGATGATTTGGATGGACTTGACAATGATGATCTAAACTTTGATGAAACAGAAGAATTTTCAAGTAAGTTGTTTACATGTATCTTTTCTATATAAAACAATATTTTTTGTAAACAATCAGTTGTTTACTTACTGTTTATTATTATGGTTATGATATTGAAGTTATATAATAGGTCAATGGTCGTGAGTAGTCTGTGGTATTATTGCCATGAAAGATGGGAAGTGATAATTTAACCCTTTAGATGCGCAATTAATTTTCGCGCCGGTTCCAGAAGTGTCCATTATCCAGCCAAAAACGAATTTCATACAATCACATTTTCTATATCTTTTATATAATGAACTTCTTTTTTTTTTTTTAATCTGGAACCAAAAGTCACAGATGTGTGCAAATTTTAGAGTAAAAATGACATATATTCCCCAAAATGCAGAAAATTGGTATAAATCAGTGTCCAATATATGGCAAATAAATGGAATCAATTTAGTCAATAAACAGAAATTTATATATGTATTATAATTTTATTGGGGTGCTATCAATTCAAAATAGTACAAAGCAGAGATTAATATCAATACAACATCGTACAAAAAAAAAATGAGTAAACACATGTTGATGTGCATTTTTCCACCATATTGCACAATGACAGGGTTATATTGGCATAGTAGCTTATACAGGATGATATACTGATGATATACATGTATGGTATAACATGAAAAAACTTATATATCAACAAAATGACAATAAATTACCTACCGCATATGATCCAACGATACGTCACAACAAACACATCAGTATGATTGTAGTTGCCTGGGAGTTTGTTAGATGGCAGCAGTCGGCATTTGGCGGCGATTTGAGCATCCTTCCAATATCCCCACATGTTGTCTTTATCAGTAAGGTTTTTTCAAGGCCATGGAAAATACCCACATGTCGGTCTTAATTACTATAATCTTTAGTGCGGGTTACCCCACATGTCGCATCAAAAGGGTTAACTAAAGATGTTCTTGCCCCTTTAACCCCTTCAATACAAGGATACCACTCTTAACTTTTTATTTGGGCAATGCTAGACAATTTTATTCAGCACAGGGAGACCCCCATACACAAGGGGTTCAGTGGGATTTTCGTAAGGATAATGGATCTTCTTGATTCTACTGTACAGATACTGTATTGTATGCTACTATTTTCTTTTTTCTTTTTTACAGATGATGAGAGTTTTGAGGTGGAGAAATCAATGAAGAAAAAGAAAAGTGGAAAATTCTCCCATGTAAGTTATTGGAAATTGGTTTACTTTATTACATTAACACATAACAATGAAATTGTACTGTATTACATAAGTATAGCAATAGTTTTGTTAAGTTTACTTCATGATACTGTATAGTAAACTCCTGCATATCCAGTCTTTGTATGTCGAAAAACCTCAGACATCTAGCATGTGGTTGGTTTGATATTGTTACATACTGTACATACCCAGCATACCCTCAACCCTGACTATGCTGGATAATAAGGGAGTATGCTGCAGTGTATATTCCAGTTAGGGCGTAATTGACAGTTACTTTTGAATGGCGTTCATATTAAAGCAAGCCCTTGAGCATTAGTAATTTTTCTGGTGAATAAAATTTGAAAGATCTGCTGAGGGTGTTTGCTTCAGGTCGTCAAAAGTGGTGACCTGAATCTCTCAGTAGGCCTACACATAGAAAAATCAAGAGTGAAGAAATGAACTTGTTAGAGGTGAATCCTCCAACAAGTTAATCCCTGGACATATTCGGCCGTATTCAAGATCATGAAGTGTTGGGTATCCCTATAGGGAATCACGACCGAAGGGAATGCCTACCCATCGGTGTGTTGTGTATTCTAGATCACTCAGACAGGATTCTGCTCATGATCTGGAGATGAATTACTTAATAATACTATCTTAATTTGAGGCTCTTGTGTGGTGAAGGCTCATGACCTGACCTCATTTGATCACTCCAAGGTTACCAACATGTAAAAAAGGGCGGTCTTTTTTACTATTAGTATTCTTATATCTCCGTTAATGTAATTTTGCACAAGAAATATCAAGCAAGAAAATAAATTCAGAATTAAATTTACATAAGAAAAGGATACAGTAAGTCCTCGCTTAACGTCGTGGTTCAGTTCCTGAAAACCGCAACGTTAACGGAATAAATTTTCCCCAAAAGAAATTGATAAAATATGGGAGTTAAGTGTCCCAGCCTCCCTTTGCCCCATAAAGTACATTACATATACATAAATTCAATGGAATTTTTAAAGAAAATATATATTATACATCCACAAAGATAAATAAACTAAATCATTTTGTATTGTACTCACTGATGGGGAGAGGTGGAGTGAGTGTGTGGTGGGTAGTGGAGAGGAGGAGGGTGGCGAGTCACTGAGACCCGGAGGGTGACTCCTCCTCCTGCTCTGACTGGGTGAGAGAGGGTGATGCGCCATACAAAGTAGTCCGTGACGACATTATACTGAATCGGCGGGACATTGTCTGAATCATGGGTATCTAAAGAGTAGCGACGTTATAATGAAACAATGTTGTTGGGGGCAACGTTAAACGAAGACTTACTGTATTGCCATCCTAATTGAACTACAGTATTACTGAAAACTTTGAAAAAATTACAATGTTATACTTTAGAAAAAATTTGCGGCATAACAGTTAACATGAGGAAACTTTTCAATTGAAAAAAAAATCTTTTTTCTCAAGATCCCCCCAAAAAATTTAGGAATACATTTTTTACTAAACCAAACCTATAATAATAATAATAAAAAAAAGGGGGGGGTGGAACCAAATCTAATGGCTTATTTATCAGATTACGCACGATTTTTCCAACAAAACTTAATATCCCAGCTACATAGTCTTCAGTCTTATTGCCTTGATAAATAATATACAGTAGACTTTAAATGTGAGTGATGTTAAAAAAATAAATAAATTGTCAAATTTCCCTCATTATTATGTAAAAAAAATATATAAATTTTATTCAAACACATACAGTACTACCAGTGTTGTATTTTGATGCCGTCAATGGATGGTGGCAACTTTTTGTTAACGCTGATGCCATAAATTTTTTGGGGAGGTGACGCAGTCAACTTTTCACCCGAGCGGAGCATCAAGTGTCAATTTGTTCGTCAACTTCTAAAATGTTAGATTTTTCCAAGTTCGATTTTCAATTATCTTGTTATAAAGACGACCGACAAAGCCATGAGGGAGTTGTTCATCAAATACAACACCCCTATCCCCTCTAGTGCTGCCATGGAGCGCATGTTCTCCATGGGCAAGGACATCATGAGGCCCAAGTGCAGCAGAATGAGCGACAAGCATTTTGAGATGCTAGTATTCTTGTGGGGGTACAAATGAATAATTAAAATGATATAATATAAATAAATAATAGATGATTAAAAGTGAATGAAGATTTTTTGATTTTGCATATGTTACTACCATACACAGGAGAATACGCGTTTCGGGGCTGCATTTGTACGTCACTGAAAACTCGTTGACGCTAGGTGTTGAGGCTGACGCTAACATCGTCAATTTATGAAATCGTTTATGCCAACGGCATCAAATTTCTCGGCCATTTACTCTGACGCTGGCGGCGCCACTTTTTTTTGTTGACGCATACAACATTGAGTACTACATTTATATGCTAGTAAATGTATAAATTATGAAGGTATTTTTTCATAGGGCTTACTCTTATGGCACCCTCCCCCTTCTCATAAATATTCCAGTAATGCATAGGCAATCCCTACAAATATTCATTGGCATTGACCACATTGTAGCTTTTCGCTTCACTTATTGAATAAGAACCATAGGCATTGCCTACAAGGATACCTTACAGTCCAAAATCTTGAGTATGGCCAATACTGAATCCATGAACTTGACCATCAAAAAGGGAAGCCAAGAGAACTATTAAAAACTGTAACTTATTGTAACACAAAAGAAAGACAAAGACCCAGTGAAAACTAGTGCCTTTCTACCACCATACAGTCACACAGTGCATAGAGAACAACACACATCTTTTGTGGGCCAAGAAATGACCAGACAACCTCCAGAAACAAGCTGGTTCTGCCACACACCACCATATAATAAAAATAATGGTTGCCCCTTGTGTAACAATGATGGCTGGCCCTAGGGCCTCTTAGGCGTGAATTTGTTTTAAGGTGTAGAAGCTGTTGCCAACACAACAACCACACCCAAAGCTAATTAGCTGCATGACCCAGTGTCAAGGAATAGTCCGAGAAGACTGGACAACTCGCCAATTGCACTGGCTAACCATTACCCCAGAATACAATCCGCAAATCGATTAACATCCAGGTTCCCAGTTACTGCTGGGTAGACAGAGGCAAATGGCATAAAGAAACTTGCCCATAGTTTCACCCTACCTGGGGATCAAACCCGGGTCCACTTGCTTGCGAGGTGAGCATGTAAAAATAATGTTTTGTGTCAGATGGATTTGTTTTAGTAAAGTGACAGCCAGCTCAGGGCAGCAGTCTGATCACTAATTATCCTGCGGTAGAGTCATGCAGTGGTGAAATGTTAGTCATGTTGGTTACTTGCCATATGAAGGGAGGTGGTTGGGTGATGTATCTTGGTCTTAATGCATTTCATTGTAATAAAATATTCCCGTATTACATTAGTTTTACGATAAATAGATATTTTTTAATGAGTTTGACAAAAAATAATAATCTTAATTTTAATACATTTTGTATTTTATTGGGATGGTTTTTGGAAATCTAAGATCTGGAGTAAAAATTCTGTGTTAATTTTGTCTCCTAACTGATGTTAAGGGAAGCTATGTGGCTCTGGTGTGGTGTCTTTGATGTTAAGGTAATTTTAGACCTTCAGCTAGTTTGATGCATTATTTTTTCATGACAAGGAAAACTAAACAGGCAGAAGTTTGCAGGTCACAGCCTAAAATCATGACCACATTTTACGTATTTGTTCATTAAATCAAAACACAGGGCTTTGTTAGAACAGTGTTCATTTGATCACAGCATTGTGTCTTATTGAAGGGTTATTGTATCTACTGTACAAGCATACATACAGCATGCTACACATGTGGTATCTATATACACACACATACATGCTTCCTTGCTTACATATAGAGATGTACACACTAAGAGTGCGCTGAGGATAAATAATGTCTGCTTTAATTTGATGGTGAGACATGAAAATATGAATTTAAATCTCTTTGTTGTGTATGTTTTATAGATGATTTCAGGAGTGTTAAGTAATGAATATTTTTCATAAACAGAAACCGTCGAAGAAAAAAGGTTCCGATTCCCTGAGCTCAATGTTTGCTAGTGCTGAGACTTTTGCCCATTTACTGGAAGAAAATGCAGAAGGGAACATGAACCCTAACACAACTCAGTCAATGGCAAATAAGGACAGAGCACGTAAGTGATATTTGGAAGTAATTTTGTTATGTATTTAGTCAGCATCTGATTTATATATGAAAATAGACTCTCTCGATCCTACTGCATTTCTAAATACTGAACTGTATATTCAGTATTGTAAAAGGGATTATAAAAAATACTAAGTCAATTCCACATAGGTTATTTTCTTTAATGTATCTACAAATTATGAAATAGAAAAAATATTAGTTTAAGTTTTCAGTTTTTAAATAACATGTGTATTTTGTTTTTCATTACAGTATTAAATTTTATTTGTTAACAGTATTTAAATGAGTTATAGTTTACCACTATTATTTGCAAAGAAGCTATGACATTCAGTAAGAGACTTAGAATATTCAAAGTTTATATAGTAGAACCCTGGTTATCCGGCACCTACGGGGATTGAGAGGTGTCAGATAAAGAGATTTTCTGGTTAGTAGAACTTCACTCTTAGGATCCCCCAAACAAATCCTACAATGCTTAGTGCTACAGGCTGACCTCACAAATTTGTGTCTCAGAAAAACAGACTTCTTTGACACTTATTCTACTCTATATAAATGATGTGGCATAGAAATAAAGAAAATATAATATAAAACTATAAAAGAAGAAAAATTAAGAGCATATAGTAGGTGTGAATGTGTGGGAACTGAACGTGTGAAGAGCTGGTGGGCTATAACTGCGTTGCCAACTCGCCAGCCCAGCCACCTCATATATTGTTACATGTAATGAAATTATAAAATTTATGGCAAAATCATTACAATACTTTAATGTGGCTTAGAAATAAAGAAAAAGATATATAAAACTACAAAATAAGAAAAATTAAGAGCATAGATGTGTGTGTGTGCGAAGGTAATGTGTATGGAGGCTGTGGGCCATAACTGCATTACCGTTGAGCTTCACTCCTTCCTTCAATGTAACGTCATGACATACACACAGCACAACTGCAGCCACACGTCTCTGAGTCTCCTGGGTGACTGCCTGGCTGAACTGTATCATGTCGCCTAGAGGATGGTTTGAATGTGGAAGGATCTATTTTTGGTTCATAAAATATGTGCTATTGTATTTTGTTATATGTTATTTATCAATTTTATTGTTTATCATAGCAATAAATATGAAAGCTCATCCACGTTGTGCACGGTATTGAAACTTACAATTCTAGCTGACTTTGGAGGCATTTTTGATTTTATATTAATTATTTCATTTTGGTGCCAGTTAGTTGAATCTGGCAGTTGTGAATAATATATATTGTCTAATTAAAACACAGAAAATTCCACTGACCATATCAGACATTACTGTACTCCTAATAATCATGTGGTTATCATTGGAGCTAATTTCATTCCAAAAAGATCCCTAAACTAGATATATTCTTTTCGAAATTCACTTGTCAAAAGCTTCATAAAGCTCCTGAATAAACACCAACCACCGGAACTCTTCAGTGACTAAACTGTGTAACTTCTGATTTGTAACCAATTTATTTCCAATCAAGTCATTGATTATTTTATGCCATCAAAACTTAAAATGGGACAGAAACAAATATTTCTCACATCATTTTGATATATACTTTTCTTCTTATAAACTAATGGCACCCTTAAAAAAAAAAGGCCACCAAGGGATACTTTACCTTGGTATGGGGCCAAGGCTAGCCAACCTTACATAGGATAACCTAGACTTGGCAGAGCAGGGATGAGATATAAACAGAGCTTGTGTACTGATAACCATAAGCTATATTTTGGTCTCACTTCCATGATAACGTCTAGAACTGTAGTTCCTTGCCAATTATCTATTAAATGGTACAAAGGGACTTGACATTAGGTTCTGTAAAAACAGCCTGGGTAGAATTGAGCTGAAGCTCTGTTTTGATGGCAGCCAGAAAGCAACTGAAATATGATTTAAATGTTGGTCTTGGCTGATTGGATTGTCTTAGCTTACAAAAGACCTCCAAGCCCCCAGACAGCAAATTATACATGATGTGCCACAGAGGGAGGGGTGATCGGTGTACCTAAATGGTTTATTAAACCATCCTGTCTTGAGTTTAAGATTGACTGAAAGCAAATCCTTCTCCAATAGTAAGTAGCCTGTACAGTATTATGGAAGATGCCTGGCTTTAGGAAATTCTTTAAAAGATTATTATATAATTCTGTTTTTTAATACTGTACATGTAATTTAAAGTGAATACAGTAATGAACGTATATAATTCTATCTTAATTTTAATGTACCTTTACACAGATGCCAAGCAACTCAACTGGGAAGTAGACCGTGACCAGAACATGAAAGGAAATGAGTGGCACAAGAAAAAGCAAGGAAAGTGGCATGGTACAGGACAGCGCCATGAAGGATTCAAGAATAGGAAGGCTAGGAGTCAGTTTATGGGTAAAAGAGGAGGATTTAAGAAATCTAAGAGGGGCAGGATGCATTAAATATATATTATTACTTTGTTAAACCTGTATTATGTATGATTGTTTTATTACATCTCAAATCTTGTATTTGGCTGTAAATAGTATTATCTGTAATAAATCTTTTAATATCAGCTGTTTATGTGATTGCCTACAGTATGCAAATTTCTTCCAAAATCTGAATTTTGGCTCTGAGTCAGTATATAAACTGAAGTTTTGCCCATATACATTTACAAATTTTGTCTACAAGCCACTTAAAATTTAAATTACCATTTAAGCTGGAGAAATAAAATTTCTTGGAATGTCTTAAGACTTCTTTTTCAATCTTACCCGCCATTTCTTGATATCATGCAGGATGAGCAGAATGAAGATCAGACATACTCATACTCTTAACTTCTGTAATAAATGTATTGTTTTAGTGTTCCCCTTTCTAGTTGCTATACTAAATGTGTGTTGTGGTGTTACCTTCCTCAACTGCTGAAATGTTCCCCCTAAGTGCTAGATGCTACAGTGTTATGTTCACCAACTCATCACTTGGAATAAACTTCAAGTTGTGAAAAGGAATTAACTTTTTACTTTTTCCCAAATGATGGTGCAATTTAGTCAGTGAATCTTCTTTAATTTCTTATGCTTTATCATGAAGTCCAAGAAAAAGGTTACCTTTTTTAGTTGTGCTTTTCTTATTTCAGCCATACTAAAATCTTCCTTTTTACTGTTGATTAGGGTATTTTCTGGGGAATTCTCATCATTTACAGTTCAATTGCATCTTCAGTTTAAGAGATTGGCCAGAAAACAGAAAGATTACTTTGCCTAGAATGATACATACATAGCTAGTGATTACAACTGCTATAATGTTGAAGATTTTGCTTGCGTAACAAAACTTTTTAAAATTCAAAAATGGTTTATCAGTTTAAAATTTAGAAACCTTTTAATATTATTGATAAATATATAATACAAATTTTATTTTGTGCATCTTTAATCCTTAACCTGTTCTATAATGCAAATCAAGCATATAAATTACAGTATACTATAAAAAGAAAGTTATCCCCTTCACTCTGAGGTCTCATTTTCAATGTTTTATTTAGCAAGTGCCATACAAGTTTATTCAGCACAGAGAGACCCTTTGTACCCAAACAATTAATTTAAAAGATGTCCCTTAGAGTACAAATCCCTCATTAGGATCATATACAGTACCGTGCTCCCCCCCCAAGTATGCGGATTTTAACTGCGCGGAACCCAACTACACGCATCATTGCCATGCAACCCAAATTCCAAAGTACAAAAGGGTCCCAAGTATGAGGGCGTAAATTTCCGTGAGGCATGGCCAAGTGGGGGAGGGAGAGATGAAGTGAGCAGAGGACCTGGCTGTTGATTGGCTGAGTGGCCACTACCAACCAATAAGAGACAAGGACATTTCACCAACAACGCAGACGCCAGTCCCAGTCCTCCTCTCCTCAAGACACTACAGTGGCTTGCTTTTTCCTGTATTTTTTAGGTGTTTTTGGCTACCCTACCTACTGCTGTTGGGACTCCAGCACCTGCCCAGCCAGGCAGAAGAGTGAAGTCGATGACCCTGGCACACAAGGAGATAATAGGCAGGCTGGACAATGGCAAGAAAGTGTTTATTCTTCTTATTTAAGGGCTTATTTCTCTTTTATTATTCACCTTATATAACTAAGGTACACTTATTTAATTAAGGGTAACTTTCATAGAGGTTGTGTGCAGAAAAAATGCTTTGAAAGACCAGTTTTGGGTTCGTGGTGTCTATCTGGAGGGGTCCCGGAACTAATTGTTTTTTCCATTAGTTTATAATACCCAAGTACTCTGCTCCGTTTGCACCAATTACCTGCATACTTGGGGGGGACCAGTGTACTGTACCATGATTTTGTGTGGATGATCATGTATGTGTTGGGTTTGTGTAAAAATTAAGAGCTAAAAATGGGTAAAGTGTCAAATTTGATTAAAATGTAGGAATGAGTTGGGTTTTTTAACAGTGGCATACTGTATGTTGTATGCCTTCAAGTTGCACAAGGTTATGGCACACTTAGAACACCAATAATTATGAAAATTTAATACTGTATGTCTTAATACATTAGCAGGTGTATAATCTTAGCTGCCTTGCCAGGTAAGAGGAAGCTTGGAATTCCTACATAATAAGGCCCAGCTCCCACTTTGCAAAAGTGGATGGGGTGATAGGAAGGGCATCCAGCCATAAGATTTGTTTCAAATTTGCCTGATGGCAACTGGAACACCATGTCATCAGGCAATCACAGCTAACCCAATTTAGCATGTAAGAAAGCGTAACAGATGTGACCGATCGCCCAAGCGGCTAACGAGCTGATCAATGGTGAAGAAGATAAAAGTAAAACGTATAAAACAATAATGATGAGTAAAATTCATACAAATTACCCGGTCAGAATATAATTTACATTGCTGGAATTCTTATAATTTGGTGATCATTTTGAATATAAACATCATATATTTTGCATTAGACATACAAATTTTAGATAACATTTTTTCTCTGAGTAACTATGTTATCATTTGTGCAAAATATATGACATTTATATTCAAAATATTCCTGGTCTTACAAGGAATCCAGCAATGTCAATTATATTATCCTAACTTTAGTTTGAGGTATTATTTATTACAAAAAAGTTAAGTATTCTGGTTTTCCCACACATCTCCTTGGGACTGTTGGTGGGGGGTGGGGGGGAGGGAGGGACCGACCGACCATCTGTTACCCTGTGAAGAATATTTTTTTTTTATTAACTGAAGATATTTGTTTTTGCTCATAAAATTCATACAAATTACCCAGTCAGAATATAATTTCCATTGCTGGAATTCTTATAATTTGATGATCATTTTGAATATAAACATCATATATTTTGCATTAGACATACAAATTTTAGATAAAATGTTTTCTGAGTAACTATGTTATCTTTTGTGCAAAATATACGACATTTATATTCAAAATATTCCTGGTCTTACAAGGAATCCAGCAATGTCAATTATATTATCCTAACTTTAATCTGAGGTATTATTTAATACAAAATGTTAAAAATTATTTTTTTCACCCCACATCTCTTGAAGGGACGATTGGTGGGGGGTGGGGGGGAGGGTTGGGACTGACCGCGTGGTTGGAAGAGGGGGGGAGGAAAGGTGGGGTACTTTGATTGACAGATAGTGTCGTGAAGATTTTTTTTTTTATTAACTGAAGATATTTGTTTTAGCTCATAAAATTCATACAAATTACCCGGTCAGAATATAATATACATTGCTGGAATTCTTATAATTTGGTGATCATTTTGAATATAAACATCATATATTTTGCATTAGACATACAAATTTTAGATAAAATTTTTTCTCTGGGTAACTATGTTATCTTTTGTGCAAAATATATGACATTTATATTCAAAATATTCCTGGTCTTACAAGGAATCCAGCAATGTCAATTGTATCATCCTAACTTTAGTTTGAGGTATTATTTATTAAAATTTAGTGGTTTTCCCCAAAAAATTTCTCAGAGGGAAGAGCCCACCCACATTAGGGGAGGAAGGCTAGATCTAACCTTCGTCTCCAGTGCACTACAGCCTTCGGCCTCCTGGCAGATACACCCCATGCTGACCAGCGACCACTTCGCAACCCTAACAACGCTGAAGGTTAACAAACTCCCCACTCCACCCCCCCGAGATGGAGATACAATACCCAAAAGGCAGACTGGGGACTCTTTAAGAAACACCTGGCTAAGTGGCGCGAAAAATCACAGCCGGCCGGCGCAGCACCCGTGGATGAGACAACCCTCCACCACCAATTGGTCGAGGCGTTTCACCAAGCGGCAGAAGAGGCTATCCCAAAAACAAAACCCACATCAAGACAGTACAATGATTACTGGTACTACTGTCCCAGGGTGAAAGAACTCAACCACAGAGTGAACATGGCCCGAAGAAACTACAGGAGACATCCCACGGCAACAAACAGACATCTCCTGCAAGTCATAGTTAAGGATACCAGGGAAGAGAAGGAAGAAATAAAAAACGTAAGCTGGCTCAAGTGGTGCTCCGAACTGAACGAGCACACTTCCCTTGGCAAGATGTGGGCCCAGATCCGAAGGGCATCTGGGAAGGCAACACCACCACCACCAACCCATCCCAACACAGAAGAGGAAGCCGAGAGACTTGCAAAACTGTTCTCTGACCGAGCAGCAACGAAAAACCTCCCGAGACAGGCGGAGGAGACACAACGGCGTCTGCGACAGGTCAGACTCCAGATGATCGAAGAGGCCTGCAACAGTGAAGATGACACTGACAGACCTTTCAACCAGCAAGAACTCCAGAAGTCGCTAAAACGAAGCAAGGACACAGCACCAGGGGCCGACAGGATAACCTACTCCATGCTTTCTCATGCCGGTACAGCCGGACACGAGGCTCTGCTGCAAGCCATCAATGCCTAGTGGACAGCACAAAGACTCCCACCGGAATGGAAGAAGGCAGATATACAGCCCATTCCGAAGCCCAGAGAACCAGACAAACCGAGGCCCATCTCCCTTCTCAGCTGCATAGCGAAGACGGGAGAAAGAATGGCTCTCAACCGACTCAAGTGGAAAGTAGGCAGCCCACACCCTCACATCTTTGCTTACACCGAGAACACCGGCACAGGCAACAACATCGCCGAGATACTCAGCACAGTGGACAACAAACCAGCTCTGGTGGTCTTCCTCGACCTGGAGAAAGCCTTCGAACTAGCAAATCCATTGGCCATTACAACTACGCTCGCTAAAAAAGGCGTCAAAGGAAGGTTGCTGGGGTGGATCCAGAACTACCTCACACAGAGAGAAGCACGAGTACGCTTTCAGGGAGCAACCTCAAGCTACAGGGTCCATGAAAACGGAACCCCACAAGGAGGCATCCTCAGTCCAATGCTGTTCAATGTCCTGATGGAAAATCTAGTCAAACTTCCTTTCAGACAAACAGCCAAGCTCCTATGCTATGCAGACGACTTACAGCTTATAGTAAGAGGATCGAACAGACTAGCCAACACGCAACACGCACTCCAACTTATAGAAGAGGAGTGCAACAGACTTGGACTCAAGATAAATCCAGCCAAGTCGAAAGCGATGGCCATCTGCACAGACACACCAGACAAGATGCTCTCCATACAAAACACGCCGGTAGTCTGGACCAACGCCCACCAGTGTCTTGGAATCTGGTTTGACCAGAAACTCACCTTCAAGCCGCAACTCGAGTATCTCAGGCACAGGACGAAGAGCAGACACAATATAATGAGGTCGCTCACCAGCAAACCGCAGGAGCAAACCTTCATGTGCTCAAAGCCTACTACACAGCCGCCATCAGATCGCTGGTAGATTACAGTGCTCCAGCACTCATTGGACTGAGAGAAGACCAAATAGCTAAGCTAGAAGTCATCCAAAACAATGCTCTCAGGACCATGCTCGGAGCACCCATGTGGACCAGAATTTGCAATCTGCAAATGGAAACCGAACTACCACCCCTGGCAGTACGAGTCAAGCAGGTGACAGCCGGTCTCCTCGCCAAAATCTGTAGAGCAGACAAGCCCACAGTTGCCAAGATTCGAATCAGTGCCTCCCTCCACCTCGACCACAGAGTGCGAGGGGCCACCTGGTCGCACGAGGCAAGCGAGGTCATCCGACACCTGCAAGCAGAAACACTCGTCAAGAACAACCAAGACACACGAGACAATGGTTACGCTGTTCCTCCACCATGGAGCCCTCCACCAGCCACACTCAAATTTACCGACCTAGGCGATAGTAAAGCCAACCTCCAGAAGGAGGACCTCAAAAAAATAACTCTCGAAGCCATAGCCACCGAGACACCGGCTGATGCAGCATCATACTTCACAGACGGCTCGGTGGACCCAAAACATCATAGATCCGGAGCGGCCTTCTACACCCAAGGTCAGACCCTCCAATGGAGACTTTCCAATGACTGCTCCACCCTACAAACAGAACTGGTAGCAATCTCAAAGGCCCTACAACACGCTGCAACACAACACAACAAGTCCATCATAATTCACACGGACTCGAAATCGGCCATGCAGGCGCTGCAACACAGTCAACCAAGAGACAACGTCCACATCATCACCTCGATCCTCGCACAGCTACAGGAATTCCAAAGCCAAAACCGACCAGTCGTCTTACACTGGATTCCCAGTCATGTAGGGATCGGAGGAAACGACGTGGCAGACGAAGCAGCCAAGGCAGCTACACGTTCTAGTAGCGTACACATCCAAGTTCCAGCAAGTGTGCAACAGATCAAGAATCACCTCAGAAAGACTACCAAGCTCCACATCAAAAGAGCTTCCTTCATGCACTCAACGCTGGTTCCCAATCAGCCAAATGGTACCTGGCGGCCACAAAAGGGGAACCACCTTTCGCTGACAAGAAAACTCCAAGACAAACCCAAGTCAGCCTTCATCGACTACGACTAGGGTACAAGTGCTCCTGGCAGATGATCGGAAATGACGTCATGGAATGCACCTACTGTCAGGAGCCAGCAGCCAACCCACTTGAACACTATCTCCTCGATTGCGAGGTCACACAAAGCCTCCGAAACAGAACTCAAATCTCCCAAGAAACACACACAACACCAGCGGCCACTCTAACCCGAAAGGCCCATACAGACCACATTCACCACCTACTCCGGGTCATCACACGATACCCACCACCCAGATAGCTTAGAAAGCATCCTCTCCCAGCAAGTGCGGACCCCAGTTCGGGGGGCGCGCCACTCCGAAGCTGACCACGTCCAAGAGTGGGGGCTGGTGGTAAGCGTCCACTGATCGGGGGTCCGCTCACACTTGCAACCTGCAGTATCCCTCCAATCTGCAGGTGGGACCACCTCCAATCCCAATCCGGTCTGGCTGCTCCTGGAGCTCCAGCCGGAACCACCAAACGGGCCGCCTATAGGCAAAGGCCCGTGTCGGACTACGGTCCGACAATCTATACAACAACAACAAACCCAGGGAGAACATTCTACACTCAGCTACTGGACCAGCCACATCTCTCACAGCTCCTCACCTAGTCACTCCTAAGCACTGCGCTGTACAACAATATATATACAGAAAGCGCATTGTGAGTTTCTATCCTACCTCATTCCTGAGTGGAGATATCTATATTTACGTACGTTTGTGTGCCCATACAAAGAGATAATAGACAACTAAAGAGAATTGACAACTGGCCTCATACAGTACGCTACAAGTTCTGCCACAGCAAAGCGTGCGTAACAGAGACGTGGCCGATCGCCCAAGCGGCTAACGAGCCGATCATTGGTGAAGAGGATAAAAGTAAAAAGTATATGCACAACGACAATAAGGTGAAAGAGAAGGTGCATGTGCGGATTCACACGCAGTTGAAAACCTCTTATTTTATTTTCTTAAGGTAGTCATCTTGTACACCACTGAACCAAGTACAGTATGTTGGAAAGCGAAGAAAAAATAGGAAAAAATTATAGTTTTTGCAATCCTGCCCATCCCCACAGATTCATGCTGTCCTCCAGAGTATATCATGTCACCACACCTTTCCTCTCAGCTAACTGAGGTCATGGCTCAATGTCAATATCAAGAATTTCATGGTAGGTGTCATTGGGTTCTTTGATAAGTGAATACAGTTTGTTTTTCTGATCCTTACATTTTATTTTATTATCGTTGATTATTGTTTTCGATCTCTAATTGACAATAGCTTCATATGAAAACCCAAAGCGTCCAGATCCCCATGGACCTTCTGGTCTTGTGTATGTGGAGACAAAGATACCGAGATGTGGCATAAATAGTTGGACTTGAAACACTCCTTGCCTCCAGTTTGTCCTGCCTCGCGTATCATATCTTTGAACTTGGCGCCATTTGCTGCTGTGTGCTTTTCATAAATTGTCGTCATCTGTGTTGACATTTTCCGATGAAATCCAGTCATGAATCATGTTTTCCTAAATGCCAGGAGGATGGCATGTGAGAGGCAACCCCGCTAGCATGTGGTCGGGCATGGACGCCCCCAAGATGCCAGGATCTGAGTGAGACGCCACTCTAAAGCCATGAGCTCGTTCTCAGGCAAAATTAAGGAGTTCCCGCAGATCTCTGTGGACAGATTCGATGGGCGCAACCTTGCCAGTACTGCTTATTTTCTAAGTCATGCTCATTCAGGTGAGTTTTAAAGGGAAAATTTTTAAAGAATCTTTATGTGTTCACCAACAACTGTAACTTGCAGGTGCGCTCTAAAGTGTGAAGTATGGAGGTGCGTATGTTAGTGTCATCGTCAGTGCTGTCCAAAAAAAAAAGTCAGATGGGCTTTTTTGTTTTTATTGCTTAATAAATAATTATTTTTTTGAAGTGAAGGTGTTTCTCGCCATTTTATGCCTTGTTAAGAAAAGAACATTAATGATAGAGATAATACTGAGGGCTGACACTTTATTGAATTTTTGTTATTAGATTTTCACTGATAAGTTTGTCTTGATAATAGTGTAATTTAGGTCGAGTGTCTTATATCAATAATTACCGTGTCTTATAACATGAAACAAAACAAGGCACAATTCGAGAGGAATTGGGGTCCGACTAATTACCCAAATGTACCCAAATGTAGCCGCAATGAAGTCAAATAATGGTCCTACATGAATAAACCGGACTGCCAATCACTTCTCGACTAGTATTTGGTGTCACGAAGTCACAAAAAATTGGTAAACTTAATTTAATCTGAGTTAATAGATCGAGTGCATGTACCTAACCTAACCTAACACAACTCGGATTAAATTAAGTTTACCAATTTTTTGTGACTTAATGACAAAATAATAATCGAGAAGTGATTCACAGCCCGATTTACGCTTGTAGGACCATCATTTGACTTCATTGCGACTACATTTGGGTAATTACTCGCTCCCTCGGTACATGCACGTGATCTATTAACTCAGATTAAAGTAAGTTTTCCATTTTTTTTTTACTTTATGACACCAAATACGAGTCGAGAAGTGATTGGCAGTCCGATTTATTCATGTAGGACCATTATTTGACTTAATTGCGGCTACATTTGGGTAATTAGTCGGACCGAGGAATTGCGCTACTTTATGACTAACTGGGTAAAATTACATGATATGAATAAAGTCTTTATACTTAGGAAAAAATAAATTATATTTCTTAAGGCATTACAGTACCTGGTGACAGTACTAGTATCTGCATGTGTCATTATAGTCGAGTTAATTTAAGTAAATTTGGTACAGTTGACAATCCCTTATCCGAAATCCTTGGGACCAGATGCATTTCGGTTTTTGGAATTTTTCGGTTTTCAGAATTTTTTTTTTTTTTTTTTTTTTTTCCCCAGGGATCAGCCCACCCGGGCACAGGTCACTGACCCACATTGGGGGCTAAAATATAATAATAATAATAATAATTCATAGGTCTAAGTCGTGTTTCTCACTTTTGATCTTTTTTTCATTGTATTTTTGTATTATTATTATTATTATTTTATTATTACAGTATTATTGTTATTATTAGTATTGTTATCATTCTTATTTTATTTTTGTGTATTTCTATTTAAAATTTTGTTTACTATGAATAATTATTATTATTACTGTATTATTATTATTATTATTATTATTATTATTATTATTATTATTATTATTATAATTATTATTACTATTACATTTTCACCCCCAGGCCCCAATGTGGGTCAGTGACTTGTGCCCGGGTGGACTGTTAAAAAAAAAATAAAAAAATAAATTGCTCCACAAAAAACTTTCGGTTTTCAGAGCTTTTCGGTTTTTGGAATTTCGGATAAAGGGTTGTCAACCTGTAATAAACATTTGTAGCCATTTGGTCACTGCCCCACCTGCTGACTAGAAACTGCATTTGTTCAGTTTAGTCAGTGGATATTTTGCCATGACTGGCTAAGTTCCTACTTATGCTATTTTCCGTGATTAGGCTTTGATTGGCTATTCGTCCATTACCGGCGAACAAAGCAAGAAATATATTGACCATAACTGGGGCATTTGGATTTTGTCATGAATCGATTGTTTTGTAGCTGTCAACATACCTAACCATATTTCTGTTGTGGAAACTACTGACATAAATAGAGGTAAAGATTCGTTTTAGGTCGAACGTGGAATTTTATATTTCTATTTATATTGGGAAAAGAAAAAAATACTATTCTATTTCTTTTCTGGCACACATCTATATGTTTTGAGTAATTTAACCAATAAGACCTTCCCAATTACCAATAATATTGGTTGTTCGAAGTAGGATGTAGGGGGAAAATGTGGGGTAAACTACTAAAAAGAACACCACACAAGCCTATGAAAACCTTTCTTAACTTATGAAAAGGTTAAAAATATAGTAATGTCTGAGAACACCATTACCACCAGGAGTTTGATTTTGTTAATTTTTTCCATAGATGTTCTTATGAAAGAGGCGACATTTACTAGAACCTGACCTAACCAACCTAACTTCCTAGCTGGGGGCAGAACCCCTGTCATATTAAACAGAAGATACTGGTTGAACCTCCCTAATACGGTACTCTATTGTCCGGCACCTCCCGTTTTTCAGCAAAATTTTAGTTTGCTGGACAGCCGCTAGTATCCATGGTTTGGCATACCCTTTGTTTACATCTGGTCCTCGTGAAGTTAAATCTTTTAAAAGATAATTAGCTCCTTTCAAGCCTCTATTTCCCCACAAAAAAAAACGCTCTACTACAGAAGGTGGAACTGTTGAAGAAACTGGACAGTAGCGGATTGGTCTGAGCGTTATGTGAAATGTACAATGTTGGATCATCTACAGTGTATGATGTCAAGAAGCAAAAACTTCAAATCCTTAAGTTTTATAGTGAATCTGACATTAAGAAGTATATGGATATGTGTAAAACATTGAAGGAAGGGAAAAACAGTGATTTAAACAGTGCCTTTATACAGTGGTTCAAACTTAGGTGCAGTGAACGTTTTCCTTTATCGGGTGAGAGATTTATTACACAGGCAAAAATATTTCACAAAGAACTTAACCTGCAGCATGAGTTTGAGTATTCCCAGGGATGGCAGCAAAAATAAAAAGAAGGCATGGTATTAGTTTACACCGTTTATGTGGGGAAAAGGGAAGTGCAGATAATGAAGCAGCTGCTAAGTTCGATGAGTAATTTGCACAGTATGTTGCACATGACATTTTATCTCCCGAGCAGATATATAATACTGACGAAACTGCGCTTTTTTGGCGTCATATCTCCGGCCAAACTTTGGTGCAAGAAACAGAAGTGGCATGTGTCGGCATGTAGGATGTTAAGTACAGGGTTTCTGTGCTTGGTTGCAGTAATGCAGCAGGCGCACACAAGGCCAAGCTGTTGATTATTGGAAAAAGTCTGAACCCTAGGTGTTTTAAGGGGGTGAAAATTTTCCCAGTTATTTACCATGCAAACAAAAAGGGCTGGATGACCAGTAAAATATTTCTTGAGTGGTTCGAGAAATATTTTGTACGGGAGGCTGGAGCTCATTGCACATCAGTTGGTCTGGATCCTAAGTGCAAAATTGCCTTCCTGCTTGATAACTGTTCAGCCCACCCTGATGCAGAACTACTTGTCAAAGATAATGTTATGGGACTGTATTTACCTCCTAACTGCACTTGCTTAATTCAGCCATGTGATCAGGGTATTTTATGCTCCATGAAGAGTAAATACAGATCAGTGTTTATGCACCATTTGCTGTTGGCCATTAATAATGACAAAGATATTGGGACAGCTCGAAAAGAATTCACTCTTAAGGATATTATCTGGACATTAGCTAAAGGCTGGGATGCAGTAACGCCATCTACTCTGAAGAATGCTTGGCATAATTTATGGCCAACACTAATGTTTTGGGACAGTTCCCATGTTAGCGAGGAGAGTGATTTCGCTGGATTTCAAATGTCGCAAAATAAAATAATTGTGCGTGATTTAATGGAGTATGCCAACAGTTTGATCAACCCAGCAGCACGTGTAATAGTCAGGGAAATAGGGGAAGAAGGTTTACCGGAGTGGCTGGATGTCGACTGATGGCTGCAGAAATGGTGCAGATGGTACAGAAAGGACAAAGTACAGGTACAGACAGTAATGACAGTGAAGAAGATGAGAAAGTTCAAGAAAGAATATCTATTGACAAATGTATTCAGCTGACCACAGATTTAATAGAAGGCCTGGAGCAGAGAAACATATTTACCGGTCAAGAAATCATGCATCTCTACCTAACGAAAGACTCTAATTATAGAAAAGCCCAAATACATGAAACAAAAACCTTTGGATAATTGGTTAAAAAATGCAACAGAGACCAGTAAGCAACTCTCTTCAACTGAACATCCTATTGCATCTACTTCTTCTACTCCAGATGTCACCTTACACGAGGACTCAGACAATGACTTAGAGTACCCAGAAGTCACCCCAGCCAAACCCCATATGTCACCCCAGCCGAGACCCCAGATGTCACCCCAGCCGAGACCCCAGATGTCACCCCAGCCAAGACCCCAGATGTAACTCCAATGTAGTGTGAATTGGACATGTGTGTACATACCTGTACTGTACATAAATTTAGGTGCAGAATCAGCAATCACTTTGTGTAAGTTAATTGGTTTTGTTTTTTGTTGTTTCTTCATTTTATCTTTATTTTTTTCTGTATTTTTACTTTATTTTCATAATTTGCTTATTTAATTTTCAGTAAGTAAGCTTATTACATTTTTTTTTCTGTAATTATTTTATTTCCATAGTTTTTAATTTTTCCTTATTTTCTCTTTATTTTCTTTATTTTATTATTTCATTTACTGTACAGATATTTTTTTCTTCTTTACAGGTGAACATCACCAATTTATGTACAGGTACTGTAACTATTTTGTAATTTTAAGTACATGTACAGAATGAGAATTATTGTTTATCTATTTTCGTTTATTACAATTACACTGTACTGTATTATGTTACTGTAGTTGAAATACATTACCTGTATAGGTGTTTCATTTTCATATTTCTTTTATCCTTTTGCATGCATATTTACCTATATCATTTACATTAAAACTGTGTGACAACAATAATACTATGTATTTTACAAAGACCACCTGTGGTTTGGAAAATTCTATAGTCCGGCACTGGTCAGGTCCAAAGGGTGCCAGATTAGGGAAGTTCAACCTGTACTTAGCCAATCAGCGCACTCACGGTAAAATAGCGTTAGTAGGAACCTAGCCGGTCACGGCAAAATATCCACTACATTCAGTTTATGGATGTACAATTTTCTGGTTGAGTCCAGGTTTGGTTTGATTATGATTTATAGAAAGATATACCCTGTACATCCGACAGTGATCGATGGTTAGGTTAGTGCTGACAATGCCTGACACTGATTGATTGTTAAATTAGCGTAGAGATGTTAGGTTGGTGTAAATTTTCTTTTGGTCCAACTTATAAGAATCCTGCTTGTTTTTTAAATTTTATTTAAATTTTTTTGAGAAATCTACTTGTTTTTTAAACTAAATACAATACAGTCTCTCCTCGACTTACGACATATTCGACAACCCGGACATACGACGGCTATGGTCGTATAAAATATTTTTTCACATGTACTTGCGAGTCCCGATGTTAGTGACCGTGCTGTGTACTGACAAAATTTTCGTTTGTAATTCCCTTTAAAATGGCTGGCAAGCGTAAAAGTGAGAGTTCTCGTGGTGCTGAGAAGAAAAAGAGACACCCATTTTAGAATTTCTATGTATTTTTGCCTTTTCGACTTACGACCTGGTCGTCGGGACAGAACCCCGTTGTAAGTCGAGGAGAGACTTACTGTAATTGCTAACAAAACTTTAACACTTGAATTTGGGGTAACAATTACTAATCAAAATAGTTAAGCTACATAAAATTGATTAGAGTAAACTTAATGAAATTTAAGTTTAGTTGAAAACATTAATCACACTAAACTACCTTAATAAAATTCAAGGTTAGTTGTTAGTGCTTTGTAACTCCCGTCATAAAATTAAATATTGTGCTAAAATTGTGAAGCTTATTATAGTAAATTTTTAGCCTGGCAGCTGTGGTATTATGCCTGTATATTAAAGCAGGTAATGGATCAATAAAACTTAAATTAGATGAAAATTAATAATCAAGCATTTTCTCTACTAAACCAATGTCTTTGGCACTTTTGTGAGTCAAAATAACAGCACCGAATGATGTGCCATTTTTATAAGAGTGAACCACTGAGTGATGTTGCACAGAGTATTTTTTCTAGTTTAGTAGTACTCGCTGCTTTATATGGTAATTGTTAACAACAAGGGTAAAGGTGGAGGAGACCATTGGCACCGGAAATTACTTATGGAATTTAACCAAAATTTCTGGAGATACGTACTCCTATTTGCATGACACTGGGCATGAAAATGGGACCTAACCCTACCTTACCTAACCTACCTAACATCATTAACTTCCTAACCTGTGCATCGTCATTTTGACTTTCTTCCTATCATCAAACAACATCTCTAGAAAAAATAAACAAATTCAATCCAATATATATCATAATAAACATGCCCGATGAGATCGTCGTTGGTTTCTTAATGAGTAAACAAAGACTGTAGATGCTCCCGCATAGCAGATGACATGAACTAAATCATTGCCACCACGGGAGATCTGACAGTGTCATAATTGCAGTAAATAATTTATTTTTTTTGCCTACAACGGACATGGAGATGCAAAATTACTTCCGTGTGATGAGTGTTTGTGTTGTTTTTACCCCATTATTTCCTCCTCCTTTTATGCCTTGCCCATTAACAAGTAATTTATGATTGAAGGATAGGCTAAAAAGAAAACAAGATATATTACAATGTTGTTGCCCTGATTTTATTACTCATTATCATCCAAACTTCTGTAAATTTGGTTCAATTCCATTATGCCTTTCTGGTGCTAATGGTATCCTTCACCTTTACCAGAACAATGATAAATCTAAAGAAGAAAAGTTATTTCATACCACAAGAATAAAACAAGTCAGATGTAGGAATAGCACTTGTCATATTCAAGAAAAACTCGGGGAAAATTAAAAGGAAAGTAACATTATCTTCCTATGCTGTTAATGACTTAAGTTTCTATATCGGAATCCTTTTTTAAGAAATAACCTTCAGTGGATTTTGACCATCCTGCTACAGATGATGCTGCTTTTGTCAGTGTGCTGTAAAATGTCTGCCTTTCTGTCACGAACAATGTTAAAAATGCATCTGCACAGCTTGCATTCAGAATTATCATTGTCTTCCTTTTTAAGTAAAATCCCATTGTTTAGCATAATCGTCTTTAAATGTACAAATGCATTTTTACATTACAGTAAAATAAATTCAGTATAGTGCCTGGTTATCCTTGCTTATATTATGCTGTCATAGGCTCACAGGGCAACATGAGGCATTGACTGCACTCTCATACTTGTGGTCACCTATAAGGCAGGTTGGCTGACTGAAACAATACATCTCTTAAACGGGTGGATATAGTGGCAAGCTGGAATTATTTACTCTTTTTTTAAGTCAACTTTTCAGGTCCACTTAAATATTAGACAAGGCAGTGAAATATTGTACTGTATAGGACAATCCCATACACACATGATTCATGACGATAGCAAAACTTTGATGGTACCCAAAGTAAAATATGCTTAGTGCGTATTTTAGTAACTATTCCATTAATTTTATATAAATAAATACAAACTCAGTGACAGTATAATGTCACAGTATTACTAAATACTCTGTGTTCCATATTACTGTACTGTATTATGCTTCTTAATTTTAAATTATATGTTACACAAAAAGCTATTCAAAGTTTTATGGCTTCATGGGCCTATGTGGCAGCTGGCGGCATAGTTCTTTTCATATACTGTACCACAATTTTATATAAACATCCTAAATCAAAGCATTGATGCTATAAATTACTGTACAGTACAGAATTCCAAAATCAATATACCGGTAGTGGAGTTGCGATAATTTGCGGGCTAGGTACCAGAGAACATTGAATCATGAAATAGCGAAATATAGTTTAATTGGTTTTAATGGAAATATATAATTATGTTCCAGCAACCCCAAAAATGCACATAAAGTGTTCCAAAACTGCTTTAATAAACACTAAGTATTGTAAACAATACTGTACATCGAAAATACAGTAGCGCAGAGATACAGTAAGTTCTCGCTTAACGTCAGGGTTACGTTACTGAAAATGCAACGTTATACGAAGCATCGTTAAGAGGATCAATTTTCCCCATAAGAATTAGATTAAATACGTGAGTTACATTCCCCAGCCTCCCTTTGCCCCATATACAGTATATATAGTTCTAAGTTTGTATTGGTACTCACCGATGGGCGGAGGTGGTAGAGCGAGTGTGTGGTGGGTAGTGGAGCGAAGGAGGACGGTGGGAGGGGTGGAGTATGGCGGGAGCGGAGGAGGAAGGAGGGAGCGGAGGAGGAGGGTGGTGAGTCACTGAGGCTCTGCGGCTGCCTCCTCCTCCTCATGTTCTGACTGGGGCTCCTCCTCCATTGTTGTTTGCTTCTCCTCCGTTGTTGTTTGCTCCTCCTCTGTTGTTGTTTGCTCCTCCTCCGTTGTTGTTTACTCCTCCTCTGTTGTTGTTTGCTCCTCCTCGGCTGCTTTGTGCTCCTTCTCGGCTGCTGACTGTTGTGAAGAAGCTGTTTCTGCCATCCCGCAACGAACAAATGAATTCAGTGTGTCTGCTTGGTGCTACTCTTCTTCTCCTTATAGATCTCCGTGTAACAACGAAGACTGTCCTCAATGCTGCATTGAACCTTTGAGCTGTGTTTTTTGTTTGGGTCGTCATCTATGAGGATTTGCATTCCTTGCTGGAACATGTTGAACGATTCTGCCATCCTCTTGGAAGTTAGCGTTTGTTGAGGTTCTTCTTCGTCGTCATCTTCAACGGGACTGTGTTCTGTTAGTTGTTGCAGATCTTCCTTAGTGAGCTCTGATTCCAACTCATCAAAGCCTGCCTGTCTAGTCAAGCTGAGGATATCCCTATTCACAGCTGGGACTAAGTCCGTGAATCCCGTAAAACTGTTGATGCACTCGGGCCACAATTTACGCCACTCATCATTCAGGCAACTTTATGAAACCTCTTCCCATGCCTTGCCAATTGCGTGGAGGATGGTGAAGCCACACCAATATTCTCGGATCGTAGGTTTATTTTCTCCGTCTGTAGCCTTGAGCAGCTGGGCCATGGTGCGGCGTAAATAATATGCCTTGAATGTGGCGATTTTTTTTTTTTTTCGGGGATTACCCCACCCGGGCACAGGTCACTGACCCACACCGGGGCCTGAGGGGGGGGCGATCGGCTGCATCAGTGCTGTTGTGTTGGGAGGCAGAAACACAACTTATACACTGTCCAACAAGTCGTCAAGATTGGGAGGATGAGCTGGAGCATTGTCAACGATCAGAAGAATTTTGAAGTCAAGGTTCTCCTTGGCACAGTATTCCTTCATTGCAGGGACGGCGTACACGTTCAACCACTGGCGCCGGTTATCCATGCCTTCTTATTTGCCTTGTAGATCATAGGAAGGAGATCCTTAGAGTATCCTTTCAGGGCCCGTGGGTTGGCAGCGCGAGAAATCAGCATAAGCTTCAGCTTGAAGTCACCGGCAGCGTTCGCACCAAACAGCAGCGTCAAGCGGTCTTTTGTTGCTTTAAAACCTGGTGCTCTTTTCTCCTCCTTGGAGATATATTGTACTGTAGGTCCTCTCAGGCATCCTCTTCCAAAAGAGACCAGTCACATCCATATTGAAGACTTGCTTTGATGATTAGCCTCCTTCCTGGATAATCCTTTTGAATTATGGCAGGAATGTCTCGGCAGCAACCGTATCTGAACTGGCAGCTTCACCAGTCATCTTAATATTGTGGAAGTTATAACGATGCTTAAATCGTTGAAACCAGCTACAGCTGGCCGTAAAGGTCTCTTCCTTTGATCCTTCACCCTCTTCTGCCTTTATGTCGTCAAACAAGGATCTGACCTTATGCTGGATAACCATAAGGCTCACAGGTGCATTGCATTGATTCTGGTCCTCCATCCACATAGCCAGCATCTTTTCCACTTTTTCTATCACAGACTTCTAGTACGAGTTGTCTAGTTGCACTCAGAGAAGAACCACTTCCAGGACGAACCTTAATCTTGTCAGCGTTGGTCCGGATAGTATGCACCGTTGTGGGGGTTAGACCAAGCACAGCGGCTATGTTCACAGCACATTCCCCTTTTTCAAATCGGGTTAATACATCCTTTTTCTTAGCAAGGGCAATGGTCTTACGTTGTCTCTTCACTAAATTAGCATCAGTAGCAATTGATGGACGCTTGGAAGCTATTTTGAATGGTTAGAGTACAGTTTTAGAGCAAAAGCACTTAAGTACACACGTTCCGCAAGTGAGGGCAGTGCACCGAGTCGAAAGAGCGTAGCACGGCCAGACAAGAGCGGGTGATGTGCCTTAGAAAGTAGTTCGTGACGACGCAAAACGATGTAGTATCGGATCACCGAGATGTTAAACGAATTTTTGGTCTAAAGTTTAGTGACGTAATACCGAAACAACGTTAAGCGGGATGACGTTATACAAGGACTTACTGTATTATACAAAACATAGTTCTATACAGTACAGTACTGTATTACATAAACAGCTTCTTCTGTCTCATAATCATCCTCTGGGTAACACCAATACACCAACATGAAGACAGGCAGGTGCCAGGTCTTGCTGGTTGGTCAGCTATTCGCCTATGTAAACAATGCACCAGGAGTTTAATACGACTCAATAACTCTTCTGGGATTGAGTGGAATTTTTATTTTTTGATAATGTTTCATTAACCTGGCGCCCTGTGAACCTAAATGCAGTGTGGTCCCTCAGTTAACGAACACAATTCATTCCAGAAGGTCGTTCGTTAACCGAAACCATTGTTTCAGTGGGATTTTGGGTACGCAATTGGTTTCAGCTCACCGAAAATTACATACAAACTAAAAATAAATTTTTACAAAATAACCAGAATGACCAATAATTGTATTGTAAAAATGAAAAATATGTTCAAGAGTCTCAAAGCAAGCAGTTTCTCCACTGAGCAGGAACACACTGACGCTAATTTGGTGAGTCAAGTGGCTGTTTACGCCGCCAAAAACTGTTCTTTGTATTTCTTCATTTCAAGCAATAATAGCAAATGACTAAAAAGTCTTGAGAAGACTTGGAAAAATTACTAATAGGCTAAATCCTTGATATTTACAGTGACCTCGCTAATCTAACACCTCGGCATAATTCTCATTAACGAATCACCATGATTCCTTCAATTCGTTAATCTAAAAAAAATTCGGGTTAACGGTTTCACGAATCCCACCTCAACATGTTTCACAGGACTGACCGGCAACCAGCTTTAGCATCAGTCCCAATACATTAATCGTTTTAGGCTTAAATTCCTTAATATTTTAGTAAATATCAAGAAGTTTATACTATTCAATAATTTTAAAAGTTTAATATTCAATTTTTTAGTCATTTTAACAATTATTGAACATAATTGAAGGTAAAGTGACTAGTTTAATGCGCGGCATCCAGCCTCTTAACACAGCAAACAGGCGTTAGTCTCTCTCTGTTTTCACTGGAGGTAACATCTTGCTTGAGACTCTCTTCAACTAAACGCTTTTTTCTGTGTTTCAAGCAAATTATTGGTCATTTTGAAATATATTTTACATATTGACAATATATAATGCAGTGCAGTGTTGATTTAAAGAAAATAATCTTGAATTACACCAAGAGAGCTAAAATTTTATGGGTGAAATGGTGCCATGGGGTGACTTCTCTTCCACCCCAATGCCTTCTCTTCTTCCCTTCCTCCACCCCCATTCTAAATCCCATCATCATCATCATCATCCAGGAGCCTTCTACATACACACCTCAAAGTAAGTGAACTTTTCTACCATTTTTGTTGAATTTAGGAAATTTTCGGTGAGCTGGAACCAATTACCCAAAACCCATTGAAACAATGGTTTCGGTTAACGAACTTTTCGGTTAACGAACGACCTTCTGGAACGGATTGAGTTCGTTAACGGAGGGGTCACTGTACTCAAATGGTAACGAATTTAAACCCTAAAAACAATTACTGTATTGGCGGACTAATACTACAGCTGGTGAGCAGGCGATAACGTGTTGGGGAAAATTCGTATGGAATTCGTTAACCGAAGTGAAGAATATTATGGAAGGTAATTCGTTAACCGAGGCGTTCGTTAACCAAGGGATCGCTGTAATATGAGAATTGTCGCAAAATTGCATACTTGCTTTATAAAGGGGTCGTGGGGTAATGTAGAACTCCTAGAGCAGAAGGGGAAGGAGAGGAATTTTCCATTCCTGCCATCTTTCAGCCAAACACTTCCCTCCCTTCATTTTTTTAGATATATTTATTAATTTCTGAGTTAGAGCATTGAAATATGATGTTTTATTTAGTTTTAAGTCACAGTAGAGTATTGAAATGATATTTCCTCAACTTTCTGGTTTCTTGTGTAAATAAACACAGTGGCAGTCGAAGCTTGGCCGTGATTCTGAACATTTTACCTCAAATTTAAAAAAAATCTTGTAATTGTGGTTTTGCAAATTTAAGAATGTGAATTTGTTTTTTGGGAATTTTCATGACTCCACTTTACCAGTAATTGATCAAGTACCGTATTTAGACCCAGACCAAATTATTACAAATATTGTTTACATTTTAGAAATTGTGCTGTGGATGGATATTTAAAGGGAAATGTAACAGTACCGTACTGTTTATAGATGGCTTGACTCTTGCAAGCCTTTTCATGATGTGATGTAAGGTGACCAGACCAGTACAGGTCCCTTGATTCTTAGCATTTAGCAGTTAGTGGGTTACTCTACTCCTTTGTCAGGATGCTAGGCCACTGTAGATTTTCTCCACCACTAGCAAGGGTATATATTTGTGTGCTCTCTTATTTTTCTTCTGTACTATATATTTTATTAGTTTGTATTTGTATAACTATGTTGTGTATTTTCTTGCAGATCACATGATTGGGCTGAGCTCTCCCCAATTCTTAGACCACTTAGAGAGCAATAGTGGTGTATACTTGTACTGTTCTGCTATCACTGCTCGCTTTCTACAAGCATCTATCAGACATCGCCCCCTTGACCCATTTGTCCGACCACTCCCTCCAGAGGAACCTGTGAAGATCACTGTGCCCAATGTTGCTGAAGAGGCCAGTCACCAACTTTGTGTCACTCTCATACCTGCAGGACACTGCCCAGGCTCAGTCATGTAAGATATATCACAATATCCATTCAAGTACAGTATTTTGTGCATTGTATTATTTTATGCCATACAGTGCCATGGAATATAGGGGTATGGACATTTGATAGAACTATATGTTTGTATGGATTTGGTTTCCAACTTTCCATTCCAAAACTGAAGAGAGATTCCACAAAGTGAAAAGAATTTTGGAATATAGTTTCTATAATATGATAAATATTTGGTAGTTTGTTGGTCAGTGAATTCCACCTTCAATGAGGACTTACTGTATGAGAGTTACAACCTGTTTTACTTACAAGTTTTGTAAGTGAAACACATCATTTTTAGTAATCTAGTTCTTGAAAGGTTTAACAAAGCCTAATTGAGGCATGTACTGTAATTATGATACAGTTTCTACTAAATAGAAAGTATTTAACACTCACTAGATATGGTGAAGGAAATTGTTTGCAGAGGCTGCCTAAAGTAATGATGGAAGTGCCTAAACTTTGAAATTGTTCAAAATAATGTGATTTTGGAACAACAAAATTTAACTGAGAATTTGTTCCCTAATACTGTACATTGGTGACGGCTAAGCAAAATGACACAATTAGGAACAATGTAAATAGAGGATTTACCGTGACCTGTTTATCATCAGCATTTCCTCTTGTACAGTTAATTGAAAAGCAGCATATGTGCCAAGCTTCACAAAATATTCTTAATTCAGTTTTACCTTCCTAGCGTTCTTTATGATGAAAGGAGCTCAACATTTGTCCTCAACAAGAGAGAACAATGAAACCCAATTTTCCCAGTACATAAATGATTTATGGATATTCACATTGCTTACAATTTTGTTTTATTGAGATGATACTGTATTTTTAATTTTATGATCTAGTGAAACATGTAAGTTTTGAAATATGATAACTGCTTCCTGTAGGCAGAAGATAAAGAACAAATAACATGGTAATAAAAACTTTACTTTTATGTCCTTCAACAATATGATATATAATTGATAAATACAGTTGTTTTTGTTTTCTTGGAATTTACATTTAGATAATATTGTTATTTTGGTGCCTTTTGGTGTGACCTTGCTAATAAAATTTTGCTAGTTGAACATATTCTGTGTTTGGAGATTTGATAGTGGGTTTCAGAGCTATAGTGAGTATTTTGTTAATAAGGGGCAGGGGCAGATCCAGGGGGAGGGTCTGGACCCCCTTTTTGTCAGAAAATTCTAATACTGTACTGTATTTTTCTTTAATGCAGTACTGCCATCTCTAGATTTACACATTTGTTACGTTCTTGAGAATGGCCGTGTAAATAAAAAATGTGTAAATCAAACTTAATTATCCCGTAAGAAATAAAGGAAATGGCAGGGGTTAGGGGAAACACTACCTAAATATGTTTTATTAACACTAATGTAATAATAATAATAATAATAATAATAATAAAAGCAAACTTAATAATACAGTACACTGAAGTAAGAAAATAGATTTTAAATGAAAATTTTTGCTAACATTTACGTTGAATGATGGCTGGGATAGCGTGCGGAAACTGGTGGTGATTAAGGAGAGGCGGGGGGTACTGGGGAAGGGAGTCATCTGAATCAGATGACAGAGCAGGTGATGGGGGAGGAGAAGTGGGAGCTTTCAAGATGCCAGATGTCAATGGGCTGAGGATCAGGTGATGTTACTTATTCCATTTTTGTAAAGGAGGAAAGCAATCAGGTATTAAACTGCATTGCAAGGCACAATGGCGCTCTTTTCAAGACCATGCTATTTAATTTTTGTTTATTAATTTAATAAGTGTTATTTAAAAATGTGCAAATAAAATGCGTGTAAATCGAGAGGTGACTACTGCATTGTACTCGGGCATTTTTGTGTAGTAAAATGTACAGTAATTACTATTGACCTCAGAATATCTCCTTATATCAAAATGCCCATGGTATTGGTCAGATTTCAAACATTTTCTAGGGTGGGGCTAACAGCAACCCTCCCAAAACACCCCAGTTGGGTGGGCTTGCTGTGCTTGCCATGTTTTCCCACCACTACCACTTCTTGGACCCCCCTCCCCCCTTTTTGGTTATTTTACTGAATCCACCCTTGGAGGGGACTGGTGGTGGGTGCTGGAAATCCAGTTCAGTATGTTAAATTTTAAACAGTGAAAGGTATGGCTATGCAGGTATATAGAGGCACCAAGACACATCAGTCTTTAGTGCCAACTGTCACATCTTTGTCTCTTTCTATGAGGGTAAATTGGATACTTAGGAGAGAGGCACTAATTATTTTATGGGTACCAGTTGTCAGTCTCAAAGGTAAGAGTAAGACTGGTTCCTAACTCAGACTAATTTTTTATATGCAATATATCTTTCTTCCAACGTTGTTAAAGAATAGGATTTCCATGATCAATGCAGCATTTGTATTAATATATCATAATGATGTCATAGTGATAGCCCCATTAGCCGGAACAATTGGTGCAGAACTGTTCTGGGGATGAGAGATTTCTGGGTAACAAAACAACTCTCAAACGTGGAAAAATCCTACATCCCTGGAATTTTTCCGGGATTGGGAAAAGATTCTGTGAGTCTAAACAACGTATCTCGCACGGACAGACACTATCGCACATTCTGGAATATTTCTTGATGCTGGGGAAAGTTTTCAGAGTCTTAAGAAAGTCTAAGCTACACATCTCATCTCGACTCTAAACTATGCATCTCACGATCTCATCTCCTATGGACAAACACTCCCCCATTACATATAGACCATGGGAATGAGCAAAAAATTAATGGCTAGTGAAAAAAATTTTAAATTTTTTATTCACAGCCTATGTTTTAATGGTGTTAGAAAAATTAATTTGACATTAAAATTATCCCAAATAAATTCTCTACAAGACTGTTCCAATAAAGGTTCCTTAAACAAAATATTTCAGCATGATATAATGATGGGGACTCCATTCTTTTATGAAATAACATAAGAAATGTTGATAATGGAGTCTCAAAAATTTATTCTAATTACCGTAAGTTGGAAACTTTTTTTGCCAAAATAATCCTGAATAGTTTATCCTAAAGTTTGGTTAAATAAACATATTTATTAAAACAAAAAGTCTGTGATACAAGCCGTCAAATGAAGGTATTTTTGAGGTGCTAGGTTCCCATCAAATGCCCTGTATATTTATGGTTAATTGTTTTAGAGAGATTTGGTACCATAATTTTCCTTAATAAATTCTATACAAGACTGTTTTAATAATAGACCCTTAAACAAAATATTTCAACATGGTACAGCATAATGATGGGGACTCCACTGTTATATGAAAAACTTAAGAAATATTTACATCGGAGTCTATAAAATCATTTCTATTTAAATTAGAAACACTGTTTTTTTTTTACCATTTATACACCATTTTAAATCAATATATTTTGATTTTTTTTTTTTTTATAAGTGTGTGCGAGGCATTAATGGAGCTGTATGTCACATCCAAGACGGTGTTTATTTAGGCGAACACCTCTGTATGCATACAACATAATTATGGTAAACAAAATACTGTATACAGGTTGTACCTCTCTAGTTCGGCATTCTGTGGTCCGGAAACTCCCGTGGTCTGGAACGATTTTAGTTTGTCCAATAGATAGCAGCTTTTTTTTTTTTTTTTTTTTTTTCTGAATTATTATTACAGGACTATTAAATTTTTGCCCCTCAGGCCCCAATGTGGGTCAGTGACCTATGCCCGGGTGGGCTAATCCCTCAAAAAAAAAAAAAAAACCAGCCGCGGGAAATTAAGGTTTGTTTACATCCGGCAGTTTGGCTGCTCTCTCTCTCTGCTTGTCTATACAAAGTACAACATTTAACCCTTCAATATATATGAGCAGTAAATAAGTGTTGCTTTCATATTCTTATGTAGAGTAATGACGATATGTTTTCACATGTGCGCACTTACATACATACCATTAATGGTTAGCTACATACAGTATATTGTTCCATTTATTAACATTAAATAACATTACAGGTACTTCAAACAACCATATTATTTTTTTTACATTAATTTTACTACAGCTAAAATCAGGGTCTTATTTTCTTCCGTTTTATATGTCGAACCAATCAGTCACTGGTTTCGTAAGCTTTAACATAAACAATGCCGGCAGCCGTCTCGTCTCCTCTAATATTCCACGTATTATTAATAAATTGTATTGTTAATTTTGCACACACATACATTAATTCAATAAAAACAAATTCAAAAACATTAATTAAAATATATATGAACAGTAAATAAGTGTTGCTTTCATATTCTTATGTAAAGTAATGACGATATGTTTTCACGTGTGCGCATGCGCACTTACACACGCGATCTCTCTTTTTTCTTTACCATTATCGTTAGCTACTTCTATTGTTCCATTTATTAACATTAAATAACATTACTTAAAACAACCATATTAAATTTACTACAGCTACAACCAAGGTCTTATTTTCTTCAGTTTTATATGTAGAACCAGTCAGTCACTGGCTTTGTAATCAACGAAAACAATGCTGTGTCATTTCCTCGTGTGTTTTAATATTCTACGTATTTTAATGAATTGTATTGCTCATTTTGCACACATAAACATTAATTCAATAAAAAAGACATTCGGTAATAAACAATAATGAATCTTTTGTACAGAGGAGAAATGACGCTGTTTGCACAATTATGCACGTCGTCTGCACGTTGGTGGGCCGTTCAAACCCGTCGAAATTCAAGTTTTCGCCTTCAAAATTTTTATTTATTTATTTTTTTGTGTTCTAATAAAATACGTTAAGAATTAAAAACTCGCGAAATTTGAGAAGCTACTCTACGATATTTAACCCTTCAATATGTCTTCAAAGAGACCATGATGCAGAGAAAGTTGTGCTAGTGCTTCCAAGCATAAGCACAAGTCACTATCTATCCAGGAAAAGGGTGAATTTCCATGGTCCGGCACCGGTCAGGTCCCGAGGTTGCCGGACTAGAGAGGTACAACCTGTACTACCTCTGTACTATGTACTGTATACATTACTGTACTCATCAGCAGATGCCTTTTTCTTGAGCCTACAGTAGGCATATTGTCCACTCTGTTGAATCTAATGCATAACTATAATCACTTTTTACATCTTAACACTTGCAATGGAGGCAGAATAGGGGATTACTGGGTCTCATGTTACTGACCTGACCTGATGCAATGTCTGGTCACCCCTTGTATATACCGTAAGCTCTTCTCTCATTTGTAGTAGAGATGGGGTGGGGGATTAGTGGTCTCATGACCTGAAGAGGTCTTGAATAAAGACAAAAGCTAAGGTGCTCCAGTGTTTCCCACTTACTGAGTGTACAGTATATGTAACTGTAGTCTTTTTAACATCTTAACATTAATTTAACACTATTTTTGTCTGATTGTGTCCTGGTACAGTAATGTACAGTATTGTACTGCACGACACAAATTATACACAAAAACAGCAGCTTGCATGGGAACAACCTTCTACAATGGCAGCAGAGTATGAACTAAGCAATCCAAGCAGCTATGCCATCCACGCATCTTGCACATGGGGGTGCATTGGAGCATGATGTATATTGATGTAATCTGTTGGAATTTATTCCCAGGCCCAGACTGGAGGAGTTTGTTGAGATTTTTCGGAACCTTCTCTGAAATTTTCCGGAAAATGCGCGAGAGATTCTTCCTCATAAACTCATTCACAGACCAGGAATGGAGAGAGTTTCCCCCCCCAAATTCCAGGTCAATTTCAATTCCAGGTATTGGAGAGTTCTAGGGATTGGGGATTCTGCCTAACAGGGAGATTACTGTATGTACCACTGCAATAATTCAGGTTTTGAATTTTCTTTATGGACTCGTTGTCACTGTGTGCTGTAGATAATAACCTGTGTAAGGTTTAATGAGAATAATATTTTCAGGTTTCTTTTTGAAGGGAGAGGAGGGACAGTTCTATACACAGGAGACTTTCGCACAAGTGTTGGCGATGTTGAGAGAATACGTGCACTGCATAATGGTGATGGAACTCTCAAAACTGTGGATTCTTTGCATATAGACACAACTTTCTGTCATCGTGACATCCTACACTTTCCAACGAGAGAAGAAAGTTCTTCAGCTATAGGTGACCTTGTTGAAGACTGGTTAGCCAGAGGAAATAATCACCTAATACATCTTGTGTGTCCAGGTTAGTAGGACTCTTGATTTTCAAGGGTAAAGCCAGATATATGTTTCTTCAATAACTACATCATGAAAGATTAATCTTTTGTATTTGAAAGTAGAGGAGATTTGAGTGGAAAGTTGTATATGGTGTGTCTGGCCCTTAGCTACAGATAGACTTTAAAGGCATGAGGAAATCTACCACAGATACCTCAATGACAGGAAAGTTTTGTTATGTCCTGGTTAAAAAGAAGGAAGTGGGCAAAGTCAAGAATGACCACAAGAGCTGAGGTCTGCTATTGGGTGGGACATAGTTGGAACAAGATCCTTGGGCATTCTGAGTTCTTTCAAAAGGCTATAATTGGAAATTGAGAAAGTCTCATGGTAACTTAGTTCTGGATCAGAGGAATTCAGATAGCCTGCAGGAATATGTAGCTGAAATTTTTAATAAAAAAAGTAATTAAGCTTTAGTCCAAATAGTTTTAGGCAAGGTCTTTTCTACAGTACACTACTAGATAGCTATTGTAAATGTCATCGAGTATTTCATGACCAAATCAGGTGGATGAAAGAGGATTTCCTGATGTCAGATAAGGATTACCACAATTAAGCAGATGAGTTGGGTCTTAAAAAGGATCCTTTGATAAAGCTCTAATGATCACATTTTAATAATTTCCTGGTTTTCATCTCTAGGTACCTGATAAAGGTAAAGACCATTCACATTTCAATATAATTCCTTGTGAAATATTCTTTCTTCATCTCAAAGGTGCTGAGTGAGAGAAGTTCAATACCCGATGGTGGACTTTTCAAATTTTTAATTGCAATAGAGGCACTTAATCGTTTTTGATTTTGAAATAAATAAGGGATTTTATATTATTTTAATTTTGATATTTAAACTTAATAGGATTTTAATTTATTTATATCTTAGTTTTATATTATGGATTTCATTTTCGGCGTCAAATAGCCACAGCTGCAACGCCAGATATTTTACCTGATCAATTATTCCTTGTAAGATAACACTTGTCTCTAAGAATCTTCACCAAACTTTGAGAGACATAGTTAGAGACAGGGAGGGGGGGCAACAGTACTTTTCCTTTATCTGCCTCAAGCAAAATTTAAACGTTTCTAAGTCCAGTACCTTTGTACCAGATTTGGGTGCTTAGTCCATGGTTATCAGATATAAAGAGTCTAAAACTGAGGAATAATGGAAAACAAATAGAAAAAATCTTGTGCAGTAGACCATGGATGTACACTCCACAACTGACCAACATGAACTGACTGTGACCAAAAAGTCCGAGTTCGACACACGCACGTGACACATATAGTACTTTGTTTACACTGAGACTGGGCGGTTAGCAGTTGCATCCCATGGCGACATGTGCGTCATATATATTCGTAAATGTCTCTCATAATTCAAAATTTTACCAAATTTGAATACAATATATATTTTGTAACAGCAAAATGTTAAGAATTATGATTGATTTCAAATTAAAGGGGTATGAATTATGGGGGTTTTACTGTATGTAATGAGAGAGTTTCACCTTTGGAGGTGGGGGCCAACCCCCAAAATTCCATGTTTGGGATACATTTAGGGTGTATGTGCATCCCCAAGTCAAATTTCAACTCTTTATGTACCTTCACACTTGTCCATATGTCGACACAAATCACTTTTTGGTTTCTTTTAAGTGATCACACTTTTTTGACATAAGAAAAAAAAAAAATAAATAAATTGTTTGACTGGATATATACTCAGCTTAGGGATTAGATACATTATATGACAGATGAACCAGGTAATGTTTACTCAGTCATATACAGTAGTTTGATCAAATTAACATCATGATTAGAAGAATCCCATTTAGGGCCTCTGTCAGTACTAAAGAAAGGTGATATTTTGAAGTCTTCATTGTTCATGAATATGAACTTACAAGGAAAACTTAGATTTGGGTTTTCTATTTCATTTATTAATACAGTATAGAGTTCTAATTAATCCTCATAATGTTAGACATTGCAAGATAGATATGTACATTGTATCCATCTCTCATTAATAGAGGAGAAGCACTTTTTAGGGCAGATGGTGGTAGACTTATTTTAATGTACCTATTATTTGGGCCTTTAATTCTTTTTTAACATTATTCTCTGACCATGAATTTGTAGCTTTACATTGGTCTAAAGAGACTTGATTTTGTCCATCAAGTCTACAGGCTGCAGTGCAAGCTAATTCAAAATACTGTCAGCTGGCACTTATTTAAACAAGTAGTACCTGAACAACTCTTCCACCTTGGCTGTTGGAGAGAGGTCTAGGAGGCAAAGGTTTATCACTTATGGCTGAGAGCTGATGGGAACATAATTGAGGAAGGTCTGAGGTGGGCTTTAATGAAGGTCTTTTTCTTTTTACTCAAGCTACAGGAAAATGGGTTGTCTGTTTTAGAAAGGCATCTTATTTTGTGTCCTTGGAAACTTGTACTAGTGTTTTAATTTTAGGCATGAAAAAATAGTGGATCTCATTATTTGTGGTGTTCACTTCAGAGAGTTATGTGACTACAGTATATTAGTATCACAATTTAGAAAGCATAAATCATATAAAAACTTTATACTCATAATGGGTGGCATGTTAAGTGTCGATGAAGTGAGATGGAGAGTAACTTGCAACTGCTGAGCGGTGTTTCTTGTGATGACAAACAACATTGTTGTGGTGGTACAGCAGTGGGTTTTTGTGCTACAAAATACTGTAGATGGTAAGCCTTTTCGTAGGTGGTGAGCCAGGCTGTGGCATTGTAGACGTGGGTGAGGGGCTACTGAGGACAGGAGGAGGGGGTAGATGGAAGAGGGTGATGAGGCATAAATAATTCCAAATCATTTCAAGATGATAGCAAGTTGATTCAAGGCTCCACTAGCCTTGTGTCTCACTCTGGAGTGTACCAGTCATTTACTTTTCATTCATAATATGATTTTTGGCACACAGCTTTAAATTCATGACGCCAAATGCCAATTTTGTTAAGGCGATGATAGAGTGGTTTTGGTAAATCAGCTGAAGAAGATGATAGCAGTTAAAGAGGAGGCTCTTTCTTCTACTCTTAAATCTAAATGTAAACATCCAAAGTCTATGGATGATGACTACTGATTATACTGTATTTGAAGTTTATACTTAAAACTTTTAGTTCCCACTCGGTGATACCTCAGTTGTACCATTGGGTTTTATTTATGTGATTATGTTTGTTTATGGTATTTGGGTCCATACTTAAGTGTGGTATGTAACAAATATTTTGGAGTCTTGGTCAAAAGATCTCTTGTATCCACATTAGAATTTCTTTGGTAGCTTGTCAAGTTATCAAATGGGCTTCACTATCAGTCCCAACAGATGCAGGACTTCAGAGGGTGTACTGTACAGGATTACTTTTTATTTTTGTTATTTATTTATTTTTTGCTTATTTAACCATCATGTCCCCAGGTAGCAGCTCTATTAGTTGGCTGACATATCAGGGTTGCATATCCAGATTTCAGTACTTTACCGTCTTTTTATGTCAGTAACTTGAAGCATCTTAGTTTGTACAGTATATGCTTGCCCAAACATAGTGCAGGTCCTTCAAAATACATGATGACTTTATCCAAAAAAATTTGCGTTTATGTGAAAATTTATTTTCTCCATATAATGTTCTAGTAGGAGGACAAACTTTCCTCACTTAAATTTAATGCTGTACAAACCAAAGTCTGGAGATGAATGATGCTTGTAGATTGCAGTAAGTTGGGGACATGTTGTGGAAGGAGAACAAGTTAGTAGAACACATCTGGTAAGGCAGCTAAAATGGATGAATGATTACAAATAAGAGTCGATGTTTCTCTTGAATCTGCTTATCCTGCACCAAGAAAGGGAAATGAAGTTAGGGGGGTAATCTTTTAAGGTAATTGTAGTATATAATTCTCTTGTTACTTCATAACCAAGTAAAATGTTAAGATTACTTCTTTTCTTTTTTTAAGAGTTTCCTAGAACCCAGGTGTGTTTGTTCTTTCACTGTGTACTGGATTCCCCTTATTCCTGTGGATTATATACCTGGTAGTGTTCCCTCTGTTCCGTGATATGTGTGTTTATCTTTTCTTTCCTCTTTTTTTCCCCTTGATAAACCTTTGCATTTTTTACTTTACTGTAATCAGTATTCTCCATGTGACTAGTCTTTGCTTTGTGTGATATCAAGTCCCTTTCCATTATTTGTTTTCATTATGCATTTATATATGACAATGAATTTGGAAGAAAAAGGTGTTTTCAAGTTTGATAGACCTCAACTTCTTCAAGGTCTATGTTGACTTTAAGAGGAATGAACTCTATCTCTCCTTATGTTACATTATTAAGTGTGATGAGCCATGTGAATGATGGTTTTAGGCTGTAACAAGTCACTGGATTGTTTGATGATGAGGATTTCAAGAAGTAATTGCTGGCCAGTACCTACAAGCTTCTCTTTAATAAAGTAGATCTGGGGCTGAATAACTAGTTTCACATTGCATTTTGTAATAGAAGACCCCTAGTGCAAATTAAGTGTAAAATTTTGTTGCAGTGTTTAAGAGTTTTCATCATTGCATAGCAAATTTTACTTTAACCCTTATATTTTTTTATCAATGTACAGTCATTCAAAAACTGTCTATACAAAATTGTCTTAAAAAATATGACAACAGATGAAGGATTTTGGCAACCATACTGAGGCAACAGGAGTCGCAGTGTACATTCTGAAATTCATTGATCTCCCCCCAAGTACATAGTTTTTTGAGTGACTGTACATAAATGCAGTGAGTGGCTGCTACAGATTTATTTTTTGATGGATCTATATTTTTAAATTAGATTTCTGAGACAGTGTTTTATGAATAGATATTTTTTTTTTCATTTTGATTGTGTGTTTATCATTTTATAATTCATGATCATCTTTCTCATGATATATATCTCCTGTACTTCATCATACCTTTTAGTATTTTTGTTGAAATTTAATGTATTATCATTAATGCTTCAGCAAAATATGGATATGAATATGTCTACCGAAGTCTACATGAGAGATTTGGGATGCGTGTGCACGTCAGTCGGTGGAAATATCGCATGTATGACACAGTACCTGAAATTCAAGATGCGCTTACTCCAGATGCTACTGAAACGTGGATTCATGCCTGTGACTGGAGGGTTAGTAATTATGTGTGTACTGTTTTTGATATATGAGTTTAATACTAAACTAGGCAGGGTGTCAGGAAGAAGACCTTTACTAGTTCAGAAAGGTAGGAACATTGATGGTAACTTCAACATACACTAGGTCTAGAGAGTGTATTCTGGTGAGTATGTGGTCATGATTTGTATTAAGGTGTTTAGATGTGGGCCTGAATGTGTTTATGTAGTTTTTGTTTATGGTAAATGGGTTTGTGTATATGGATATGAATTCCAGTATGTATATTACCAAGAATTAATTCATATGAAATGACAGGTGTGATTTTGAAGAATTAAATAATTTCACAGCAGGGGCCAGATTCACTAACATGACCATAATATTGACCACAACCTTTTCCTTATCTCAAGAAGATATGGAACCCGTTTGGACCTGATAATGGGTTATTCACTAACAGTTCATATGGGGACTGCAAACAAGTTCAGTTCAGTAAGCTCCCGCCAAAGAGAGTTGTGGTGTATTTGTTTTGATTTTTCGCTAGACCAATACTATGCCCTGAACAAAACATTCTGAAGGAATATTAACTAATCTCACATTTCCCAAACCAGCTGATGAAGTATAAACAGTCATACGTGAGTAGAACAATGGAGAGAAGCTTAATAACAATGGTGCATTGAATTCTCTGATGAAACTTTCATAATAGTAAATGGGGTTACTAAAAGGAAGGGTGAGATCCTACGAAAACTTGAGTTGTCTGTTACGATACAGACAAAATCAGCTTGGGATGCTGTCACTGTAGCCGTAAATGCTGTCAATCACATGACTCGAGGAGTTGAGATGTAGTGTGCTACCGCTAGATGTTCAAAGTGATATTGTTTTTTGTGTACCTATATATCTTCATCCAGTTTGGTGCCTTTATTGGAATATGAATACTGTCTATGGCACCAATTACATAAGGAAATCCTTTTATTCTGTAAAATTTCTGCTTAGTTTCTATAACTAAATTCATTCCTCTTGGCATTTTTATTTTTGTTCTTGGTTTTCTATGCAGTGTAAAGGTCACTTTATCTATAATTCTTGATACAGTTGATTGGCTTAAGCCAGTAACAATACCAACTATTCTCTGGAAACTACCACCTGTGAAAAACCACAGACATATGCATTGGGACCTCATGAGACCCCCTTGTCACTCAACCAATATTTAGCTGTAGTTGGTCACATAGTCAGAGAGTCAGAGCATATCTTTATGTGGAAATCTGTTGTACTGTAGCTGTAGGTGGTAATCAAATTGAAGAGGGTCCAAAGGATCCCTAAGCACCATTTCTCTCCTCAATGCACTGTCATGAGCGAAGGCAATCATTAGTTTTATCTTCACTAGTGATGCTTGAAGTAAGTCTGGCAGCTCTGTTTTGGTATGGGATGTATTGTAGAGAGAATGAGAGTCCTGTGACTTTATTTCCACCGTGCAGATGCTTACAGGTGCTCAGAGGCCACTGTAGTGTTTGATGTACAATAAGTTAGATTACCTGGTGCCGTAATCTGTTAGTAAATAACCCAGTCAGCCTTAAGGTTGACCAAAGAGAAAAAAGGTGACTAAGTCATTAGTGAATCTGACCCCAATACTGTACATGAAATCAACTTAATCAACTAGATTTATTAATGTCATTTTGAACAGAAAATAGGTTTGAGTGATGGCTGCTGCTTTGCATGATTATGTACAAGATTAAACTTTATTTTACCAACAAGTGTTGCATGTGTAAATGGTAGAAATAAGGGAGCATTGCAAATTTTGTGATACTTGCCTGATTTTACAGAATAGACAGATAACAGACATTTAGGCATGCATAGTATATTTTTAATAAATTCTATGTAAATGGTTATGAATGTTCTCAAATGGCTCAAGAATATTACAGCTCACTCTGTTTCTGTAACAGAACCTTTATGTTACACTTTGTAAATAATGCAGTGTTTTTGTTTTGTTTTTTAACCACACTTGGTTGTATCAGTTGTAAAAGATAGGAATGCTTCCTTGAGATGGATGTTGTCATTTAAGATAAAAAGGTCAAATGGCCTGTCAAGAACCTCCATGCCCATGCTATTCTTTTGTTCACTTTATCATGGAAAGATTATAATCAGAAAAAATGATCAGTTGCTCTCTTTCTTGCACACTACTGGGACCCATGCTGTGTACAATAAATATTTACGAGTTAGACCAGCATTTTGAACTTTAGGGATAAGTGTTTAGAATTTCTGAAAAACTCAAATCTCCAATGTGTGTTATAAGTCATGGTGGCCCACATGACAACTTTCCAAGTGAGCTTAACCCATTGACATTTCATCTCTCAGCTATAATTTGTTCTATTGACTCCTATTTGTGGTATTTTGACACTGAATTATTTAGGCACAAGCAAAGTTGACAAAATTAAGTGGGTAGGAAAGTGGATGTTCCTATTAAGGGAAGTATGAGGAGTTGGAATGTACATTGTTAAAGAGCTACCAACAACAGATGGTTGTTAGTGTTTCTGTGTGTGATTTAGAGCTAATAAGTGCTGCTGGATGGTTAGCCAAGCATTACCGGTAGGCAAAAGTAAAGTGCCTGCTGTGGATTATTATTTATTTTAAATTTATTTGTATCATTATTTTGTGTCTAGCTCATGTAGTTACAGGGCATTAGCAGGCTATTTGTTGATGAAATAGGTGTGGGATTACTTAATAGCCTTGCCTAAGTTCTGCGAGTGGAAAGACCACCCCTCCCCCCCCTCCACCTCCACCCCACTATTTTTTTTAACCCCCAGACTGGGTTTCCCCATCCCTTCAATTAGTTACGAATTATGAGGGTTTGATGTATGTACTCTCCATGGGCCTCAAATCATATCTTATGCATTGGGACAGATAAAGATGGTGTTGTAGCATATTTTTTCCAAATTAAATGCAGGGTGGCCAGATTCAAGACCAAGATACATACAGTCTCCCATCATTCATTCACTCATGCTTACTGGTGTAATATATTTATTCTGGTATAGTAGTTCCAAGTGATAATGAAGTTACAGATATCCACCTGGTTTACCTCTGTTGCTCCACATAAGTCAACATCATTCATCAGCATTTCTGAACATGTGCAGTCATAAACTGGGGAATGATTCCTAAAATTCCATATTATGTTTAAGAGGTGAACAAAAATCTTGATTCTTCCATCCTCCTCTGTAGGGTCAACAGCTAGTTGACTGTTTTATTTCATTTGTCAGTATCCACACAAAGGAAGCACCCTTTTTTAATTAAGAGACCCAGGTACAGTAAGACCAAAAAAAAAAAAAAGTAGCTGTATCAACAGAAACTATAATACTATTTACAAAATGTAACAAGTAACAAGACAATATGGCTAAAAAAAAGTAGCTATATCAAGAAAACTATACTACTACAGGAATACCCTAATATATCACAAAGGATATCTTCCTAAAAGTTCATTGTGAATCCACTTAAAGTAGAGAATTTCTAGCCGTAAAAAAGAATGGAAATAGGATTTGATTGGGACCATGAGATACTAAATGACACTCAAAAGGATTATTTTTATACCTTTTATCATTAGTAGGGTCATGTGTATACTGTGAAATACTGATAAGTGTGGGAATTAAATAAAAATAATACTAATAAATAAAAAAAAAACCCACTGCTTTGCCATTTAGCTATTAGTTTCCCTACACCCTGGACATGGGAGTGGCCGAGATCCCTCACACCGTTCCTCCCTCCAGCTCCCACTATCTGTGTGTTAACTCCCATACACAATGAAGTGTTTATTCTGTTACATTTTTGACCTTACGATAATTTATTTTTTTATTTTATTTTATTTTTTTGTATATTCGGTATGAACGATTGTGTGCAAGTAACAGTAAAAATTTTTAAAGAAAATAACATATCTACCTGAAATTTAGTTGAAAAATAACAATACAATAAAAACACCATAATTCGTACAGTAGTGTACTCTCTCAATTTTAAATCGCTCATAATTCATAATTTTTTCCTGTTAGAAAAACTGTATATGGGATGCGACTGCCCGTCTCAGTGTAAACAAGTATATACATGTTGGTCAGTAGTTCAGGGTCAATTAATATTAGTCAGTCATGGAGTGCACGTCTATGGTCTACCACGTAAGCTTCTTCCACTTGTTTTTCCATCATTACTTATTGTTTGAGCCATAATGTTTAATAACCCTAAATCTGGTACAGTAGGGTCGGGATATATCGCGAGATAGGGTCCAACGATGTTTGTTATACAGTACAGTGGTCCCTCGGTTAATGAACACAATTCGTTCCAGAAGGTCGTTAGTTAACCGAAACCATTGTTTCAGTGGGATTTTAGGTAATTGGTTCCAGCTCACCGAAAATTACATAAAAGGTAAAAATAAATGCCGTAAAGTACACTTACTTTGAGGTGTGTATGTAGAAGGCTCCTGGTTGATGATGATGATGATGATGGGAATTAGAAATGGGGGTGGAGGAGAAGGGAGAAGAGAAGGAAGTGGGGGTGGAAGAGAAATCACCCCATGCTTCATATAGTCATTTCACCCCCAAAAAATTTTAAATTCACTAGGTGTAATTCAAGATTATTTTCTTTAAATCAACACTGCACTGCACTATATATTGTCAATATGTAAAATAAATTTCAGAATGACCAATAATTGTACTGTTAAAACGTAAAAATAGTTTATGTTCAAGGGAGCCACGAGCAAGAAGACCAGAGATACAAACTGAGGCCTTGGTGGGTGAGTCAAGTGGCTGATTGGCGCACCAAAAACTAGTTTCCTGTACTGCAATTATATTAAATAAGTGTTAAAATGACTAAAAATTTTAATATAAAACTTGGAAAATTATTGAATAGTACAACCTTCTTGATATTTACTCAAATGGGAAAAAATTTAAGCCTTAGAACCAATTACTGTATTGGCGGACTAATATTCCAGCTGGTGAGCAAGCGAAAACATGTTGACACGATTTTGTAAAAATTTCGTTAACCGAATTGAAGATTCTTATGGAAGGTAATTCGTTAACCGAGGCGTTCGTTAACCGAGGGATCAGTGTATACTAAATCGCAATATATAATGACATGTAATCAATGGGGAAAATAGGGTTAGGTTCTGGGAGGTCCAAAAAAGTTGACTAAACTTGACTTGACGAGTTCATTTTCATACTAACCAAAGCACCGATGAACACTAGACTCGGGAACACCAGGCTCGGCAGCTGATGCCACACTGCCATCCTCACTTGACAATCCCACACCTATACAGTATAAAAGAACACCAAAAATATTAGTTACAGTATTAAATCTTTTCCATTAAGCTTTCCATTCTCTTCACTTCACTTTTCACATCACTAGCAACCCATTTACACTCTTTAGAAATTTGAATCTGCAGCAGACTCGGCAGCTGATGCGCCATCCCGAGAACAACAGACGACAAACTGCCACCCTCACTTAACAATCATAAACGTACAATCCAAAAATATGAGTTACAGTATTAAATATTTTCCATTAAGCTTTCCATTATCTTCACTTCACTTTCCACGTCACTAGCAACCCATTTACACTCACCTTAGAAATCGTAATCTGCAGCAGAGTCGGCTGTTTTCTTGTCAGTCACTCAGAAAGACTGAGTGGGTGAGCTTGAATGCGTGAGTGAGCAGCCACGGTGGCGCCTCTGGTGAGCAAATAACGCATTTGTTTGCCATGGCGGTACATTTGAAATATTTCCTGCCCGATTTTCCTTGCGAAATCATTTTGTTTTTTCGCTATATTATATAGGAAAATTTTTGATAATTTTGGTAGCCGCGATAAAAAAAAAAACGTTATATAAAGTCCCGATATATCCCGACCCTGCTGTACTATACATCCACCTCTCGTTTTATGTGGGGGCTACATTCTTGAAAACCACCACTTAATTTAAAAACATGTAAATTAAACATAATTTTCCCATAAGAATACATGTAAATGGTACCGATTAAGGGAACCATCATATACCCCACAGGGTACGAACATTGCTCTCACTTAAACCAAGCACGCGGCCAACCTCCGACACACGCTCTCCTCTCTGAAGGCGGGTGATCACATTTAATTTCACGTCCATTGCCATTTTTTTCGTGCCTTTTTAGCTTCAGGCGCCCCAGAGGAGGCAGATGGACTTTTTCCAGACAAGCTCAATGGGGAAAACAGCACTTAACACTAAAAAGGTACATGATAAACACACAATGAAAATGAGAGCACAGAGAAAAAGTAGTGCTGGTGTGAACTGAGAAAGCAATACGCGGGAAGCTTGCTGGACGTCTTCACAGTTGTTGTACAGAATATTTCATTATCATCATTATCTTCATCATTAGTAGTAATAATCTTTATTATTACATTATTTTATTTATTATTATTATTAATAATAATATTAAAATTGTTGATGTTGATATGACTGCGACTTTATAGTAATAACTTACAAGCACCTCACCAGGCATCACATGTGACTCCACTGCCAGGCAACCAGGCGAATACGCACGGCAAATATAAACTGTCTTGACCGCCTTTTATTAAAAAAAAATAGATCCGCTTAAATTAGCTTTTGGTATTAATTTAAGGATGCTCCTGGGTCATACCAACACAAAGGAGGTGTATCACATGTCCCAACAGGACAAAGAAACTGCATTAATTGAGACTGAATGTGAAAACGACCTGGGTGTGTAAGTCGACAAGGAACTTAAGTTCTCGGGCCATCGTGAGAAGAAGGTGAATCATGCAACAAAACTAATCATGATCTCCAAGAGTGAGGTGCTTCCCTGTCTGGAGCACTGTCACCTCGGTTGGTCCTCGAGGTATGCTAGAGACTGTCAATTGATTGAAAATGTCCAAAAGAGGGCCACCAGACTGGTGCCTGCTCCATGGAACTCGTTTACCCAGAGAGATTAGAACGCCTGCAACTACTTAGCATGTACTACAGCCGGGCGAGGGACGACCTAATTGAAGTGTATAAACATCTGAGGGGGCACTACTCAGACGAATGTACATATCTGGAGCCCTATAAGGGGTCACAGCTCAAGGTTGAAGCCACAAGTCCAAAAATCTGTAAGGGCAAATTTTTTCGGAGTGAAAATTGTGAACTCTTGGAACACACTGCCAGAGAGTGTTGTGACAGCACCAAGTGTGAGCTCATTCAAGGCCAGACCTGACCAACACTGGAGCAGGTTCTAATATATCCAGGAGCTAGTACATGCCCAGTACTTGTCAACAGTGTGTAACAGAGGTGTGACCGACCATCCAAGTGGCTAATGAGCCAATCAGTGGCGAAGAGGATAGAGGTAAAAGTAAAAAGAAACAATGGCAACATGCCATCTCCTTTGTGAATAAGCAGGGTTTGCTTTGCAAATGTGGTGTTAAAATATCAAGTGCGAATAAATGGGGTTGCGAATGCATTTGTGAGGTATTCCTGTATTTACAAAGTTAAACAAGACAGTTCTACTATAGAGATACTGTATAGTGAGCTGTTTTTTCACATTTGTCAGAATTTAGGAAAATTTAAGTCGACCAGAATTTATTTTTGTAAGGAGGTGCTATAAACTGACTGATGGGTAACATTGGCTTCTATGTAGCTACAAGAATAACAAAAAGGGGGCATGTTGTGGAGAGTGAGTTTGATGGATGTGAATTTTGTTAACTAAAGAGTGACACATGACCTGGGTGCAATGGACCTTGGGACAATGGGATAATGAACCCACGATGTTAGGTAAATAAATACAAAAGATATGTATGGACCCAGAGGCCATAATTATACGGTACAATGCACAAATTATAACTTACATAGAATGCTTTCTGATACAAACAAGGGCCCAGTGACACGAGCCTACATTAGGCATATATACTGTATACCCTGTACTGTAATAACAGGTTTAAGTAGAATTTATATAATAGTGTAATCCTATAATCTGTATTCATAATCCAAAGAGCTGGACCATTTAAGGTTCAATTCAGATAATGTCCTGAGATTTACTGTTTTACCAACTGGCCATATGGTTTGATTATTTCTGGGCCTTGTAAGGTTTTCTTTGCTGGGGAGACTATGGATCACTTATTCTTGAGGCTGTGGGATCTTGAAGCTATTGTTCTTCACATTGGGAAGCTTCATATGCTCAGGAAGATTTATTGTCCTTCCAAAATCAAGTGAGTGGATTTTCCCATAGAACAGGCATGGGCAACCCGCGGCCCATGGGCCACATGCGGCCTGGACCATGTGTTTGTGTGGCCCGCGGAGTGATTGAGAAATTCTATTTAATGTGGCCTGCGGTTCAGGTAGATGCAGAAGCCAGTTTATGGTGAGTAAAGCAATATTTATTAAAATAATAATTTTCATGCAATTCATTACTGTTTTCTCTTGGAATGGAATTTTAAAGGGTTTAACTAATTAAGTACTAACAGAATAACACAAAAACATCAAAATCGTACCTTGGAAACCCATAGTTGGTGAGTAATTAGCCTTAAAATAATGTAATTAAAATATTCCAAGCATCATTACGACCTCTAATTAGCCCGCAATCGGCATACTCGTATTGTACTGATACGGAGATTTTCAAGAGAGAGGTTGTTTCATTGTAGTTCCTCATGTACCAAGATTAACATTGACATTATTCTGGTGGGTGTGTCTCATAAGAAGAATGCTGTATGTTGGAAAAATCAACATATTCACAGAATGCTTCACCCATCTTCTTTAAATGCCAAGAAACATTAACATATTACTTAAAAGATTATTATGATGGATTTGTTTCATAAATGGGAAAAAGACTGCGATTGTAAACTGAAATTATCGTATGGTGGACGTGACGATAAACTGCTTCTCTGTCCATGCTGATACAATATTCACATTACTTTTGGGTTAGGTAGGATATAAATTTTAGTGGGTTGGCCTGCAGAAAAATACCTAAATTGTAATGTGGCCCATGAACTGAGGAAAGGTTGCCCATGTCTGCCATAGAAGATGTATGAGTATAGTTGTACAGGCTTTAGAGCAATTCATGTCATCTTCCTTTTCTCAAAATTGGGCTAGGTACTCATGAGTTGTTTTAACAGGCTTAGGTTATAAATGCAGGGTTAATTCTGAAATCCTAGCTTATAACCAAGTCTGGGTAGAATGACCCAGTTCCCTCCCTCTTCCCTGAGGTGTTTTGTTGGGGTTGGCTTGAAGTAATTGTGCATGAAATCCCATAAGTGACTGAGCCTGTGTTGAGTGGATTTTATAAGTGCTGTAACATCTGACATACCCTGCATTATTACAATTTCTTTCTCACTATTTTTTAAGGGCTAGAGAAGCTTACCGGGGAGAATGCTAATACAGTGTATTCAGAGTATAACTCCATTTGCCATGGACTCTCATTCCCCAAGCCTTTGAGGGCTATATTTGTGAGTTGTTCAGATCAGGTTGATTTATATGTTTGGATTTCATGAACATTTCCACATTTTTCTGTATTGTCTTTCATTCTCAGCTGCCATTTCTATTTTGTTTTCGCTACTTTATTTCTTAATCTTTTTAAAACCTTGTGATGACTTTACTCCCCATTTTTCATCTGATCTTCATTTGCATTTTTTCACTCTTCTCTTTCTTTACATTTTGCTCCCCTTGTATTTCTCCCTTCTTTTTTACTCATTACTAACAATACTTTCTATGTGACCTATCCTCTTTCATGGGTGCTGCCAACTCCTCATCCCACCTCTCTACTTTTTGTTTCTTATATTCTTGTACCCACACACCTGAGGAGCACTTCAGCATTTTTCATTTTACTGTCACTATATATGCCACCTTGTCTAATTCTTTTCTTGAAATCTTTGTCTATCTCTTTCCTCATGGGTGTTTTTTTTTATAATATATTTTTAACTTTTTGAGTTTGACTCACCCAAATAATGACTTAGTAGACTATAGAATAGAACTTAAACGTCATCCATCATTTTAGATGAATGAAATTGAAGAAAGTGAGGACCAAAGTGATCGCCAGCTACCCTGCCGTTGTGTACCTTTTGGTGTGGATACTGCACCCAGCATACGTGTCATCCGACCTTCAGCCATATTCTACACCATGTATCAGTCTGTTAAGGTACAGATATTTGTTATTAAGCTTAAATTGTGTTTGTATCTTTGTGTGTACATACCCTGTGTATGTGGGGGGGGAGGGTTATTTTATGTAATAATAAATGAATAGCATCAATACTAACTTAACTTATTCTATGCTAATTTAGGTCTGGTTATGTTATGTTATGGTTATAAGCAACATTTAAAATGAAACAAACATGTTTTACTACACAGTAATGTACAATATATCAAGTATACAGTACAGTATAAGAAGTACAGTAAAACCTCAATAAATCGGACTTCAATATTTCGGAATTCATTTTTTTCGGACTCTGTGGAGCTCTGGTTACCAGAAATGCTAAAAAAAAAAGTATCTGTTTTAAGAAATGGGGAAGATCAATAAAAAAAAATCTTATGAAAAGAATCACACTCACTGAATACTGTACAATGGTCGAATCAAATTTGCTATAGGCCTACTGAGAACTAAGACACTTGAGTCTGTAAGCAGGCTGGGGCTGATCCATTTTTGCCACATTCTTCAGGTTTATTTATTGATTTGGTATTATGTTCTCATATGATTGGCCTCTTATGGCTTAAGGTTCATCGTGATTAACCCCTAGGCCCAGGGTGACGTTCCAGAACGTCCGCCTATTTTCTCGCAATATTTTATTTTTTTTATTTTTTTTTATTTTATTTTTTTTTGGAAAGTTTATGGGTTACTGCTAGCAGCACCATAACCCGGGGCTTAAGGGTTAATATAACATTTTCAGTAATAGAGAAAAAATACAATACTGTATGTAATTTGTAATATGACTTGAAAATAAGAGGATAACCTATATCAGAAGGTTATTTGCTCAAGATGCATTCATGTGAGAGCTTTCAGTAGACTACAGTATTACCCAGCTTTACGCGGTTTCACTTAACGCGATTTCTCATATGCGCGGTGCCTCGCCAGAACCGAACTTTCACTTAACGCGGTTCATCTACTCATATACGCGGTGAAGTGTAATATTTATTTATTTTTTTTTTTTTTTTGCTCATAAAATTCATACAAATTACCCGGCCAGAATATAATTTACATTTGTATGATCATTTTGCATCATAGACATACAAATTTTAGATATAATGTTTACTCTGAGTAAATATGTTATCTTTTGTGCAAAATATATGACATTTATATTCAAAATATTCCTGGTCTTACAAGGAATCCAGCAATGTCAATTATATTATCCTAACTTTAGTTTGAGGTATTATTTATTAAAATCTAGTGGTTTTCCCCCCAAAATTTCTCAGAGAGGGAAGAGCCAGCAGTGTAGTGTGAGAAGAGGGGGAGGGAGTCGAGTCCATTATTTGAATGGACATTAACTTGGCGACTGTATTTCTCTATTTCTCTTAAGTATTAATTGTGTGCATGTACCATCATAAAATTAAGATGTTATTTTTACTAGAACATAGGTATTGTGTCGGAAAAAGTAGAGTTTGGGGGCCGGGCCAGTCTCTATTGGAATTAATCCCATATGTTCTGTTGTTCACTTAACGCGGTACCCTGTGGGTTCAATTGACCGCGTAAAGCGGGGTACAACTGTAGTTTACAACGGGTCACAAAAACATGCTGTATAATATTTGATATGAAGATACCTTCCTAACGATGTTAGTTACTACCTTTGAATGACACATGATGGCTCAGTTTGGCTTCTTGTACACTTATACAAATTATTAATGAATAAACCAGGGTATATGCAGATTCATATTACTGTACTCTACAATATTACTTATTAAGTAATGATAAATACACTACAATAGTATTTATTATGCGGTGATAAATACACGATTTTACTGTACTAATTTACTCAGTGTTGAACACAGTTGTTGTGCTAAGCCAATCAGCTGTTTGCCCTTTGTAAACAAATGAATCATGGTGTTCAGTGTGGGATTCTTTTTCAGGAAAGTTGACTCTTTTAGGATAATATTTTATCAACCTGGTACCAAATGAACCTAAATTATATGAGAATTATGGTGAAATTGGATAAAGAAGTGTAAAAGCAAATTTGGGGGAGATGGGGAGGGAGCCACCCACCCGTGCTACCCCCTCCCCCCCCCCCCTCCCCTCTGCCAGCTGCTCCCAGATAAACACTCATCTTCCACACAATATACTCCTACACCTATTTGTTCTTATTTTCATCTTTATAGTACTGTCCAGTATACAGTTTTATCTTTATTCATAAGACAAATTCTGTGGTTACTTACATATAACACTTTACAGTAAATAACAATTATCTCGATGAAAACAGTTGTTGACAACTACCGGTAGATTTATGCCTGATTTTCAACCCAGAGAGTTCTGTTTCATATTTTATTATGGTTGATGTAATACAGTATTCTTTTAATAACTTTGTTATACATTTAAAGACCTTTGAAGTACAGTAATAACATAGCAACAACTGATTTTCTTGAAACAGTTCAGAAAAGCAGTGTTATATCCTCCCTCCCCATTTATTCACATTTTTCGAACTGGAGTCTGCCCCAATTAGTTCGATTTATCGAGGTTCCACTTTTCATTATGTTATACTGTTCATATAAAAACAAATGGTTAACAGTACTGTAATAAGCAAAAACATCAGCTGCATTTTGAGGCTTAAACAGATGATTATCCCAATTTTGTGCAATATATATATAAACACATTACTATACATACATTCATACTGTACATACACATCAGTAGTTATTGTAAAAGGATATAAGAAAAACCTTTCATAATCATTAAATGAATATAATTTTTTTTTTAATTTAAACTGATTCAGTAGCACTATCAGGACTAAATTTTTCCTTTTGGTCTTAGGGCTATGTTGTCTGACTGTGGCATTATTGTAGTGTTTGTACATCATGAATTAAAATTTATTACAGATTCTATTATGGCTTTTGAAAAAGATATTAACAGTGCATCCTCTGCATCTGTTGATATTATGTAAAGTATCTCTAGGTATTGATAGAGGAATTAGTGTTCCATTGTGGATGTAACGAAAGTTGTCATTGTGTTTTAATGTGGTTATGTTGCTGTTTAAAAGGGAATGGAAAAACACAAAATTTTGGGTTGGATAATTGTTTTTATTATATATAAATGAATAAATAATAAAATATTTATTAACCTTTCATGTTGTTGAATTGTTATCCGAGAGAATCACAGATCTCGGTAAACTAAAACAAAATCTCTTTCAATATCTTCAGGAAGTTAAGCAAATTAGTCGAGATGGCAGTTTCTGCAGAGTGCTCTTGTCAATGCATGCATCTTGTTCAGAAGTCCTTGATCTGGTGTCATATCTTCGTCCTCGAAAAGTATACCCAAATGTTATTCCCATGAATTCTTCTAAAGAGGAGGTAAGAGTGGAGGAAATTTTTTAGTAAATTAGAATAGGTTGTACTACTAAGCTTATAGAATTGCTTATAGGAAGGATTGATATTGCAGAGTGATCTTGAAAAATATTTTATATATGACAGCTTGGTCAGTGCCAATGGTAAATTGTCCTTGCCCATTGTAGACAATAAATATATTTTTAGTATAATAATTACTGTATATACTTGATTATAGTTTGAGGTTTTATGATAAAAAAAAATTATGCAAAAAGTAGAGGGTTGAACAATATACAGTATGCATTGTTTTTTTTAGGGGGTAAAATTCTTGCATTTCTGTGGGTCATTTATGGTAATCGGTAGCTACCTTGTATATGTTTGTGGTAGGCTAACCTTACCAATAAGTTCTTTTATCCTGGGCTTGCCTACCAAACCCCGAGATTCTTTCTTTATGTTGCTGCATAAAGAGCATAACCTCTTTCACTATATATGCCACTGTAAGTCTATAAATACGATACAAACAAATAAAGATTTACAGATGTATTCTTTTCATTTGCATCTGATATATATATATATATATATATATATATATATATATATATATATATATATATATATATATATATATATATATATATATATATATATATATATATATATATATATATATATATATATATATATATATATATATATATATATATATATATATATATATATATATATATATATATATATATATATATATATATATTATAATTTTTTTTTTGTTTGGTACACGCATTTTTATATAATTTGTGAAAAAACAATAATATCATGTTGTCCAAAAAATAAAGTACTTTAAGAAGCCCTTGGCATATAATATACAGGAGGTCCCAGACTTATGAACGGTTTCCGTTCCTGAAGAAGTTCTTAAGTCAGATTTGTACGTAAGTCGGAACACATGCTATGTGCATACCATATTTACAATGTTTAAAATCCCACTATATCATAGCCTAAGTCCTTATGTACGTCTAAAATCACTTAATTTAAGACAAAAGAAGAAATAAAATGACAAAATACAGTAAATGAAAGTAAAAAATAAGTCATCAGGTAAATAAAATACCTGTACTGTACAGTAAATTTCAAATTTAACCCTGTTCGTATCTGTGGGTGTTGTTAAGTCAGGGACCTCCTGTACTCAGTTTAAGGTGTTTGTGCTGTAACTCTTATTTCTATAGTGTCAGAAAAAATGAAAGGGGTGATAGAAATTAATATACACAGGTAGTAGGTAAAAGGTTTCCCATTTTTTATTAATAGTCTTTAAATCCTCACCGCATTTTTCTACCACCTTCCCTTATATGGTATAGTGCTACTAATATGTAACATAACGGAGTGCAATAATTACAGGTTCTGAAACTCCTTCATGAGGCCTTGAATCGTTCTGGAGACCATTATAGCATAGAATATGGTGGTACCCAACGACGCAGCATGGGTTCATTCAAACGACAACTGCAAAGTAATGAAAGCAATAGCAGCACATTAGAGGCAGCCATGTTTGATGGTTACCTCACATCTCCAAGTAAACGGCGGCGACATAGTGATAGTAATATGACCCTTGTCCTTCCAACCCCTCGTGGAAACATGAAAGGTTCACTCAGTTTGGAAGGTGAGGCCAGATGTGATGCAGTTGAAGGAGGCGTTGCAACTAACTGTGGTGCAGGAACCTCAGGGAGTCTTGGGCCTCAGGGATCTCCAGGAACAAGTTTAGAGTGGGTAGATCCTTACACTCCATCACCCACATCATCTTCCTCTTGTAAATATACTGATACTCCAAATTCTAGTCAAGAAGACCAACAGTCAAGTGCACGAATGACCAGTACTGCCAGAGTTAATCTTTCTTATAGATTTGACACTGCAAATTTTGGAAATACTCCAAGTGATAGTGCAATACGAAATGTGATAGTAAAGGTGTCTCCCCCACTGACATGTAAAGTGGCAAGTGCTGGTACAAGTAATAGGGCAAGTGAAGTTTATAGATTTGGTTTTAATTCTCAGCAAATGTCTGTTGATGCTGATGAAGAAGGGGATAATCATTCTTTAATTAGCTTCAATAAAACTAATGAAAGTCAAGACAGTAATGATCTAGCAAGTGTATTTTCAGAGGATACTCGGGAAAGCACAGTGATGGTTGACTTTAAGGATGAGAGACCAGCCTCCTCTGCAGGTGTGGCAGGAGAGAGTGCTATTAAGCGCAGTCGCAAGATGTGGTATAAGCACAAATATTTCTCTACGCCAGTTCATGAGGAGGGAGATAAGCGTTTGAAAGTTGAACCCAAATCCACTTTTGGTCCTCGCTCATCCTCACTACCTCTCCCAGAGCCGGACCGTGAGGGTATTGTCTCGCCTGACTTATTCCCAAGTCCTGAAGCAGACCCTAGTCTTCCTCTCATTACAGTCTCCTCGCCATCTGATCAAGCCAGTGAATCCCAGGTCTCTGATGAAACTAATGTGACTGTTGTTCTTAGTGGCAGCTCGGGGGAACCATCTGATGTAGATGTAATGTTAGTTGACGAATTGCCTGCAGACCAACCATTATGTAGTGAATCTTCTCATCATACTAGTCCTACAGCCTCCCGGCCCACTGTCATTTGTGGACCACCATTTATTCCTTCAGCACAAGACCGAGAAATATGTCTTGATACTGAAGCTCGTACACTTCATCATATCTCACCAACTGATACACCCACAAGCATTTCTGGTGGATTAAGCCGCAGTATCCCACCCTTGAAGCCTCCCTTATCCACTACCTCTCCAAAGGTAGTAGATTTGGTAAGTGACAGTGATTGTACACCAGAATTAGAGGACTTGTTCTTGCGCACACACCAAGTAACTGGAGTCACAGTAAAGACTGAAGAGTGCTCAGAACGCTCATCTTGCCTGAAGACCACTCGACGGAGAGATAATGAAGTAGAGGTTGTGACATTGGATCAACAAAGTCTCTGAAATATGATGTGAATATGAAAATAAGATTAAAATTGCTTTATTCAGGTATTGTTGCACTTTAATTTTATTTAAGCACTGTTGAAGCTGCACTACTAATGGACATATCTCTTTCTATTGGATTGTAATGCATACTGGTATGCTAAGGTATCAGGTTCTCAGAATAGGTACTGTTGTAGTGATGCTAAATCTTCATTATTACAAGTAAATGGGAATTAATTTACACTGAGTAATGCAGAAGTTAAAAAGGCGTATTGTAACAAAGCAAAACTTTGTTTATGTACAGTAGTGATTTGAGCTTTTGGGTGGATGTGCTAGAACTAGAAAAAGATTGAGTGATATAGGCAGTTGGAAGGACAGCCAAGCTTGCCTATTTGACATTTTTTACTTAGTATCTGTAAACCAAATTATGAAAAATACTTTAGAACTTTGGAAAATATACCATAAATCATTATTCCTTAGGCAGGAATTAAACATTTTGATCCAAAAGTTTGCCCAAGTACTGTAGGACGCTGATGCAGACGCCAGGCTGACAACATAAGCTCACCTACTCTTCTACCAGGCAAGCTAAAAACTACTGCAAATAAAAATCATAAAAATGTTGAATATCATTGAATTTAGTTGATATAACTATACATTTGGGGTTACTGTTACTTCTTAATCTATTAACAACACTGGAGTTAGTTGCATGTTTGTCCCCTCTTAATGAAAATTATCTTGTTGTTATGGACTAAGATTTTATTATCTCATCACTGTTTTATCTTATTCCTTATTACAGTCCTGTACTTCTAGTCACCACTAGGCAGTCTTTGCACCTATTTATCTTTTGTTTGATTTTTACTCATGCTCTTCAAAATTGCCTCCATTTAGACATGCATCTACATTCTTGAGTGTACAGCATCCACTTATCACTGTTTTTAGAACATTGGTATCCATTCTGCACCATGTTTGTTTACTTTGTTTATTGGATAAAAGTGAAGCTGTGGTGAAAGAGGATAACAAACTAAGTATCATTAATAATACCTCCTCACTCTTGACAGTCTTTGATTAATCTCTTAATTGCTGGACTGCAGGATGAGCAGGTTTAAGGTTTTACAATGTAATTTTATACTTGCAGAAAATTTACTCTATTTAAAGTGGATGAAAGTTTTTTTTATATAATGTATATGCTGTTATGTGGCAATGTTGAGTGATAAAGAATTCCCAGTGGATATGTGAAGTAAGAAATGTTAGTAATATTCTTTAATTGTAATAAGCTGGCAGTGAAGTACAGGTATTTATAGACAAAAGCTTATATGATGTAAGCAGATTTTATGCTGTTTTTATTATATACTGTACTCTACTTCAAATTATAACTTGGAATACATAATGGTTGTAATGAAATATTGCTAGTTATTTCTTTTTAGAAGTGATGTACATAAATTGTGTAAATAAAACATAAGCTTGGTATGATACACCAGCTGAGAGAGTGAGGAACTAACAAAATAAATGTTGAATTCCTATTACCAAAGACTCCTCTTGTGTTACTTGTAGTGCTTAAAATATTCCTCATGGTTATTGTCTACATACTAAATATATAATGAACACCAAGAATTGTAAAAATAAATAAATAAATATATATATATATATATATATATATATATATATATATATATATATATATATATATATATATATATATATATATATATATATATATATATATATATATATATATATATATATATATATATATATATATATATATATATATATATATATATATATATATATATATATATATATATATATATATATATATATATATATATATATATATATATATATATATATATATATATATATATATATATATATATATATATATATATATTATTAAAGGAGGATGATACGAACTGTAAGTAATCACAATTTACTCCTTGCTCCATAACTATACTATACATCCAGTGAGCCTTATAGAAGATCCTTACATTTACCGGTAACTGCCAGTAAGTAATAACCTTAATATCTTTCAGCTGCTCTCACTTGTCAGGCAAGCTAAGATGTAGATTATTAAAAACTTACCTCTAGAAAAGTTGTTAGGTTATCAGGAGTGATAGTGGGTTGCTGGTCAAATGGACCCCAACCTTTTCTGGCTATTATGGTAGGGCTAGCTCCTATCAGGACTAAGGCCCATTTGACTAGTCATCATAGTGATATGCATGTTATGGTACTCATGTTAGAAGCTTTATCACATATTTCTCCATGGGATTTATAGGAAGTGAAAGGGGAATGTACGATAAAACATGGTTACTCACTAAAGCCAATTTTAATTTAGGGGGCATCAGTTATTATCACCTTACATGAGAGAGAGAGAGAGAGAGAGAGATGTTTATTTATTGCTAAGTTCATGAGGATTAGTGCACAAAGAGGGAAGCCAATCATCCACTCCTCTTGTGATACGAACCTACCCTCGCCTTCCCCACCTGGATCAACTACCACTCATAAGCATTGTTTTTACTAATGGTTCTATGTATACTTCATAAACCTTGATTTTCACCCAGAAATTAACTAAATAATGTCAAGGATTTGTATGCAATGGTGTATTTCATACAATCTTCATACTGACTCGTATTTTTAAGAACTTAAGAATAAACTTCCATGTAAACATATACAAATGAGGAGTGTTAAGGAATGTGCAGGTTTTTACCCTGCAACAGTCAAACACTAGTTATGTTGATTATATTAGGCTTATTTTTGTTTTCATAAGGATTTTTGTAGCCTGCCCAATGTTTTACATTCTCCTGTCAAGCAATGGTCTTAGAAGGGTGTCCATTCTTCAGTCATTAAACATTGTAACATTTATTTGAGGCAGGGAGAAGTTTCTACATGGCCACTTCAGCAGATTTAGATAGAACATTAGCTCATGCACTTTGTTTTATTTTTAAGATTGCATACTTAGTAATTATAGCCATGGCAGATATAATTGTCAAGTTGTAATGAAAGTTCATTTAGTTATATCACCAAAGTTCACTATTTAGGCAGTTGAGGTCATATCCTACAGCGTGTATTATTTGTCCGGTGATTATTTCAGTATCGGCATTGGGTCATTGTGGCCTGTGTAGACTTCACTTGCCACTAGTAACATTTGGGGACCTTACCTATATTGTATACCGAGTCATCAAGCAAAACATATACAGTACAAGAAGATTTACAGGTGTTTTAGTCGTGACATAATTCCATTGTTTTCAAGGGGTCATATCAGAGTTCAAAGTTGGCACGATATAGTTTGTGGAATCTATTTGTAATGATGTTTAATTTGTCTATATTGTCATGCCAACTTTGAACCCCTGAAATTAAACAAATACAAAAATTCAAGTTAATATATGAGCCATATATCTTCCCCCAATGCACCTGAATTTTTGTACTGAGCTTAGGTTCATAGATGCAATATATACTGTACAGTGCATGTCTTCTTTATACACATACTCCCACAGGATCCAGAGTCAATATTGTATGATCTTTGAACCCTTTATATGACCCATTGAATGGTTATTGAGCTATAATGCGATAAGAATGGAGACCACCAAAATGTGAAGTGTAATTCAGCTGTATCATGGTAATTGTAAAGGAAATTATTAATCTAAAAAAAAAGTCTGGAATATACAGTTGGGGAAAAATATTTTGCACCACATAGATTATCTGTTTATTACTACTATAGATTTGCCAGATGTCTCCACTGGCCACAGCAATGTGGGGCAGAATATTTTTCCCCAACTATACATCAGACCACACAATACAGATGTTCTGTTATGTTACCAAAACTTGTTAGTTGCAAGGTGACCATTAAAGAGTTGCAAAGGTGACCATAAAGAGTTGCAAAGGGGACCATAAAGAATTGCAAGGAGACCATAAGGAGTTGCAAAGGTGACCATATAGAAAAATCTTTGACAAGTAATACCGGTACCTTTACCTTGTTAACAACTGACCAAACTAAGAGAGGCTGCTACTAATTTTGAAACAATTCAAATTTTAGGAAGAGAATTTGCACAGTACAATTTTTGTGTCTTTAGTAAGCCAATGCTATGTTTGAAGAAGGTAGCTTAACAAATTTGTGCAGTAATGATTAATAAGACACCTAAATGAAGTGTGTAATACAGTATACTGTACCTGTACATGTTTAAAATTTTCCTGCAAGGCCTGGACAGTAGGAACCCCCCTCCAGTTAACATGATAGAAACTGGGATCACAGTAGTGCTGCGAGTGTAGCCAGTACAGTACTGTATTTAATTTTTTTCTGTATGTAGCAAGGTGTTTCTTACATTTTTATGATGGATGGCTTTCTCCATCCCCACATGCTGCACAGTAGTGCTGGACATAGAACTAATGTTCATTATACTGCTCTAGAAAATTTCTTGCTGATTAAGTGCTTAAAGGATTAGTACTTGGGCACCATAAAAATTGGTGAATAGCAACAATATTTTAATTCCTTTGAGAATCTATAGTGCCACCCAGTTTTTTTAGATCTGGTGTGCCAAACCAGCATCCAGTGGGCCAAAAACAGCCTACAAGCAATTTCTATCTGGCCTCCCTCAATAAAATAGTCAATGCTGTATATGCTGTATTTGTTTCTCAGATGTTGGTATACAAAGTTTAGTCATTAATATGTAATGATACACACTCCATTATTGTTGTTAAGATTAGTGTGGATTCATGTTAAGATCAACCAGGATTCAATACACAGTACTGTACCATGAATGGACGGGTTAGCAGTGTAAGAGAACGTGAGTTAAGCAGGTCTCGGCAGGTCTCAGAGTTCTTGCTGCTTGCAGGAAATGCTGCCAGTGATTTTATTTAGCTGTTTTCCTGCAAAATATTAAGTTAGCACTTTTGCAGAAAAGTTTGAACACCCGAGGCTTAGATCCCCAAGAAGATTATGTAGTTTAGCTCTCATTTGGTAACAAGTTGGGTCTTAAGTCCTCCTGCTTGTCTCTTAGTCCTGTGTAAATCAGCAAATGTGGTTACTGTGCCATGCAAATTGAAAAGTAACATTACTGAATTTTTATTTGGTCATATACAGATCCACTGACTTTTAAATTAGAAAAAACAATTGGTGAGTGAAAATTATGTTTTGACAGTACATATTGTAGTACAAGGGTGTACTGTATATGGAATACTTGTTTGTTACTATGTTTATACTTATAACATGAAAATAAGCTATCAGATGTGATAAATGCAGTACAGTACAGTGTTATCCATCCTCCCTGACTCTTAGATTTGTCATCTAACTGTTAAAGTTTTTAAATATGTTTTCAAGAGTTGAATTGACCAATATTATACCAGCCATTCATTTACACCATAGTACAGTATGTGATTGGAGTAAAGTACTGTACTGTATATTGTTACTGCGATTTAGTAACTGCTTATGTAAAAGTTATAAGGGTTGTATAAGTCGACTTAGCATTATGTATTAATTTAAGTTGGGTTAAATTGATATATTGTACAGTACTTTCATTATGCTTATAGAAAGGAATCTAAAATTTTCACATGTGAGTATATAAAAGTACTTGGTACTGTTGACTTCTTAACAAAAGAAGGTTTTTTTAAAGTAAAAATTAAAATTTGAATGTCAAATATTTTTTGGATAAAAGTCACCACAGCTCAGATATAATTTTTGAGATGTGGCTGAGGTTCCAGATTGTGATATACCCAGATTATTGTTATTTGTTTTATCCATGAAGTGATTTTACAATTTTTGTGGGTTTGTTTTATTAGAGGAATCAAAACTTGTGAATTTAAATACATTCTCATAAAATGACACCAGGCACACAAAGCAAACTTTCTATCCCCTAGCACAAGAAACAATAAGTTGATCAAGAGAGGTGAGATGACATACTATAGACAAATACTGTAGGACTTAATGTTTTGCAGTTTTATTAATTGTGTATTGTTGTGATGTTTAAACTGTTGCAAATCTTAATTGGGGTAGGAATATGACGAGACTGCCAAGTGAATTATATAGGGTGGGCTAATGTAAGGGAAGTACTGTACAGGACAGTGATCCCTCGGTTAATGAGATTTCGGTTAACGAATTACTTTCCATAAGATTCTTAACTTCGGTTAACGAGCAATCCCTCGATTAACGAGTTTTTAACGAGCACCCCTCCACATGTTTTCGCTTGCATTTGGCGGTCCACCAGCTGTAGTATTAGTCCACCAATACAGTGAGTTCTGCTATAACGCGTGTTTTGATAACGCGAATTTGCTCTAACGCGATTTATGAATTAGGAACGATATTTGTATAACGCGAACGCTTGTTTGCTATAACGCGATTTTTGCTTACTATTTCTCCAATTTTGTGGTACAATGGGGTATGCTATAACGAATCTAATTGGTTCTAGAACCTTGTTCGTTATAGCGTTCGTTCGTTATAGGATTAATCCGTTCCAGGCCCCCAAATACGACCACTTAACACTGAAAAATATAATATAAAATTGTAAAAAAGTGCATAAATATGCATCTAAACCCCTGAA